CTTCGCTCTTCCCATTTTCTTTAGTAGTAGAATCAGATGATGCGGAAGGTGATGTCGTTACCACCGGACTGTAGATGTTGTCAAAATCAATTCCGGGTACCTACTGTAGCCGCAGGCCACCAATCTAGCTTGAATCTTCCATTCCGCTTATTTCCAGCACCCATTTGTGTTTGACACTCGTCTCCCTTCCTCCATTCTGATTCTTGATCTTGCGCCAGACCTTGAGTTTTCCATCTTGTCTTAGCTCGCCTTTGATCGCCTCCCATCCACTTCTCTCGCTGAAATGGTTCCGGTGTTCCAAGCTTCCTCGAACGTACTTGGCTTGGTGAACAGATACTTGTACTTTGCTGGATCCTGAGTCCTTGGGTCATTTTCTTGATCAATGGATGCCAGCTCCTAGTCCTCCCGTCAAGTCTACTTCTGATGCCGTGTACCCAAAACTCCATCCAATCTTCATGTGCGTTCCCAAAACGTTCTGTCATTGAATTCGCTCGAAAGTTTTGCCATTTCTGTCATCGTCCGAAAGTTTGCCATTTCTTGTCATTGGCGGTGATTTCCGGTGTCGTGCCGTTGAGCTGTTATCTCTATCTCCTCCTCGGATGCCATCGTCCGAAAGTGCTTGCATGAGGGAGCCCCCGTCATGAGTTTGTACCGCCGCTAGCTTGTCCAGTGTCTGTAGGGCCTGGGGGTTGTAGCTCGCACTGAGTATCTGTAGTTCCCGCGTTGCCTAGGATGTTTGGTCGCGACCGGGTCAGGTCGTTTGGCTGTTGGGATCGCCAGAACTTTATTAATCTTCTGGGTTTCTAGTGTGATTGCTCCTGCTTTGGTAGTCTTCGGGGGCTTAAGGAGCAGATCATGAGAGTTCGACTTCCGGTTTTCTGTAGGTAGGACGCTGAGGAGGTTGTCTTTTCCAATATGTGTGAGTTATTCTGCTGTGCTGGGTTAGACCCATACCCTACCATTCGGCATACGTCTTGTCAATCCAGATCACATCGCGGTGGAGTACTTGTGCTCCTGTAGCGATATTGTACATCTTGTACGTGTCTGCAATGTGATTCCGTGCTCTTACAAGATACAGCATAGGTAACCCACGATCTTGTAGTTTTACCTTGATCTTTCCAACAAACTAGACGTATCCAACTTCTCCGATTCGTCGCAACTTGGATAATTGTGTAATGTCTTCTCCATAGAAAATGCGGTAACTTGGATTGTCATGAGATACTGACTGTAGTACATTCTAAACGTCAGTGACGTGCATTACTGCATCACCGTAGAGAAACTTTAGTTGCTTCTCATCAAAACAAGCTTCGTGGAACATGGCCAGAATCCGATCGGTGCCTAATGCAATCCATCGTTCTACATTTCCATTCTGTTGAGGTGTATCTCGTCCAGTTATAACTCAAACTTAAACCGCTGCTACATGGGTTCAATCGCGTTTTTCACATTCGTCATCATCTTCTTTTTTTCTCCTGCATCGTCCATACGGATGTATTGTACTGGAGTTCCTCTGCGTTCCATCACTCGAATGAAGTACTTGACCTTAAGGATGACATAGCGTTTGGTCTGAATGATCCTACTCCATCGCATACTGGTAGAATCATCAATAATCGCCAGACAATATTTGCCTCCCTTGATGGACGTGCCTTCATCCAAAGACGAGGTATCTATAAAAATTAGCTCTCCAGGGATCTCAGATGTCGTTGAAGTCTCCTTAGCCACGGGCGCTTGCTTCGCTCGTCCTTCTCCACAGTTAGAACATGGTTCTAATGTACCTGTGAGCTTACACCCGTACTGATGTGCTATCCTGCGTAGTGCGGCTTAACTCGCATGTCCCAGGTTCTTGCGAGGTTCATTTGATTTTCCGGTGGCTGATATACCCCCTCTCTCGCGTGTCTGGCCGTACACCTGGTGGTGAGAGAGATGACAGGGCACGTCATGCTCTTAAGAGGTGCTCAACGCAGTGTTACTTGGCGAAGTCTCTTCGGTCGCTTCCAGTGCCGTGTCATACGTGCACGCGTAACTGCTCTCTTGTGGCATTTCCTGTGGAAAGAGATCAATGACGCAAAGATATCCGTCTTTGGTTAAGTTAATTTTATCAAAGAATATTCGTTTGTTGCGTTGAGTCAAGACAATCTTGGTTACTTTATTCGAGATACTCCAACCCTTCTGGATTGCCTTGACCAAACTAAACAAACATACACCCAGGTTGGGGACATAATTGTAATACCGACAGTGTCAAGTCATACGTCTTACCATCACGTTGCATTGCCGTCAACTTGATCGTTCCCTTCTTTCGGATCTTGTCTCCACTTCCAACCTTAATTCCTTCATCAATTTCTTCCACATCGTCATTCCACTTGTCCACATTTTCCATATGAGTTGATGCGCCACTGTCTTCAATCCATGTGCTCCGGCGGAAACCTTCTCCTGACCTCCTGGTGAACACATACTCATACGCTTCCTTCATTACCTTATACATCTTCCAGTGCTTCTTCCTTTCCTGTCGAACCTTCCTACTGCCACGCTTTAACTCAGCCACATTACGCGACGCAGTGGGAAGTATGGTAACTGAAGGATGATCACCTGCATTCCTGTTTGCACGTTGGCGTCCACAAAGTAGCTCACTTGGTCCTTGTGTGACTAGGCCCGCATTCAGTAGCCTGTCTATGCCGGGGGAGTTCTCGATCTCGATCGGTGTCAGTCCATCTCGTTGGTACTGAAAAGTGGATGCGTCCAATCCTTGTAGTAAAGTGGAATCTGGTGATACCATCAGTAGGGTGATCACTCCTGAAAAGTTCAAACGCACTTGACAATAGTTTTGCGACCGTTTTCTGCCATTCAGGTCCGTCCTTGGTATTCTGACCCAACATAAACATAAAAAGCCCTTCCCACTTTAGTTCGCGGTGGCTCGTGCCTAGAAAAGTTTGAGGGATGAGCTCGTCTCTGATCGCTACCAGTCGTCTGGACTGTGTTGTCCACTCCCAACAAGCAAATGTCAGCAGCTCGCCCAATGGCTTTGCGACGCTGTTTTTCACGGTAAATGCGATCAGCCGTGACCCTTGGGATACCATACTTCCGTAGGATAGAGTTCACACTCGAAAATCTTCCTCACCGAGCATCATACTCTGGAGTAATCCTTCCTTCTGCACTTGTTTGATTGCCTCGTTGCGACATACTTCTGCTTGTCTGCCCACGAGCACGCTGACCATAATCAATCGCTTCCACCGCACAATCACTTGCCATGGGTTGTGCGAACCCCCTTCTTCCAACAATGGCATATCCACGTGCACATTCCAATCCCGATTGTATTAAGCCTGTGCGACCATCTCCGTTACATACTTCACTTCTACTTCGGGAATGTTGAATGCCGTGAACCCGAACATTCCTGCGTTTACTGTTCCTTCGGCGACGTTTTGTCCGCGCTTTATCATGCACGTTAACATAGCCCCTGCGTTTGTTGTCGTGTCTGGAGTACAATCGCGAAAGAGCAACAAAATGCTGACCCAACCTAGCACCTCCGCCTGGAGCTCCACGACATGGGGGTTGTTCTGTATATCGTATGGCATCATCCTCAGCAAACATCTGAACTGTTCGAAGTTTTCGACCAGTTGCTTCATCTGTGGGCTCGAGTGCCCTTCACATATTTCTTCGGGGATTAGATCGCATGCTTCTTCAGCGATCCTCCTCACTGTATACCACCTTATGTGTGAACGTCCATTCATCTTCGGTTTGCTCGGTTCTGGGATTATCTCTCTCTTACTAGACAGTAGAGCTGGAAGGATATTGATTAAATTAGAGAAATTGTGCGTTCAAGTTCACACCTTTTCAACACTAGCTAGTACATGATGTAAGGACAGCTGGCTGTATCACGAGTGACTCAAGTCTTGTCGCTCCAAGGCCAGACTGCATTGTTGCCAAGAGCCAGCAACGGAATCTGCTAATGATCGACTGGTAAAAGAGCTAGCTGCATGAACAAGTACCAGTACCGGTAGTCTACATGCATTGTTACATGTAAGGTTATGTTGAGGTTGTATGCAGCGTCGAGTCGAGTCATCACAGCATGATTGTGAGCCTGCTGACTTGGCAAAGGGAGGAAGCCTTGAACTTTCTATTGTAGACTATTTAGCAAGCTTGAATCGAATCGAATCGAATCGAATCATACGCTTTCTCACGTGAAACGGGGCCTGTCATGAGCACAGAAACGTTGGTAGATAATCTACAGCATAGCCTGCGCCGTGCAGTGGCTGACTGTACTATTAAATAGTAGCATATTATGCCTGAGAGCTCCTGTAGCTTGATTGTTGACCATAATATTATTATGCTGCCGCTTGCAATTAGAGTAACCAGTCTACTCGCAAGTGTTCGGTTGACCATCTTCGAGGCGGCAAAAATCTGAAAAATGAAAAGTAAGCAAGAGCATTGCTTCTTTTTGTTCCTCATTATTCAATCGACTTGACTGACAGAGTCACTCTAATCAACCTCTTGGTTCGGAGTAAAGAACAAGCCTTCATCCAAGGTCGTGTAAGTTGTGTGTACAAATTTATTAGTATTAATAGCTACTCGTAACGGTACAGTAGATTCTGTATGATAGTACTCAAGGCCTTGTGTCACTTGGATTACTACTACAACAGTTCGGATTTTCGGCGATTGAATCTTCTTATGGAAAAGCAATTAAGCGGTACTGAGTACTCAGTACTGTCGAAATGGATGCCTTCAGCGAAATGGCGGACTTTGTTTTCAGACAAGATGCTTATGGTGGAGAACTAGTGACGCAGCTGTGTCGCTAATTATCTTGCAGACATCTACCGATTTCTACAGACAACTGCGCAGAGTACTCTTTTTGCCATAGACAATGGATACTTCAGAGACAGCTGACACATCACCGTGTTCCTCACGCACACGCACATCATGATTTCTACTCTCCCGAAATAGAGAATGCCTTCACAAACTTCTATTTCTCTTGGGGTTGAAAGCATCGCAGAAAGCAAAAGAAAACCAAGATGGAGCGAAAACCGCCGTCGATCAGCGACAATAGGAAACCACCTCCTGTAGCTAGCATGCCTGCTTCAGGAAAGACTGATGCATCCAGTGCTAGTGCTAGTGCTAGTGCTAGTGCTAGTGCTAGTGCTAGTGGTGTGGCCAAAGCGTCTCCGAAGAAACGAAGAGCCAAGGGTCCCGCGGACCCCGAGCTTGAGCACAAGCGCCGCATCAGTCGCAACAGTTCCCAGAGACTTCGTCAACGCGAGAAAGAGCGCTTTGAAACTCTTCACAACCAGAAGAATCAGTTGACCAAAGCCAACGACAAACTCAAGAAGGACAATGAGCTCGTACGAGCGCAAATACAAACAGTGCGCCAAATGCTCGGCACCACCGCTATCCCCAACCCTAACTTCGCGCATATGCCACGTGACATCAATGGGCTTTCGCCGCTTCAGCAGTTAACAGCACCGACTCCCGCAGATCCACCCGCGCGACGTTTGGATTTGGCCGGGACACCACTTGTTGCTGCATTGATAGCAGCTAGCAGTGGTGCTCCCGCACCTGCTGCCCCTGTGCCAACCAACAACAACAGCAACCTCTTGTCTCTGTTGACTGGTACTAGTACCGTTAGTACAAGCAACCCACCAAGAAACACAAACAGCCAAGACTTGCTTCAGCTTGCGGCTTCCAACCCCCAAATCGTTGCACAGCTCATTGCAGCCTCGCAGCCTTCTCCGCCGCCACCACCGGCGCCAGCCCCCGCTCCTCGTGGGGATGAATCATTGGAACAAGCGATTATGCAACTCCTCCAGGAACGACAGCAGCAGGCACAACGACAGCAGCAGTTGGAGGAACAAGCGGCTCTGGAACGGCTAGGCACTCTTCTAGCTATTCAGAATCTACCAGCCTCTGCCATCTCAGCCTTGATGGGATCTGTGGGTCCAGCTCCTCCGGCGGCAGCACCAGTGCTGTCACTCATGCAACAGCTACAGCCGGGGACTGCGGCTTCGTCTGTGTCCACGTCGTCATCATCATCATCAACCGCAACATCCGCAACGTCCATGACTGGTCAGGATGTACAGCAGCTCCTCCAGCTATTGCAACAGCAGCAACAGTCACAACAAGTACAATCACAAGGACGAAGACAGCAACAGCCCTAAGACTGCCGGTACATATTGTTTCATGTCTAGCTAGCTGGCTGGCCTAACTATTAATACTAGAGTACCGGTTTCGATCCCTTGCTTGTGGCTTGCTTGTACTTAGTTAGACTAGACTAGCTGCTAGCTACTAGTTCTATCTATTTTGCCTCCATACAAGGCGTTCTTACGCGATGGAAAGCTGCGTGTCAGGGTCCATTCACTAGCTAGACTACTACTCGGGCCAGATAGCAGTTTCTGGATGATTGGCTTGGATGAATCATTCGGCTGATTCGCAGCCTGAGAACTGAGAACCTACACGTCGAGGGTCCAGGGGAAAGAAAGCCTGCGAAGAAGCACACATCATGTTCTTCAGGAGAAGGCTGATACACGGAATAACTACCGTGCATGTACAGTACTTACCAGTGATTGTTGGCCAAGAGCGACAAAGAAGCCTGGGGTGAGGGTGCAGGGGACGGAGAGAACCACACAAACGCTGTGGTGTTCCGTCCCTGCGGAAGTGTGACAGATAGAGACACACCTGAGCACCTGGACGTCGTCAAGTGTCCAAGGACAGCTGGGCTGTTCTTGTTGAAGGCTACGTTTCCAAGTACCGAACCAGTTTCGCTGTTGCGTGGTTTGGTGGCTTGCGTTCGCTGCGTCTGCTGTGGCTTGCGTTCTCCGGCTTGTGTTCGGTACCAGGTACGAGTGCTGCTTCCATGTCAAGGCTGGTTGTTTGCTGGCTTGCGTCCGGTGCTGCGGCTTGCGTCGGATGCTAGTCTATGTTTCACTTTGCTGAGTACCGTTGGTGGTACCGCTGCTGTCCACACCGTTCCCAGTTGCCAAGTCCAACGCTGGGTCGCTCGCGCCAGGCTAAAATAAATCTGCAGCGTGCATACAACTCTGCATGCTGTCACCGACTGCTTCCCCGCAGCTGATGGGGAACGTCACCGCAACTTGAACTGTCTTTGAAGTTCCAAGCAACAGTTAGTTGGTAAGAGAAATGTTGTTCTTCGCAATTTCTTTGCGACTGGACTGAGCCAGGCTTTCGATTAAGACGTCCTGTGTCTGTCACCAATCTAGCAAAAAGTGACTGAGATACTGTAAGTCCCACCAAATTATTGCGTGGAGACTCTTCACAAAGTTAACTCCAGGGTACGGGCCATCGGAAGGATAAACTCGATCTTTTTTCTTGTGTTAAGACAGTCTATTACTCCTTGTGGAGGGCCTGTCGCAACTCCAAGATCTGGTGGCAGGTGACCCTTTTTGTCACTCTTCGGGATGCGTGGCCAGGAAGGCTTCACAGGCCAAACGAGAACAACGGGCACCTGGATGCATGGTAGAGGGCAGCTCGCAAAGCACACATATTGCTCTGGGCATGACCAACTCTACAATGGCATCAGATTCTGGTATGGATAGTGACATGGGCGACAAAAGCCAAGCAATGGCACCATCATCCGAGGCAAGAGCAGAGGTAGTCACTGGTCTCGCTGCTTTGGAGCAGTACATCAACCAGGAAACCACCAAGCCAGGAACACACGATGTTTTGTTTGGTGAGTCTACATACATGTGGATGATGATTGTGGATTGTCTCTACTATTAATAGCTAGACTGTCCCTCATTCGAAGTTACATCTGTACATGTACATGTACATGTATACCAACAGGGAGAGGCGGAGAAACCAACAATCATAGGTACGTCTACGTCTACGTCTACGTCTGCATCGTACACTGTACCCGTATCAGTGTTCTCCAATCTCCCAACAATCGCATAGTCTGAACTTACTTGTACTTGTATAACTTCTCACCGCACCACAGTGGAAACATCAAGTTTCGGCAAACTGTGGTTGAATACAGAAAGGACTACAAAATGGCATGCAAGATGGACAAGCCTCTAATCTCCAGAAAACTAGGTAAGCATTGCACATTGCACTATTCGATTGAATTCAGCAATCACTCACTCATCATTCGTGGTCTGTATGCTACCATGGGCTCGTGTACCGGTACCACAGTGGCATATTGGCGAAGTCTGCAACCACCTGGAAGATTTCTGGCCAAAACAAACCGGTTGGATGCTTGGGGTCATTTTGTGTGGAAGGATGTTGGGGACAAAGCAGCACAAAAACGAGTTTCCAAAAACTTGGGAGAGCGAGACAAGAAACGGCCTTCTTCTTTCTCTTCATTGATGCAACAATCCCCACCTGCAAAACACCAATCGCCGTCGGTGGCAACGTTGCCTACAGATACGAGTACCACCAATTCCGATGAAAGCAATGCCAAGCTTCCACCTCCCATGGCACCCACGGACTTCAACCAGAATATTGAGAGTATGAGCGTGCACATGAGCAGCTACAGTGGTTACCCCCAAACCAGCGTCAAGGTGACAATGTAGTGTTGCTGTGTGCATTGCCATTGATCCTACCGGTATTACAGTAGAATACTAACACTGCCTTGCCTGTCTGCTCCGCACTACCAACCTCAAAAACTATACAACAGGACACCACGGTCAACCTAAAAACTGAAGAAGTTCTCGGTGGGAGTCTTGGAAACAGCACCAGCAATCACATGCTAAACCCTTCTGATGCTGGTCCAGCTTCTCCCGCAGAAGCAACCTCCAATGTCAACGCGTTCTGTGACATCATTGGTGCCAACACTTCCGGTCGATTCCTCCTCGAGAATTCTATGCCCACGGCTGCCGAGCTTGTCAGATCAACATTTGGAGAGAGAAGCGGCAACAACAGCAGCAGCAACAACAGTGTTGCGTCCTCTTTTAACTAAGGATACAGCTCTTCAGCAGGCCGTCATGCATGGAATGGAATGCACAAGGCAAGGTGCAATAGTCCAGCCACTACCATCCTTGGCCGAACAGCGGAAATATCTCACTCACTCATCGAGTACAGTTTGGGGCTGATTCGCGGCCTCCCCAGACAATGTGAGCCCCAGCTGTGGATGGCAGCAGCCAATGCAGAAGTCAACGGATTGAATGGAATTCATTCCTGCAGTTTCTCCCACGGTGCCGCATCCCCCAAAACAAAAGGGCCTCGAGATCAGGACTTACTGGCCAGCTCGCTAGTAGAGAGTGTGGACAGTGTGCGCTGCGGACAACCTTCACACTCAAAGGCTGCAATCTCAAAACTCATCGAAACATGGTCAAGCATGGCTAGCAGGGATGATCTGCTCAACGGTGGTGAAAACTTTGGGATACCAGAAATCAGGACAGCTACCGTAGGGAGTGTGGTACCGGTAAGGGCACCCTTGGCGGTCTTCCTGTGAGATCAATCCCTGCTTGGGCCGTGTACGGTGAGGTTACTCGAGGCTTCGGCTGCGACAAAGTGTCCGTCCCATTGGGACCATATCCGTTATATAAAGATTTCGTTGTTTTTGCGGACAAACTTCTCATGGTCCTCCTGTCTTGCCCATGTTGCCAAATAGCCTTCTTCGAGAGGTGGGACTTGTCCTTTGTGCACATACAATAGCAAAGTCTTCGAGACAGGGGTGCAGGATGATGGGTGATGGTGATGAACACGACAAGTCTGCGTCTGCAGATGGCACTGAGGAAATCTCGACTGTTGAAGAGCAAAATGATGGAACCACCAGAAGCACACAATCAGGCGAAGCTGCTTCGTCGTCTTTTCAGCAATACATCAATCAGGAAACCACCGACCCAGGACAGCATGATGTGCTTCAAGGTGAGCAGTGGCAGCTGTGTGAAATGCCAACTATGGAGTCTCACACTGTGCATTTACATGCCACAATACAGGGAGAGGCGAAGAAGCAAACAATCATAGGTACGTCTACGTCTACATCTACTTCCGGTAGTCCTGTATCGGTATCAGCGTTCTCCAATCTCCCAACAATCTCATAGTCTGAACTTCTGAATCACACCACAGGGGAACATCAAGTTGAGGCAGATTGTCCTCGAATGCAGAGAAGCATACAGGATAGCATCCAAGATGGACAAACCGGAAGTGGCAAGAAAACTGGGTAAGTGCGTAGCGGTCTTCTGTACCGGCTGGTACAGCAATAAGTCGGCATCCTTTCTAACATAACCAATCAATCGTTGTAAGTGGCACAATGGAGAAGACTGGAACCCCCAGGGCGATTCCATTCCTGGCCAAAACAAGCCAAACTGATGCCCAGGGGGGAAGCCTATGGGTAGATGCTGGGGACAAGGCAGCACAGAGGCGAGCCTCCAAAACCTTGTGGGAACGAGAGAGAAAGCGACCGCCTCCAGGTCCCAGTGCTGTCTTGTTTGCGCAAGCCACAAGCCATACTGCGGACTCCCTCTGCAAGATTGCTCACGTCAACATCCAATGCCTATGCTATGAACAGCAGCTACGGTGGCAGCCATGGCAGAAAGTTGTCCTGCCCCCGCCATGGCTCTGGGCTCACATCTTGACCCGTCGCTCATGTGCAACTTGGAGCAGACAATGCTATGGCGACTTCGGCAGCAAAGTAGTAATCAACACCCCGACCCTCGTTTTGGAGTCACACACATCAAGACGGGCACAAGTACTAACTGTAACAGCAGTGCCAACAGCTTTGCCAGCGGCGCCCAATGACAGAATACTGCGGGCTGCAGCCGATCTTGCCAAGACAACGTTTGGGCGAAGTGGTAGCAATAGTGAGGCATACCAGCTACTGAGCTGTCTGTGAAGTTCCACTTTCACTCATTGGCCCCACTTGTAGCCATGCAAAACGTGGAACCATCAAGAAGTCTGCCTACGGGCAGGAGATGATTAGATCTACTCCGCCCCTGCGTTTCGACGAGACGTTGTCATTGGCGGCAGTCAGCAACCTACCTGCAAGCGCTTGGCCCGATTGGGCGTGCTCTTAGCAGGAACCCCCTCGTCTATGTCAACCAATACAGACCGGTGTGGTGTCTGGGAGACGCTGCCCGTAGACCAGCAGCCAGATAGCTAACGCCAAGGACTACCCAAACTAACATTGTAGCGACTCTCATAGATTTATTTTAGTTATGCATGGTGTTTCAATGGTGAAACTTTATACTCTCTAGGCTTTCTTACGATTTTCACCCCCAACTTTGAGATCCCCGGCCATTAAAGTCGTGCAGGTTTCCCGTCTGGCGAGGACAGCACCGTAAGCATGTCATACGTGGGGCTCGGCGTGATGGAATGGGTTGTGGCTGCCTGGTTGCTCCATCTCTCTTCTCTCTATAGATCGTCTTTTTTAACTATTGGTGCCAGACTCGTCGTTTCCATGCTGCGTGACTTGCATTGCTGGTTCTAGCGAAACCAGAATCTCTATTCCGAGGTAGCGCAGATCTCGGTGGCACAAGTAGCTAAACTATCGTCTAGCGATGTGGCAGCTTTCTTTTTGGATTCGGAAGAGAGTTTTCCAGTGGGGCATTTGAAGACTGCATCAACAATTGTTGGGTCCAGCAGTACTACGGTGGCCCCATTTTCCCTCTTCTTGTATGGATTGGATATTGCTGCCTTCGTTCTTTCAGAACAGGCAGCACCACTCCTGGTCGGAGTGCGGGCGGTGTGCCGAAACAGGTCTGCTGTCTCCTGGTCCAGAGTAACAACAGTCGCTTTGGATTGCTTTTGGCCCATTGTTTTGCTCGCTTTCTTGACTTCTATCAGTGTTAGTTCTTATGGAGCCGATAGACTAGTACAGGAACGATTACTTGTGAAAGCTACCCATTTATGTCTCCGTGGATCCCGCAAAGCCAAACCCTTTGCCCCCCGTAATGGTCCTCAATTTCTTGCCCCTGATCCCTCAGAACCTAGTCCTGAATTTCGACTGTTTTTTGCTTAAGCCTGGCCCCGGCTGGCTTCCGTAGATAATTTCCCTACTCTAAACCCCCATATATACTAATGACAGTAGTGGCGAAGCCGCGAGCTAAGCTAGCTACTAGCTCGAGGGTGCGCCAACTTGAAGGGAAAACGGGAGCATGCGGGAAATAAGTTGATTGGTCGGCCAAGTGTGTTTCATGCATGTCTTGGACCTTCGAGTTACAGCCCAACGGTGAGGCATGGTTGGAAGGAATCTTTTGCATGAACCCAGCCAGAGCAACCAATGCTTTGCAGAGCCCACCAGTTCGCCGCCAGATTGCTGCTGGCTAGCTACTACTAGACTGTTGTTTTCGTGTCCGGCCAGTGAAGCCACAGGCAGTAGAGGCTCTATGCCGTACTAGCTCGTTCGCATTCATCCCATACATACTCAACCCACTAGTTGAGCTATAATTTCTTACAAGCAAGCTAGTTGCAATGCCCAAGCAGCTAGCTAGTTGCGCCTGCGGTGGCTGGGCCTGGGTTTAATGATGCCATTGCAGCTAGTAGGCAATGAAGCTTAGCTACATGTACATTTGAGCATCCTACCATTCTCTCCTGGCTGGCCAGCCAGCCTTGAAGACAAGGTAAGCAAAGAAGCTGGCACGTCGCCTTCCCTTTGCTATAACAACGCCTCGAAGCCCCAGCGCAGTCACAGCTCATTCTCAGAAGAATCCAGCACTCGGATATATTCGAATGAGCTTCGACTTGGCCGAATAGTACCGGTACAGTATTCGATCCAAATCGAACCCAAAAGCTTTTGGATCTTTTTCAAAGATCCGTCGATCGGAAGCTCCCTCATTTTTTGAGTAGAACGAGAAAAGCAAATTGGAGACTAGCAGCAAGGCATAATACATCATAACAGAGGCAACAGAGCAGTAACCAGATGATATTAAATTTGTTAATTATTCTTGGTCAGCTGAAGCTCCTTCATGTCTGAAGGAAGCAGAAGTTTGGAAGAAGAAAGATACCAAACAAAAAGAAAGATACCATCAAGATCCTCTAGAAGATCCGTGATCTCATAATATGGAATCGAATCGAAATCAATCGAGGTTGATACGGTAGGTAACAAGTAAGAGATTTGATTTTAGTTTGACTTGACTTGACTTGACCATGGTGAAGACGATTATCAGCGTGGATCCGAAGAAGCTTCCTTGGGAACAAGGGCAAGATGGCGAGACGCCTTTGCACAATCGTTGGCATCCGTCGATTCCTCCCGTGGCAACGGTCGAAGAAGGCCAAGTCTTTCGTGTGGAGTGTGTGGATTGGACGGGAGGACAAATCAAGAATGATGACAATAGCGATGACGTGAAAAATGTGGACCTAAGCCAAGTTCACTATTTGAGTGGACCCATTGCCATCCCCACTGCCCAACCCGGCGACCTGCTGAAAGTGGAACTCTTGAATCTTGGAACCCTCGATGGAGACGAGTGGGGCTTTACTGGAACATTTGCCAAGGAAAACGGAGGTGGATTCTTGACGGACCATTATCCCTGTGCCTCCAAGGCTATTTGGGATTTGGATGGTATTTATTGCTCCAGTCGACACATTCCTGGAGTCAAATTTGCTGGACTCATCCATCCCGGACTCATTGGAACTGCTCCTTCCCCAGAGTTGCTCCAAATGTGGAATGAACGAGAAGCAAAGCTCTGCAGTGAAGAAGGAACCCCCGAGGAAAAGACACTTTGTGGATGTCTCAGCACTCGTCCCTTGGCATGCTTGCCAGAACCCAAGGGAGCCATGCTAGGAAAGCTTGGACACTTCAAGGACAAGGCTGGAAACGACGAGACATGGGATACGATTGCACAAGAAGCTGCCAGGACTGTCCCGGGAAGAGAAAATGGAGGCAATTGCGACATCAAAAACTTATCTCGCGGATCCACCGTCTACTTTCCTGTTTTTGTCCCAGGTGCCAACTTGAGCATGGGCGACATGCATTTTTCTCAAGGCGACGGAGAAGTCTCGTTCTGTGGCGCCATTGAAATGTCAGGATTCCTCGACCTACGTTGCACCGTCATCAAAGATGGAATGCAAATGCTTCCAGTGGTCGGTCCTAGTCCATTGAGCGTCAATCCGGTCTTTGAGATTGGACCACTGGAGCCGCGATATTCGGAATGGTTGGTGTTTGAAGGCGTTTCGGTCGATGAAAAGGGCGTTCAGCACTATTTGGATGCCACCATTGCGTACAAACGTGCCGTGCTGAACTGCATCAAGTACCTGGCCAAGTTTGGTTACACGGAACAGCAAGTGTACCTCATGTTGTCTTGTATTCCGTGCGAAGGACGAATCAGTGGTATTGTGGACGTCCCGAACGCGTGCGCTACTCTGGCGATTCCCCTGGCCATTTTCGATCGAGATGTGCGTCCTCCTATGAGCATGGACAAACTGGAGCAACTGGCCAATGGGATTCGTGTGCTGAAGCAGGATGTGTGCCTGTCCACCGAAGGAGGTGCCGTCCCTAACGATCCCCGTCTTGGTTAGTACAATGTCATGCAGTAAGTCCATTCCGTTCCACCCACAACAGGCAGCCAGCAACAAACGGCAGCTTGAATGAAAGCCTTTGATCTCCATGGTTGCCTTGGTTCCACTATTAGCTGTTTGGGAGAGAAAGACCAGTGGCAAGCAATGCGTCCTAGACCAGCCGGGCCGAAGGTTGCGAAAGTGAGCGTTTTTACGAGTAATACATGAGTTTGTTGCAGCAGCCCGTTTCGTCTCTTCCCCGCCATTAGCTACTGTAGCTAGCTAGCCGTGAAGATAACTTTAGAAGACATCAGTAGTGACAGTATGGGCAACATCGCGTCATACGATACCCAGCAAAGTGTACCGACATAGCACCTGTTGGCTGGGCTTACTGGTAGCAGCAACCGTGCTCTCAATTAGCAGATCCGATACCGGTACGGGCAACGTCCCGTCGTCTATCCAGCAATGTGTACCAGTACCGGTATGGCAGCTGTTGGCTGTGCTTACTCGTATGATAGCCGCAACCATGCTCTCTACTACTCTAGCTAGCTAGCTAGATAGGCCATCTGTACAAACCATTTCTTTTCCTAATAAAGAATTATAGATTACATGTATGTACCTTATCCAAGATCCAAGAATTATGTACTCCCACTGTCCAACTACTTGTACCGGTCCTGTGCGTAGTAGTTGCGAGGGCGTTTACATCAAGTCTCCCATGGGCTGAGCTCCACCAGTGTTAGAAGCGCCACCTGGCGAGGAGGGTCGATTTCCGTTCTGTCCGGCAAGTAGGGCTCTGGTCAGCGAGTTGCTGGAGGACCCATCGGTAGCAGTGGCACCGGGAGGCATGGCTCCCTTGGACGACTGCTGCTGGTGCATGAGCTGAAGGTACCTGAGCTGAGCTTGAGAGGGGGGATCCGGGTTGGCAGCACCTCCCAATCCAGTGGTGGCTCCTCCTAGTCCCACCATGGCAGCCCTTCGCTGAAGCTGAAGTTCTGCAGCAGCAGAAGGATCCAGAAAGGGATTGCCTCCTCCACCAGAGGAACCCAAAAAGGCATTGGCAGAGGGAACACCGTTCATGTTCATGTTCATGTTCATTCCCATGCCCATATTCATGCCCATGCCACCACCCATTCCAACCATGGCCGTCATGCGACGGAGTTCCCCTTCCAATTGAGCCACACGGACCAGGAGGGCTTCATTGTCCGACTGAAGGGACGTATTGTTCTGTGTCAACGACTGCACGCGATTTTCCAAAAGTTCCATACGCAACTTCTTACGACGACGACGAGCGCGAGCACAATCACGATTCTGAGCCAAGCGCTTCTCTCTCTTGAGACGTTCCAAACGATCATAACGATCACCTCCACCTCCACTACTGGTAGCAGTACTACCAGTAGTGGTTGTAGTGGCCATCACTTCTTCCTCTTCAGAGTCAGAGTCAACATCATTGGCAGAAGCAGCAGGAGGCATCTTGGTAGATTCTTTAGAAGAAGATGACATGATCTTACTGAAAGATAATGATTCGATTCGATTCAATCTGGCAAGTTGGTTGGATAGCTGAAGGCTCAAGTACCGGTGGGTGCAAGGTACAGTGTATTTAGTCTGTTGTGTGGGGCGTTTTGGAGATCGCAGTGAGAAAAATTGTGGCAGCACAGAGTGTTTTGTCACGGAGATGGTGGACTTGGATTCTGGCTGGTTCATCGTTATGAGCTCTCATGACGTTGCAAGGAAGCTTCAATCAATATGTTTACTGTAGAGTATACGTTGAATTTGTGGGATTGCAAACTGTACTGCTCTTTTCCTACGGAGCTCTGCGTAGACACTATTATGGTTTCCATACAATAGCTAAGTAAGCTCTAAGTATCAGCCAGTATCACTCCTGGCAACTGATAAGACCCGCTGACGAAGCATTAGGTTTTACAGACGCAATGGCTCGCTTCAACTCAAGCTTCTACGGATTCCTACGAATGTCCCGACGCACTTAGGCTACCGCCGGTAGCACCCTACCGCACAACTACAGCATACGACAACGATTGACTCATGCCGCCGTCACTTTCCGTAAACAGTTCCAGGAAGTTCTTTCAGATGGAGGGGTCTTGGAGGATCTTGAAGACTCCACTCCCGCGCAATCCTGCTCTGCACACTTTGAGCTACTTAGTAACAAACGCTTTAAAATGAACTGGTACCGGGGAGAAGTCAACAACGGTGCAGTCCACAATGCAACAAAAAAGGGGGGTATGGAGCTTTGAATTATGAAGTAGTCTACTAGTACATGACATCGTACTAGTTTTGGTTAGGTCTATTTTGAGGGACTACTAGAGCAGCAGTGAAACAATCATACTCTAGCTAGTATCTAATTTGCATGCCTTCCAAAGTAACGTCGCCGATGACGAGTAAGCACGCCAAGCGGAGACCCTGTGTGCAGCTTTTCATACTAACTGGTGAGACTAGGAGCAACTTCACCTCCGTGGGGGTCTCGGAAGCAACGTCCCCAAACAATTTTTCATTCGTACTTTCCTTTTGAGGCAAAATTTAATAGTAAAAGAGCTATGATAATAGCTACTATGCATAGTAGTAGTCAATGTCCAACCAGTACCAGTATCGGTTTCAGCGTACAGAAATCACCCCATACGCCAGTTTGATGTCGCAGGCTCAACGGAGAGAACCATTAAATCCGTACTTCAAATGATAATGGTGGGGCACTTGTATGGTGGTCGACACAAATGTTCATTGGACTTCTTGATACTTCGCGTTTGGCCATGTTCCACCAATGTGTTAAAGCAATGTTATTGAAGCTAAGACCAGCGTGTGTTAAAAGTCCGAGCCTTCAGTTTCGAAAAAGTGACCTTGGTTCCGAGCGGGGTTTTCGATTGACCTTGTTGCATGATTGGGGTAATCATCTATATTTGTGATTTAAATATACCCAACCTATACGCCTGACTGGAAATGGAAGGTCATTGATGTATCATCGGTAAACTCAGCTGTACCAGCAACGTCGCCGGTAGCTGCCGGCACAAGAGAAAAGAAGTAAGGTGACAGTCGATGATTTAGTCACTGGAAGCGGTTACGATGAGCAGGTTTTTCTTCGCCGTGAGGTCTCCGGAGATGTTGTGTTTTTAGTAGCAGTCTTGCACAGTGGACACCTGGCAGAAAGTATCAACAGCGCATCCTCACGACGCATGTTGATGTCATGGTGAGAATGGATCGGGTTGATGTGCTCAGAAAGTCGGGCAGGAGACGAGCGTAGCTGTCGAGTTCTTGGAGCTTTTCTTGCGGTATCGGGTTTTTGATTGATTGAGTTCTTATGTTCTTATCTAGCTACTAGCTAGCTAGTTGTGGTCGTAGTAGCCTATGTTAGCAATACCGTACCATTGCTTTTGTGTTGGAATGTAAATTGGGGGACCATTTTTCTTAACAAAGAGGTGATAAAATCATAAAATTTTGGGTCTGTGGGCATGCCTTATAGTATAAGGGAGTCCCATAGACCCTCATTTCTTGATTGTTGGTCACTTCCTGGACCGCAAATTGGTCCCCCCTTTTGAGGAGGGTGCTTGCTGTCCCAAGTCGCCATATCTAAAGGCCCGTATCTCAAACAAAACTTGACCTTTTTCGAAAATTTTTGCGGGGAATGATATCTACTCTTTTAGGAGAAGTCAGAACTGTCTATTATCTTGAAGATAATAGGATTTCTAGAACACCCATATTGCTAGGTGGGTAGCTTGACAGGGTATAACTACCTGAAATATGGTGGGGCAAATCAATTTTGAGTTTTTCACCTTTTTTCTAATTTATTGATCTAAACATCCAAAATGAAAAATCTTGAATTTTTTTCTACATGACACCACTTTACCAAAGGTACGGTACTTGTACATGTAGTTGTAAAGGTACTAGTACGTACATGTAGTTGTTTGTTTTGTTTTGTTTTTAATTTTAACATATGTAAGAGATGTTACCATGGGAACATACCGGTGCGGTAGGAAGAAGAGGAGGAAACAGAGGACATCTTTGCCAAGCTGCATGTAGCTAGCTCAGTAGCTAGTAGAAAAGCCCAGACCTTGCGTTTGCCAGGAGGGAAGAGGCGAAGCGGGAGTCTACTCCTGACAGAGGCATGCTGGTTTCCAAGGAAGGAGAATCCCTGCCTCTGGCAAAGATGGAGGCACTGCTACGAGCCTGAAGCATTTCCATGTAGCGCAGCTTCTCAGCTCGTTCCAGAACAGCAGCTGCACTGGCAGTGGCAGAGTCCACTAGGCTCTTATGCTGCTGCTGACTGTGGGTAAGTCCATGATGTCCAGTCTTGATGCCTGTCAGAGCTTCCAAGTCAAAGGAGGCACCTGCAGCATTAGATCCCCCCAAAAGAGAAGCAGCAGAAGGAGGCATATGTGCACTGGAAGGACCAGCAGCAGCAGATGCTTCCAACATGTGGGAGTTTGCACTCATGCCCAAAGCCCTCTGAGCTCTGGCACGGTTGACTTCCATTTCCAATTGAGCCACACGAGCCAGCATGGCTTCATTTTCTTCCTGAAGACGGCCGTTGGCCTGGGTAAGGTCTTGCACTTTGCTCTCCAAGTGTTCCATTCGAACCTTCTTACGACGACGACGGACTCGAGCGCATTCACGATTCATTGCAAGACGCTTCTCCCTCTTGAGTTGTTCCAGACGATCATAACGACTCGCTTCATTGCTTGCCTTCATACCAGCAATATCAACACTGCCGTTCATCATTTCTTCTTGGGTGCGCTTGGTGGACATGGTGGTGGTGGTGGTGGTGTTTTTAAAAAGTGTGAACTCAGAAAAGTGATCTTTGAAGGGTCTTTTTGGGTTTTCCGAAGTAGTTGGAATTGTGAGTGAGATGATTGCCATTCTCAATTCTCCTCACTCGCCCAAGTCGGAAGAGAATTTCGAGACATGGTAGGAAACGTAGGCACAGGACACAGGAGTAGCTCACAGTAGTCAAGGCCACGCAGCTGTACTTTCACGCTGGAAAAAGACCTGTTTGACTGGGACAGGTGGATGCTCAAACTGTTCCAGGGCATGAACAGGCGCGTCAGAAAGCTCAATTGCTGTGCTGCTAAGGAAACTCTGTATTCTGCTTGAGTACACTAACATTTACTGTAGCGACCCCGCTTTATGCGCCACTGGCCAAAAAGCAGGAATGGGAATGACGATTAGAAATGGGTGAAACCAACAGAACACAAAAAGGGGGATTCAACCATTCCGTATTGTTTGATACATCAGGTCACACATCAATCAATACCAGTATCAAATAGATTTCATTAGGCTGCACCTCAAAAAGTATAGAACTCCTCTTCGTTAAGAGGTTTCTTGGGTGTCTTATGGTGCGGAAACTTGAGAGCAACAAGGAGCTTCCAAGACAGGGCACGATGCCTTATGGCGGAAACATAGTTATGAAAAGCCTAATGGTTTGGAGATAATGAATTAGTTGGGTGGCACTTTGTTTTGTCAGCTTCTGTTTCTTTTTAACAGTTATCAACCGGGATCCTAATTGAAAATCTATCATATGTTAAATCAGCGGATCGGATATTCTCTGCGGAAGGAATTGGCCACCCAATGATCGTCGCCACACAGTCACCATTCAGCAAGCTGAGTGCGCGCGGAGTAAAAGCTTGTAGTAAAGGAAACTTCAACTGTGAATCAAAACCACTCGAGCGATTTTGCTGGAAATGTCTTTTCTTAATTCAAACCAGCGAAGCTCCAGCTAGTTCGAAAGCAGAATTGAGAAGAGTTTCCTTTAACTCCTCTACACGATTTCTTAGGGCTCTTGATCGTTTATTAAATAGCACTAATTTAACACACGGTTGGGGGCTGCTAGGGGTTGAAAGAGCCTTCAAGTTTCAAAGGTCTTATTTATCATACAGTGCCTAGCTCAGTGCTTTAAGGGTCTTCGTTGCGGTTCCCTCCTTTATTAACGATCAAAGACCCCCAAATCACTCTGAACAATTCTACTATGGACACCTGGACAAAAATAGAAAATGCTTAGGGTGAGGGATATAGAAAATTTTTAGGGTGGTGGATAGAATGATGTCGGAGGACTTGACCAGGTCCCAAGATCTAGGTAGCTCTCCATACGAGATGCATTTTACAACGCGTGTGCTCTGTTGGAGTTTGGAGGGACCAGGTTGTCGTCAGAGGTTGCCAACAAAGCCAGGGCTCTCCACAATCAGACTGACTTCTCCACTTCCAAGTTCATGAATAGTTCAGAGAAGTTGTAGTTCAAATCCTGAATCTCTTGGCATTCAGTATCCTACGATACACGTACTTCAGAAGCAAGTGATACATGTGAAGAGAAGAGGCCACGAAGAAAGTACGGTATCCTATGAGTGAGTACAATTACCGTGGTGCGTCTGGTACTTTGTTATGAACGTCTTCTTGATTCGAAGACCTACGGAAGGTTTCCAAGACAAAGCGACTTGCCGCGAAGAAGCTAAGGGTGAAGACTAACTGGGCAGCATTCACATTCCAGCAATGCTGCAAGCTCACGCCGGTGCGAAAGTAAGTATCAGGGTGGGATTTGCTTCGTACCTGTAAGCAGGCAACCGGTACGAAGCACCAGTGCGTAACGGAATGTTGATACAGAATACTGTACTAGCAATTTGTGTCTCGCTGCTTTCTGCTCATTGCTTGTCAGTCAGGCAACCCACACCCCTGGTTGGATCCACGGTGGTCTTCCCACCGGTACATACGATGTGCCTAGCTGTAACACAAGTTGATCCCTATCGGTACCGGTACGGACCAAACACTCGACAAGCTGTACTATCTTAAAGAGCTCGAGCAACCAACGTTGCACGTTCCGTAACGTATTCAATATTCAAGGCCACGCAACGAGGAGTGCAAGAAGATCTGAGCTGCGTTGCTTTGAAGGGCTGAACGAGCAGTCGAGTTGGGTCGTCGAGTCGCTGGCTAGCTAGAGACTTTGTACGTGTGGGCAATCTTCGAAGTCCCTGACAATCACGATGGGATCGAGCGCTACGAGGACATGATTTGATTGGGTGTGTCGTCAACGTAGATCGTCACAGTATCGTCACACCAAACCTAAAGTTGGAGATATCGAGTTTGCTTCCTGGCTGGCAGAGGGGGTCGAACGTCTGTTGTCGAAAAGGAACGTCATTGGCTTGACGATGATAACGAATGAAACCACAGAGGAACGCCCTCTTTTCCGATGGGGAGAGACGAGTCGAGTGACTGTCGACGAAAAGGTGAATCGGTACACACCCGTGCGCAACGAGCTCACGTCTTTGGTCGAAAGAACGAATTTGTTTACGCTCGGTCGACCTCATGCCGAAACAAGGCGATCACCCCAAGCCACCACTATACCAGGTACCGCGAATCGAGGAACCACAAAGGAGGACGTTCGAAAGTCAACGATTGATTTAAGAGAACCTACTGATTACAAGCACAGGTGGCTGGAAACCAATTGCACACTTACGGTACAATGATGTCTGATGATGGCTGTCGGTGCGTTCGAACAACCAAGCCAATAAAGCCAACAACTTGAATTGAAAAGGAACGGTACGTTATATTCGATGCGTTCAAGTTTGTTGAGCCTCACCGATTGACTTGGTTTGTTTGCTTCCCCCTATTTACGTTTGATGACTAACTTGTGGCTGGCAACTTGCTTGCCTCCAGTGGCAATGAAGGGTGTCAATTGTATCACTGGAATGCTTGAGGACGACGACGACGACGACGACGACGACGACGACGACTGATACGATACTCTATGGCTAAGCCAAGCCAAGCTTCACTACCCCACGAGCTCGGGTTGGAAGCAATTACTACAAAAGTGGATCCAGGTTGTGGCTGAAGGCATGTTCAAATGGGTGGGTTGACCCAACCTCCATGGGTGAAATACGGTAGGGTTGTCATGCGTGATTTTACCGGCAGCCAACTTCACATGTTAGGTAATGGTGGAAGCCCCCTTAAGGATGTGTAAGAACTTGCGTGTCTAACGAGTCAAGAGTCAAGAAGTCTCAGAGGGAAGACGGAAGGCAGACTGGACAATGGATTTGTATACATGTACCGGCACCATATCTGTTTGCCCTTGGGCTGACAGCTCCTTGGACAACGAAAAGTTGGCTCAGTTGTTGGCATTTCAGGTAGGGAGATTGTCATTGCTTGCTTTAAATGTGATGACTGAGTCATCACTTTTAGAAGATTTGTGAAGGATGGAGCGAACCTTTGGATTTCCTGTGCAAAAGCTGTGAATGAATGTTGTCGCCCGTGGGGTACAGCGGCAACTGAGCTCTGCTGGACTGTCCACAACCGGCCTCCTTTGACACATTTACCTGGTATCCTCGTATCAGTGTTGATGTAGCCTCCTTATCTCTCTATTGGCCAACCTTCTCGAGAGCTCGAGAGCTTTGAGAGCCCGAGCCTCCCTGCATCCTCCATTCAATCGTCCATTCCCACTGGCAAGCGCGCAGGTTGTTTCTGTGTTTGAAGATGACCGGTCTTTAAGCTCAAACGACCCTGCAATAGACATTTTTGTGTCCTTCTTCACGGGATCTTTAAATCTCAAGGGTTCCTACTCGTAGATTCGAGACATGTTTGTTAAGCAGCTTGGGTTGCGGCTTTGCTGGGATTTATCCATTCATGTCTTCAACGCTTCAACTGACCAGCATCGCAGTCACAGCTGTATGGAAACCGGTGATTTATTGCTAATGTTTTGCTGGTGGTTGCCAGGCATCTCGCTCAGGCAGGATGCATGCTGAACTTGTCACTGGCACAGGAGGAAGGCAAGGGAATTGGGCTTCCTCAAATTCTTCGCCGAAGGACACAACGATCGTACTTTCACAAAATCAATTCTGCCAAGGTCATCATCAGGCTCAAAGAAAGAAGGAGAAGGAAAGAAACAAAGCTAGCTAGAAGATGGGCCAACAGCAATCCAAAGCCACAGTGGTAACACTGGATCCAAAGACGGCAGAACTGTTCGGTGGTTCCAACAAGAGTGCACCTACTGCTGCTGCTGCTAGTAGTATGCAGGATGGAAGCAACTCTGCTTCTACCTGTTCCTGGGGTAGCAATGGCCACGGCAAAACAGTAGTGACACTGGATGCCAAGACAGTAGAGTCAGTCTTTTCAAGTCCTGATGGAAAAGCTTCTGTTTACTCATCTTCTTCATCAGCATGAAAATGATACCAATATCAGATTACAAGGGGAACAGATAGATGTACACATGGTGGCCTTCTATTCAGTTGAGTTGAGTTGAGTTGGATCAATGGATCTTGGATGGATGCTACCTGGTATGCTATGGTTGGACAAACATGTTTTTTGTTTTTTTGTTACTGTTGCATATTACATGTAGTACTTGGAATACAGTTTTTAAGAATGTTAGAAAACCTGCACAAGTATTGTTTGTTCCTTCTACCTACATGTACTAGCTAGCTACTCTAGTAGTAGTACCAGCCTGTCTTTTTCTCCTTTCTAAAATGTTTGGTACGGTACTGAGTATCATAGATGTTGGCTACCATACCGGTACGATACCAGAATGATAAAGCCATCCATGTGTGATTGATGGCTGATGATGAGAGTCACAGGAACCGCCGTACTATCGCTTAGCAACTGCACGGAACCGTACCGGTACCGGTATGGTCACTTTGATGCATGAAGAAACATGCCAAGAAGTTGCTAAAAAATGGACACTTGAAAATCCTAACGTTTGCCCACGAAAGTGGATGTCCCTGCCTGGGACAAAGCCATACGCAATGGCTGCAGGTGAGCCCATGCCCAGAATGGTCAAGTGGCTGGAAATCCTGAAATATACACAGAGCACGGCCAATGTTCCTTCCTTGGTTTTCAGTATCGGTAGGGGAATTAACTCACCAAGATTCTGTAGAGCACTTGGCTTGGAGCGAAGCAAACGTCCTGTAGACATGGTTGGTTGACCATTCGTTTGTTCTAACTATAGAAATGATTGATCATTCATTCCAAGAGCTACCGCTGTATTTCGCTAGAGTACTAGTAGTTCTATTATAGCTAGCTAGCTAGCTAGTGGGAAGGGCTTCAACAGAGCTGAATAGTTTTCTTCTCACATCAGAAAGAAGAGCAAGGCTCCTGCCCAACTCATAGGTGCTTGCACTCAGGTGTTGAGTCCACAGTCTTTCTGCTGGTCGCCGAAAGAAGCATGTAAGGCTGCTAAAAAGCCAATAGTTTGGATGGTCATTTTGGACAAAGTCCCGGTGTCAAGTGTCAACAGCAAAGATTTTCTTTCAACAGCCGACTTTCCTTGAGCTCCTTCAGCGCTTGCTTCTTGGTCGCCTAGCTACTTCTAGTTCTATTCTATTTTATAATTTTGACTTGATTGACAATGGGCTGCGGATCATCGACTCCTGAAGCCCCGGCGAATCCCGACGTTCCCACAGACGGTCCCAATCCGAAAGTGTATTTTGAAATTTCAATTGGCGGAGTGGAAGTGGGTCGCATCACCATGGAATTGCGAAAGGATGTAGTGCCTCGAACGGCAGAGAATTTCAGAGCCTTGTGTACGCATCAGTATGGCTTTGGCTTCAAGGGATGCAGCTTTCATAGAATCATTCCAGAGTTCATGTGTCAAGGAGGAGATTTCACCAATCACAATGGAACGGGAGGAAAATCCATTTTTGGAGAAAAATTCAAAGATGAAAATTTTGAATTGAAACATACGGGACCCGGTACTCTCAGTATGGCCAATGGTAAGAAATGGAAAAATGAACAAAAATGCAAATATCAATTTTCACCAAATATCGGTTTTACGATTCTTACTTCAATTTTACTTTTCGATATTAATTTTATCAAAATTTTATATCCAGCCGGCCCCAACACCAATGGAAGTCAGTTCTTCCTCTGCACGGAAAAGACAGAATGGCTCGATGGAAAACATGTCGTCTTTGGAAAAGTTATTGATGGAATGGATATTGTCCGGAAAATGGAAAAAGTTGGGTCCAAGCCACAAGGAACCACCAAGAAGGAAGTCCTCATTCATGATTGTGGTGAAGTCAAGGAGGAATAGAAGAACTATGTACTGATGAGATCAAACAAAACACATAGAAAACAACAATATGCAATCCCATGATGACAAGATCAAAACAGAACAAAATGAGTGACAGGCGATTTCGTTTCAAGTGGTGCAGTTTTTTTATTAGTTGAATGGAAGGTGGATCGTTGATTGGATGGATTTTTGATGTTGCCGTTTTTGGGTGGAAGGAAGGAATACAAGTGCTACAGTACCGGTATCACAGGCTACTTGCTTCAAAGACACACACCATGCGCTCCACAAAGCCATGGTCCACTCTTTGAATCATGATGGTTCCGTACCGTACTCCATCTTGCAATATCTCCATGCTTGTATGTAGTGTTTTGTGATGTGATGTGTTACTTTCTGTGCTTTTTGTGTCATGATTGTGAAAACCCACCCGACCGGACCCTTTTGACAGCAGCTGGGTCTAGCTAGTGAGCATGTGTGTGGACCCGTCTTTGAAATTGACCTGGATTTCTTATCAGTACCGGTACTTTTAAAAATGTCAAAATCAATGGTAAACTCTAGGAACGTAGCTGGCTAGTTCTGGATTGACCGTTGAACTGGTTTGGGCACCCCAGTCTTTAGATCCATTCAGAGTCCCAGGTGGTTTGATGCTCAGGGACCAGGTAGCTAAGCTTAGCTAGCTAGTCAACGAGAGATTTCACGTGGTTGTCCGAGACATTTTACTAATCCAATCCTTGGGTTTACTAGTACTTTCAAGCTCTAGCTAGAGCATTGTTGCGCATTGCAGTAAGCATCCCTCGTCACTCCACTCCTGCGCCTTTTCTTCCTTCTCCCACCAACTTCTTCCCGCGGTTCAACCAACTCTGCTGGATTCGATCATTGGCGCCAAGTGCGTACATATCCATCTTTTCATCAGCACCTTCCGACGACAGGACCATTGAGCATTGATCAGGCAGAGCAATCAGCTTTCTACGCCGCCGAGAACATACTAGTACCTAGCTAGAGCAACAGGTTGCATTCATTTGAGTTGTTAGTCTTGATTTTACAGTACAGTTCTGTATTGTAAAATGTCCGACGACAAGGTTGATCAGAAGGGACGCTGTGTGTGTGGCGCTGTGGAGTACCATGTGCAAGGGGATCTCTTGTTTTGTTTCCTTTGTCATTGCCGTGCTTGTTCTTGGGCTCTCTCGGTGAGTCCGGTGCACCTTGTGGGAGTCAAAGCGACTATGGAATACACCAAGGGCCAGGATAAAGTCGTTATCACCAAGGGACTTGGAAAGATGATTCTAGGTCGCTGCAAGGACTGTTTGGTACCTTTGTACCAGAAACCAGAAGATGCCCCCTTTGTCGCACTCTTCCCGCCAGCGTTTCACATTGGAGGAGAGGACTCCCTTGACCAGAAACTACCAGACAAGTACCACCCAAAGTGTCATATGAACTACGAAAATAGAGCCATGGATGCAAATGATTCTCTACCAAAGTACAAAACGGGACCTCCAAACAATCAAATGAATAATGACGGGTCTTTGATTCAACCATAACTTGAAAGCAAAGCAGCAGGATACTCGTGCACTGTGGCTGACGAGACCAAGTGAGGCCCCACACCCCTGCTTCAAAAGTGCTTAGTCCAAGTTTCAGACTTTTTAAAGTCAATTACTAAATGAAGGTAGATGTTTTTAAAAGGCTGTTGTTCGTTTATGATAGACACTGGTATACCAAGACCTGACACCATGGCCCGAACGGGGTCGACGGTGTCGACGCCGCAAAGCTGACCCGCGATTGTTTGTCCTGGACGAGACTCGACTCGGCCCGAAACTTGTGATCGTGCGCTCTGGTTTCCTCTTTAATGAATGATCAATCAATCCTTGAAGTAAGCACGTTCTCGGCTGCTCCCTCCCTTGCAATCTCGCGAACGTCACTTTAAGGCACGGGCTTTCTTTGCAACTGGCAAAGTGCTCAAATCACAAGGACGTTTGGACTAGCTAGACTAGTTGACTCTCGGCGAGATGGGCCACGAGCTTGCACAGCATAGGTATCTCATTGCTACACAAAGACGCATCGTTCCACGACATCGATCAAGGAAACCAAACGCCGTCATGGTCACGTCCCACTTGGAATCTGGAAGGATCTCTTCGTACAATTGTGATTCTCAAGGAATGACGCGACAATTCATCCTGCGCTGTCGGGTCTCCGCATCCACAGCAGCGGATTGGCAGAGGCTCCGTGGAAACGTGGTCGAGGACCTCGCAATAAATTTGCTGCCATTCAAGAAACCTCTCCTATCCTGATTGCTGTGTTTCAGCTCGGGGTTTGAGCTGATCCCTGTACGTGGGCCGTTCCGCCGCACCGCACGGTGCGTTGCAATTTCCCAATCTTGTGAAGTACCGATATCCCGGGTTGAGCCCGAACAATACAGTATAGGATACAGCACATGCTACATGCACTGAAGAAAGTTAAGGTATCCATGGCTGTTCCCTAAAGGCATTCATTAATTTCTAAAGATGCCTTGCATCATACCGGTACCGGTACGGTAGATGGTTACGGTTGGTGAAACACTCGCGGTCGCACAGGTGCGTTGGGCAGGCAATCCATATCTAGCTAGCACGGGTTATCTCCATACAGTTTCTTGTCTCCTTTGTTTGCAGAATCGACTTGACTTGTGATGATGAGGCAGACAACGATTCCTGTTTCTTTGCGGGGCGGCTTGGTGTGGGCATGTGGGCAATCGACTTGGAGGTTTGGAGGAGTTGTCGAAGGAGCAATACTACCGGTAGCAGCTTTAAAAGCTAGCAGAGCGGCCGATACCATCAAGTGTCGGAACGAGAATCTGTGCGGTGACGCACGAGGTGCCCTTGCATGCAAAACTCCCTCCTCACATTTTGCAAAGAAACCAGAACTTCTGCACTTCTGTTTTGTGGAGTCGAGTCAGAGGGAATGCTGGCAGTGACTGAACGATGATTCTTTGCAAGTCGATAGAACAACTACACGCACATTGTGCTGAGCAGAGTGTTCCGGTGGTTCCCCTTAATTATCTTGATCAAAAGCTCAAGATCGCTATACTTGCTGACTGCTAGTCTGCTGTAGCCTGCTAGTCAGTATACCCTTTTACTATGAACTGGAATGTTGAAAACCTCAAAATAGATAGAACACAAAAGCAATGATGACGAGTCGATCAAACCACAAAGGAGTGTTTCCTAATGTTCTAGCAGTATTGCAACTAGTACTGACTGCTCTCGTATTGATGTCCCATGATTGCGATGCTTGGAGCGGATACTCGTTGCCGTTGCCGTTCGATCTGCGTGCCGGTAGGGCCCCATCGCCATCGCTCTGGGTAGAGGTTTCCCCTGCCAACCTTCCCCAAGATCTGGATCGCATTAGAGAGTGTCGTGCCACTGCTTTTGCTGTCAATGCTGAAGCAGAAGAAGATGGTAGTGATAATAATGGTGCGGTGGTGAAACTGCTCAAGCATCAGGAGTCCTTTCTCAATGCAAAGTCGGCCATCCAGGGAACCACTACTTGCCTTGTCGCTCGTGACCGATTGCCACCATTTAGAATCCTTGGAACTGTCGATTGTCGCCCCAAGGCAGATGGTAAATCATTCATTATCAACAACGTCTTTGTAAGACCCCAAGCTCGTGGGTTGGGCATTGCCAAACGATTGGTGCAAGAAGCAGAACGGTTTTCGGCACAGTCGACCGACACCATTCTGCTTGAAGTTGATACCTCCAACACTCCTGCCGTTGCTCTGTACCAAAACTCTGCCTATCGGGCAAAGGGGATATACGCCGTCTTGCATGGTCTAGGAACAGCCACGGGCTTTTCCTTGCGAATGACCATGACTAAGGACCTATCTGCCACGACGATTTAGCCTTGCGACATCCAACAAATCATCTTGTGCTGTGCCCAATACGAGTAAGATTTCCAGTAGCTACCAAAGGTATACATGTTGACAACTGGCCTATTCGTTCGCCTATAAATTATGAAAATGAAAATGAATTCTATTGCTTTGTGTAGCTTCTGTGGATGTGCGTACCGGTATACCCATTCCTGGCTGCAATCTGAGAGCATGCGTCGTTTCGTGGACGCCGTTACCAGCTTCCTCACAGCACAACAGCCCGTTCCACGTCATGGCCACGGGAGCGAGAATGAGACCGAGACCGCGAGGAGTGCCGACTCTTGTGGTTGTGGTGCTGGTGACGCTGAGGAGGACGGGTATGACGATGATCATCATGATGGCGCTTGCTGCCAGTTTTGTTGCTTGCAGGAGACTGATATTTTTGTGTCTCTAGAATCGGGGTCACATGGATCTGTTCATTGCTGGCGTGGTTTGCTGCTGCAGCAGCCGCCGCCAGCATTTCCATTGCCAAGGCACTTCGCTCCAGTCGTAGCGTGCCACCTTCCTTGGTGATCCACAAGAAAATATACAGACAACACGCTGGACTTCCCACAACAAGACACGAACAAGACCACAGCATGGCCGTCCACCAAACTGCCTCTGTTGCCACAATCACACCGCAGAAACAGAGACAAACTCCGTAGTAGTCAATCACGTACGCCAGCAACCATGCATTCGACCAGGCCAGATTGTCAGTGTCCAAAGGAAACAAGTGGTAGTTGATGAATGTTGCCGTCAATGTTGCCAGCGTCACCAGAAGGAGCGCCGCATAGAAAACCAGGCAAAGGAACTCGTTTATTTGCGACATGACCGTCATTGGTTGATGGGGCGGGGCCAACTCAATTGGCTATGATGATACGATACAATGGACAATGGAAGCCCCAAAGACGCAACTGCTTCACTGCAGATGTTGAATAATAAATGAGTGAACTAATAGAATGAATGAATGAGTTGACGTTTGCATCAACTGATCAGACGGACAGGTTCGAGGTTTTCATGAAGACTTTAGCGGTGCACGTTACGCTGAGGCTATCTTAGCTTGCGAAGCAAACGTAACGACACGTCCTTTGCAATTTGTGGAATAGACTGCATGCTGAATGAATGTTTCGCATACCTGTAGGCAGATTTCTATTAGAAAGAGCAGGATCGATCTTTTGCTTTCCAGCACCACATACACGCGTACTTCTGTTCCCCTCGGCTTCCGGAACATCTGCATCGGCCTTTGATAGGCATAGCACAGTGCCTGTTCAACCTTTACAGTAGGAGGTAAACATAGCATCCACAAGCAAGAGCCGTTGATGCAGCCACCGCATGCGGCGGGGTTCCGCGTGATGAAGCCGTTGAGCAATACATTGGCTGCTGAAAGATCTGAAACAGTTTCTCCCGCAAAATTTCGGCGCATGAACATGCACCGCTTCAGGTTTTCTCGTGTTCTCGCGTTGTCGGGACTAAAAAGCACATGGCCGAAGATGATGCTTCAATCGTGGAATTGCTTTTTTAAATATTAGTAGAACCATTTTGCTGCTGCTGCGGCATCTTGCTGATGATGTGGTACCAGCTCAGCAAGAAGTGGTTTGTTCGATTTTAGCTTTGCTTTGGATCTCTAGCTAGCTCTAGCTAGAGTCGAGGCTCGTTGATGATTTCTGTGTTTCTGATGATCTAGCTACGGTAGGCATACCGGCACCTGGAAGACATAGCGGGCCGCCACAAGTACCAGGTATCAGCATGAGGAAGGAATTCGCGGAGTGCCGTGGATACAATTGCATGCTTCAATCTACAGTGTGATTAGTACGGTACAACAGCGTTTTGAAGACGAGTTACTGTCGCCCGGTGCGCGCCAACTCCTCACATCTCCTTACAATGCGAACTCCATTAGGGGTCAGGTGCTGGATTCGGCATATCTTTAGTAAATTCAAGCCACTGACGTCCATTGGATGATGGAAGATGGAAGGCACACAATATTCAAATTCTGCAAAAGCCATTGCATGATCAAGAGACATTACTAGCTAGACTACAGGACTTGCAATGAGAGTATCTACTAAAGGCATGAGGACCTCCATATGCATGGCACACAGTATGCCTGAGCTGCTGATTGTCTTGTCAAGTTTGGCGGTGCTTGCGTTTGCGGAAGCTCATTACAGTTCTGGCAGTCCCGCGACCGTTGCTTTTGTTCCAAGTGCTACTGCTTCTACATGTACTAGCAAAAGCAGTATTACTACTAGTAGTAGAAATAAAAGTTGTCTATTTGGAACCCGCATGAAGTTCCAGCCACCTCCCCGCGTAGTTTCTCAGACAGAGTACATTTCCGTGTCCGCCGATGGCGAAGATGCGTGGAAGACGATGGATTTGGTCGATATTTTGCAGCGGGGAGGCGTGGGTGTGCTACCGACGGATACGGGCTACGGATTCGTGACCCCACTGGACAGCAAGCAAGGACTGGAGCGGTTGCTGCGCATCAAGGGGATTCAAGACTGCAAGAAACCACTTAGTTTGCTTTGTTCCAATTTGAAAACCATTGATGAATTCTGCTTTGGCATTGACAAGGCAGCTTTCAAGGTACTCAAGAAAAACTTGCCTGGCCCATATACCTTCATTCTACCCGCTAAAAACACACTGCCCAATGGAATTGTCATGGATATCAAAGGAGGAAAACATTCCTGGAAACGACAAACTCTAGGTGTTCGAATACCCAATGATCCCGTCTTGAGGTATCTGCAAGATGATTTACTCGATGGCATGCCCCTCTTGGTATCCTCGCTGCCCATTCTGGGAATGGACGACGATGACGATGATTTCATGACACCCAGCACGCAATTGATTGATTGTCAAGTCGACATGAACGCTTCGTGGTGTAACCAGGTCGACTTTGTCGTAGACGCAGGTACAAGACCCTACGATGGATCCACCATTTTTGATCTCAGTGCGACAAGAGGAGAACCTATACTGGTGCGAGAAGGGCTGGGGGAGCTACAATTGGTGCAGTAAAAGGAGCACGACAAATGAATTATTTAATAACCATGCATACAAAATACAACTACTTAGCTTTTCTGTTTTTGCAAAGTGATGCGCATCAAATCGACGTACCGGTATGCCTTATTGATTCGATTCCATTGTCTTGCGTATATTCGGCAGTCCACGGAGACCGCCATTGGCGAATGCTTGGCTGATTCCTCATCATCATACTAGTAAATTTCGACGGAAAAGTGGTGCTCAACCAGGTGCATGGTGAGAAACAATCTCGGGGGATTGAACTTCCATTCCATTCCACCGTATACGGAACCAAGCATGCACAAATTCGCGATTGAATTACCAAAGCGATCTCAAAATGCTACATGCACGGCGGAATTTAAGAGCATCCTCCATGATGTGGAATCAAACCAAGAGATGGTACGGGCAAAGAAGTTGTGTCGGGAAGGTAGATCCCCTTCTTGGATTCACAAACCAATCGGAGCCTGCTCGAGAGCATGGTTGCAATGTACCAGGTACCATACCAGCTGCTGCATTCTCGGCCGGGTTTGATTGATTCGATTCATTCACGTGCGGTAGCGAGCTACGAGCATAGCATGTTTGAGTGAATCCAAGGGTGGCGCCCTTGGTCCAAAATATAGAACCGATGCAATGCCAACAACTAAGGAGGGGCCGAGACGCCAAGGTCACGGCCATGGCTACCGGTGCCGAGCCCCCGAACCAACGCGAGAGCACTTCTATGGCGTGCAAGGGCTCCATCGAGAATCCCCAGCATGTTGTGCAGTGCCTTGCCAAGTTGTAGGTTGCAGAGCTGACATCAATCTTCGTTCCGAGGTTCTTGTAAAGCGCACTGCATCCCTCACCCATTGGCGTATACGTGGTAAAGGCCTGCTTCAGCAGAACGAAGGATTCGCAGCTTTGTGGCTGCTTCGACGACTGCTTCTTCTTCTCGCTCAAAGTCCTTGCCGATTCTACCTTATTCACCAGGGCGAGGCACCCATTTGTGTTCTCTCGCAGTAGAAAGTTTCTTTGCACATGAATCTGCCACCTCCATGGAGTTCGGCTGGCCCCTTGAAGATACTAGGTACGCCGCGTACACCTCATTTATTACAGGAAACTGGTGGCCAGCCAATGAACACTCACTTCCAACCAAGCATGCGAGCTACCCGCACCTCAGATGCCTTCATCGATGATATTTGAGATCTACGGCGCAGCCTCGCCTCTTTCTGCGACGTGGATAGGTCGGCAGCCCTTGACATGTTCTCAAGGATATTTGTACAGAGGATTCTGATATTTGGCGCTCCACGATAGAAGAGAACAACAGAGAAATATCAGACTCGGCAAAACGATCAAGATTATTTCATCATAAAGATGCAAACCAGGGCCGAATCCCACAACTCGTCCGACTCAATGTTTGTTTCCAGGAATCTCTCCAGCACCTTTTAAAAGCACCTTGTCCCAATTCGCCACCAAAGTTTGAGAGGGCCCTGCAAACCTGCCCCTGTGCTTTGATAGTATTCCCCATCGGCTCGAACGCCCCCGTTCTCAGCTAGGACCGCACACGGCGGCGTATGTAGTATATAGCGACGTACTATAGTATCTGTCGCTAAGGTAACACAGTTGACTCCATCCGCTCGTGACGCACCACTTTTCTCTGCGTATAGCCTCTCGTCTTGGTGCACGAGGAGCTTTCGTACAAGACTTTTGCCACTATTGGAAACAGTTCCCAACTGTTCATCGTCGAATCGAATCTGTATTCCAAGTTGACCGTTCTCCTTCCTGTCTTTGCAGCAGGCCCTGGCGGAAGAAGCAAGTAAACTTCCCACTCACTCGGAGAGCTCTACGCTCTATGGTCTCTTGCAAAGTCTTGCCACTGTCAATGCCAACACACTATTCCTAAACCCGGATTGCCCTTCTTAAAGCCACTCATTTATGTCTCAGTGGACCCCGCAAAGCTTGTCTCTAGCATTGCATTCATCAGCATGGATCACAGCTGCATCCGCAAAGTAAGGTGCCTTGGAACACATTTGTGGTGGTCTCTTTGCCCGTGCAGCCATGTGATGCATGGCATTCCCTTTCATAACCACGCATCATGCCACACAGCTGCTTAGGGATGCTCCCAGACAAGGATGTATTCGTGACCATTAAGGTTGTCAACTTGGTCAAGGCAAGGAGCTCTGTGGGTATTGTTCCAGACAAGCCTGTTTCATGCAGTTGTACATGCTGAAGGTTGGACATGAGACCAATCTCACTTGGAATGGTTCCAGTGAATCTGTTCCCATTTATGAAAAGAAAAATCAACGCAGTTAGGCTTGAAAACAAGCCTGGCGGGAGCTTGCCCTCTAGCTGGTTGGAATTAATGTCTAGCCAAATCAAGTCTGCACTGGCATGAAAAGAGTAAGGTAAACTAAGCTAACCATTTTCAAAACATCCCAGACATGAGGACTTACTTCTTATCCTTGATAATTCTGGTGGAAGGTGTCCTGAAAGAGAATTCTCCTTTAGGGATAGATAAGTCTATGAAGAAGATCAAGTGCGGGAAAGAACTGTAAACATACCACTCTAGAGAACCAATCTATCTGATTGCTTTACTTACTAGCTGTGTCATTTGCCCAAGTTGGCTTGGAAGCAATCCTCCAAGGTTCCACTCCTCAAGGGACAACATTGTAAGATTGGACAACCTCACAATTTCAGCTTGGTGTACAGAGATGAGTGAAAGGTAGATGCCTTGTCTGGTACAACAAATTAAAGATGACTTACTGGGTACTCGGGCATTGACATCATCAGCCATGTTGCTTATTAGCATGAGAATCTCAAGCTGGGGAAAGCTTTCAACAACTTTGGGCAGAAGTTTCTCTGAGGCCAGTTTAGGGCAATCCCATATCGTAAAAGATGTCAAGTCTGTTAGTTTGAATATTGCTGAAGGGACTGTGCCTTGTAATGGTATATGGAGTTCAGCATATTAGTGATGACAAATTCATGCCAAGTTGCAACACACAGTAGAAGCGTACCTGTCAGCTGGGTCATGCTTGTGAATTCTATGTCTGTTAGGCAACCTAAATTGCCCAGTTCCTTGGGAACAGTCCCGCATATTCCGGTCCCCCCAAGGCTAAGCAACCTCAACTCTGACAGGAGACCCAGCTCTGTAGGAATTGTTCCTGAAAGCGCTGTAATGGCTGTGTGCATCGATGTCAGCTTTGTTAGTAACCCAATTTCCGTTGGGATCTGCCCTTTCAATTCCATGTTCGCTGACAATTCCAAAAGCTCCAAATCTGCACTCAAAAGGGATAGCTCTGGTAGAATGGTTCCATCTAGCTTGTTTCCATAAAAGGTCAAACCTTTTATATGCCCAGAATCATCACACTGCATGTAGTTAGGAGTAAAGGATCGCTGTTCCCAGTTGCACTCATGTACATCCCAGTCTAACCAGCCGTGATGATTCACCCAAAAGTCTCCCCTGGTGGAGAAGAAGAAGGTAGCCAAAGCAAAAATTTGGGTCAGCCTCCAATTGGGATAGATTGAATGGTTCATTTGGTTCTCCACCAGCCATTCATAAGCCGTGTGTTCGGGAGATCTGTGGTCTTTTAGAGCTTCCAAGGTGTAGTCCGGAAGATTAAGAGATGCCAGAAGGCCATGGACCGAACTTGAACTTGTTGGTGCTTGTGTGGCTGCGGGCAGCACTGGAACCCTAACAACTCCCTTTTCTGTGACTGAATGACTGGTGCCGATAATTCGATTTACCACAACAAAAACCACAAGGAATGTGACCACAATGAGCATGCCAATAATCATTTGCAGTGAAACATAACACATAAGCTTTCTCTTCCAAGCAGCTCTGTCCCTTGGGATAAAGGGGACTCCACTGGGGAGCAATTCTTCCAAACCCTGATGGTCGATGGGATATGCGACAGCTTGGATATCTTCTTCCTCCCAGTTGTCATCTTCATTATTGGATCCCGAAGATTCATCTTCTTCTTCAAGACATGCGTCGATCCCATTAACAGGATAGGCTCCTGGCTGTAAAAACATTTCTGTGAGATTTGGCATGCGACTCAAGAACGTCATAGCAACACTTGAGCTTGGAATATTATCGTTTTGCTCTTGTAATTCCATAACACCCATGAGACTTCTCACTGGACGCAAAGCCTGATGGTGGGACTTTGGGCAACCCGGCTCTTGAGCCTGTGCAGAGTCAATAGCCTCTCTGGCATCAGCGGCTCTTTGGGCTACGATTTCCATCAAGTCAAAGCCATCATTCTCATGGCTACCGCTACTCTTTGCATTATTATTATTATGTAGGCCAAGTGCAGTCAGATGCTCCCTCGGATGTTGTCGATTCCCTACAAGTTGATCATGTCCTCTTATTACTTGGGAATTGCTTTGTTCTTCAACTGCTTCTGCAATCCTCCGTTCCACAATCTTCATCAGCTCAAAGTCGTCATCGCTATTATCAGTATTCATGGTGGTTGGCCCTTCTTTTGGTGATCGCAGAAGGTCTGTGCACGTACTAGCTAGTAGTCTAGCTACCGTTGCTGTTTCTAAGGAAATGTATTAGTGTTGAGGATATGACAGCTCATCAGGTTTATTGTATTGCCTTGTGCTTTTTACCCAGCAAAACCGCTTCAATCAGGTAGATTAGGTACTGGTAATAGTACCCAAATGAGTGTAAGCGAAGGGATAGCGTAGTGTTGTTTCTATAATGTCGTATTACCTCAACTTCCAATTTTACAAAGTTTTGTCCTGGTTGATGTCCACGACTTGACAAAACGCCTGCCAACAACTTGGCACTGTCAGAATTAGAGTACTTTGAACATGTTTAAACGGTGTCTTTCAATGCCGTTTATCCGGAAGCGACGATGAACGTGTGTGTTTCCCACAAAACCAGTCTAAACCGGCCAACACTTTGGAAACCAAACAGCGAGGGCATCAGCAGCGGCATCAGCAGCAGCAACATCCTCTCGACCCCACACGACCAATGACTGGCTCAGGCTACTACATGTACTAGCTAGTCGATCCATCAATCAATCGTTCATTTTGCAACGACTTACTTTGATCTTGTCAAATCTGTCTCTTCCTCTCTCTCTTTCTACTACTAGCTAGTGTCCTGTCCTTTCACAATGATGCCATCAGCTCCAACGGAATCCATGCTGAACGACGAAGCCGCCATGCTGGAACACTACCGCAGTACTAGACATGTCGACGATGACGCTGCCTTGGCACTACGCCTCCAACAAGAAGAACAAGACGCGCAATACGCTCGTGACATTGAAGAGCAGTGCCGACGAGAAGAACGATTGCAGCGAGAGCACCAGCAACAGAACGCACACTTGCCCCCCGTGGAAAGTATGGAAGACCCACGTTTGACCCCGGAAGATGCCCAGCTGGCGTGCGACGAGGATTTGGCGCGGCAGTACGCGTTGGCCGAAGAACGAGCTTTGGCCGCACGAGAGCAACAAGCTGCCGTTGCCACTCCTTCCTGGAGACGACGACTCTGTACCTCCGTGATCCCTTGTGCTATCATTGGAGTGGGTGTCTTGACACTGTACTTAGTCTTGAGGTACACGGGTGACGGAGAAGGTATTCAAATCCCGGGAATTGGAGCACGACCTCCGTGGATGAGTGACAGCGATCCATTTGATGGATTGACTCCCGGTGAAGTTGCCAAGTGGAGAAACAGAGGATCCAATGATGGACTGCAGCTCACCATACTCAATGCTCTATCAGCAGATGAGTCCTGGGATGAAATATTCCCACTCGTGGTCGACGACTGGGATGATGGAACTCCCGATGCGCTCGTTCTTACCGTAAGACAGGCTGATCCTGATCCCAAATGTGATGCCGTTTCCGGAGCTTCCAAAATCTGCAATGGAAACTACGGAGACACTCAGTGGAAAGGAATCAACATTGCCATTCTACAAATGAACTTTATCGTCGCTTCTACCTCCAAAATGAACGAATTCTACCTCGCACGAGCTTCCGACGCGCAACGGCGATACACCATGTGTCACGAAATGGGACATTCTTTTGGACTGCCTCACACCGATGAAGACTTTTTCAATAAGGACCTGGGAAACTGCATGGACTACACCAGCAGTCCCAAAAACAATATGCAACCAGACGAAACCAACTACCAATTCCTAGCGGATCTATACGGAAGCATCGAATCAACCGAAGTCTCGTCACCCAATCCTGCAAATCCACCCCAAAACGAAAACCAACAGGATGATGGCAATCGAAGACGCCTCCGACATGTCACTGATACCAACGCCATTCCAATGGACATTCAATCCAAACTACAAGAGATTCTTCCTGCCATGGAGAACTACAACGTCAACAACGACAGCAACAATGACACGCCTCCCCCACACAAATGGAGACTCCTGCACAGCTCCAAACAGGGACAAGCACATGAAATGGACTTGGGCCATGGATGGAAAGTACAAATGCATAAGCTACTCCATGTGGACGACTAAACGCGTCCTACCTGCAAAATAGATGGAATATAATATCGCTCCAATCGATTCGATTCGATTTGGACGGATACTACTGTAGTATGTCTCGGGGGACAAGCAACGAAAAGGGAATCCAGCACGCAAAACAAACGAAAGAGTGAACCACTCAACAACCATAACGTATTGATCACGACGCATAACTTGCTCAAGATTTTGGCAATACTGTAATAATCACTACTTCATAGACTGACATTGGCTAGAAGATTGAAGATTCGTATCGTATGACATTTACATACAGGAGAGGCATCGTGCCTATTTTTGTGTGGTGGTCGGGTCGACCTAATGGCAAAGGACGAGCCGATAGATATATCCTTGCAGCAACCATAAAGTCCAGAAGTGAGACCTTTTGGGCTCGTTAGGTACCAGAGGCTCTGAAAAATCGATATTAGTACTTGCTTCGATTTGTACTTCAATAAACCTGCCTCATCGGCAAACCCACACCTGGGCTGCAGCTTTGTCGCTAATCGATCGTCAACATGCGGTCCTGTGGCTGGGACCGACAGCAGATCTCAGCTTGCATCATCACTTCAGTTCTGCATTCAACTACGAAAGGCATGTGCGGCAGTCGTGCACACTATCCGGAAGAGTTGATCAGAGTCGTTTTGACATGATCTTTATTATTATTAATAAAGACACTCAACCAGAACTACTCGCAGCAGAAGAAACTGAGACAGAGATTTCTGAAAGAGCCAACGAACCACCACTTGGTGACCGTTTTGGTGGCTGCTTCATGTCTTCTTCAGCCAGCATCTCGTCATCTTCAATGTCACAGTGGATCGAGGCGTCGTCATCATCGTCGTCATCATCAAAGTTGATTCGATCTCGGCTGCAGAACGAAAGCTTGCCACTACCAGAGCTTCGACTCATGCTCATCAAATCGTCGTCATCGTCTTCTCGATCATCGTCAAACAACGTACTAAGACCTTCATCGTCGTCGAACTCGTCAAAATCTTCCATAATGGGACTTTCACGGATGTTGTCTGACGATCGGACACGAGAGTGATCCTGTGGATCACGGTTGCGTTGGCGATAGGCAGAATGGGAAATTGACATCATGTCTCTATGCGACATTGACATCGACATCGTGTCCGTAGTAGATTCACCTTCGCCCTTGTTGTTCTTCATCTGCTTCAATCGTCTGAGCAGATGCCTCTCAACACACACGCGATATGCAATGAAATCTTCCACCATTGCATCCGTGTTGGCTCGGCCACTCTTCATGTCGTCAGGCAGGAATTGTTCGAAGCCAGGAGCCAGGTACTTGTGAATCTTTGACTCTGGCACTATTTTCACACGCTTCCGAAAGGAAGGCGCCAGCATTGGCCTCATGATTGTCCAAATGCCACCAAACCAGCTGGGTGGATTCACAATCAAGAATAGCTGAGTCTTGACTGGAACCATAAACCCCTGCAATGCCATCATAAACTGGTAGCAGTAATTCACGTCAAAGTTCTTCATCTTCCACTTATCCATACACGCAATGAACCCGATGCCTTCCTTTTGAGCATGGAAACTGTTGTTGGTCATTGTATTGATAACGTAGATCAAGTTATCAATGATTGCTCTCGCGGACGTTTTATTCGGAAAGTAACGCGAGGGCCGCATGTAAAACATTGCGTGTTTGTCCTTACTGTAGAGCCCGGGCACGGGGAAAAGAGTCTTGGTCTGTAGCTGTGTCCGTACCTGAAGGATGCTCAACATGACAAATCGCTTCTTCAACTTTCTCTCCGCCGCCCACGCACGATCCTCTGAAAAGTTGTCATCCCGTCTCGAATTACTATTTCGGGCAGTATAGTACAAGAAGCGAAAATGCCACGAGATAGGCAGTTCAAATGCCTTCTTCGATGATTGCTTTGCCTGTCTCGAGTTCCACTTTTGCTTCAAGGCGCGGTAGGCTTGCTTATCCTTTTCGTCTAGCATTGACAACTCTGCTTCAAGGGATGGTTCGTGCGGAGACGGTGCGAATCGCATGGGTCCCTCTCCCATCGTACCACCGCCTGCTGGCTGCTGCCGCGGAAGGGTAGGAATTACCAAAGACGCTAGCGATGCAGCTCTCATGTTTGACAGATTGTAAGAATTCCGTCTTGGCCGACCGCCTGTGCTGTTGTTGTCTCCTGCAGATTGTCGTCGTTCTTGTTGTCTACCATATTCAGGCGACAATACCGCCGAGGCATCTAGGGCGTGCGTGCTGACAGTAGCCACGGAAGTGGTCAACACTGATTGAGCGTCATCCACATCGTCTGGCATTAATCGTGACGGCAGCCCATCGGAACTACGAGTGTCATTGCTGTTAAGGGATGTAGAATGATCCACCATGAGAACAGGAGGAGGTTTCTTGGCCGGTTGATGCGGAGACAGAGCAACATCTGCTATTATGCCAGGCGGAGGCGACTTCAATTTCATTGGGGCGGTATGAACGGACATTTCTTCGGACAGATCACAGTCGCTCCCCTCGTCGAGAAGGCTCCCGTCGCTGCGTTTAGTGCCATAGGAATGATTGGAGGAATCTTTCTCGAACGAGTGCCGTAGTTTTCGTAGCGACTTTCCAGCCTTTTTCCAATTGAAATCACTCTTTTCTGCGGACCCAAACTGCTTCAGTGAATGCTGTCGCCGTAGCTGTGTTCGAACGTCGGCAAGACTCTTATCATTATCTCTCGAAACAGTTACGACCTTTTGGGAGAGCTGTCGTCCCAACATTTGGGGAGGTGGTGCTTTTCGTGTCGATGGTGGTTGTTTCTGTGAGTCTTGTCGGCCCATTGATTTTTGCGAGTTTTGTCGTCCCAAGGACTTTTTTGAGTTTTGCCGTCCCAGTGATCGTTTCGAGTCTTGCCGTTCAAAGAACTCTTTGAGTGAAGGTTGTCGCTGCATCGATCGTTTCTGTGAACTTTGTCGCTCTAGAGTATTTCTCTTTTGAGAGTTTTGTCGCTCTAGTGTATTTCTCTTTTGAGAATTTTGTCGCTCTAGCGTATCTCTCTTTTGCGAGTTTTGTCGCTCTAGTGTATTTCTCTTCTGAGAATTCTGTCGCTCTAGTGTATTTCTCTTTTGCGAGTTTTGTCGTTCCAGAGGAATACGTTTCTGTGAAAGTTGTTTCCCGAGAACTCCACCAAGCTGTCTTTGTGACTTCTGGAACATGCTTCCCAAGGATTTGGTAATGTTGAGTGACGGAGCTTTGAAGGTTCCATCGAATGACTTTGCAGGTTTGAGAGGGGGAGGTTTGAGATTATTGTCGTCTTGGTCATGATCGATTTGCGCCACAATCACAGCGAGTGGATGTGCTTGTCGAATGTGTCCTGATAACATTTCTTCTTGTCGTTGCAAATCTTCTTCCCACGCTTGAAGTTTCGCGGCTCGTTCTGCCAATGTAGCTTCCTGTTGCGCAACTCGCGCCTCCCGCTGTTCCAGCTGTGCCTCTCGTTCTTGCAAGTCCAATTCTCGTTGCGTCCATGCCAACAACTGCTCACTGCCACCGGCATTATTATGAAAATCCGTGGCAAAAAGTTGGTCCTGATCCGGCACGAGTACGGCCTGGGCAATGGAAACGATTTCTTCTTGTGACAATTTTCTCGTCATGTGTCTTCGTAGATTGCGGGTGTCGGGTCGTGGAGATGTATTCGAGGCAGATGCGGGCGGTGGTGGTGGCGGTAACGACACTTCGTGTTGTGTCAAGACGGCTGATTTCTGTGCCAATTCAGCGGCGAATCGATCGCGACGCGTGGCTTCGTCTCCTTGCACGGAGAATGCCCCGGGTCGTGACAATACCGGTATATCGTCGTCGTCATTTTCGTCGTCATTTTCGTGGAGGCTGTGCCTGGACGAAGCGGAATAATCGTCCCCCTCTGCACCATGTGTTTGGTGGTTATCATGATGATGATCATCATTATCATGATCATCATCCTGCTGTTCCTGGCTACCAGTAGTACTTCTTGAACGTATATCCAATGCTCTCAAGCGCAGTCTCCTGGATTCTTGCTGTATCAATAGTTTTGAAGATTGTATCGAAGTCGATCCAGTGGTTTGGTTGCTGGTGGAACTTCGACTCATGTCCATGTGATTGTTGTTATTTTGATTTTGGGCATGGGTGTTTTGATGTTGGGCATGGTTTTGAGTTTTGGCACGATGTTGAGTTTGAGCATGGTTTTGATGTTGATTTTGATTTTGAGCAAGAGTTTGCTTTCTGATGGGATTGTGTTGTGCCAGGTATTTTTGTACTGTATCTGCATGTTTGTTTGCATCTGCATCTGCATCTGTATTACTTGTACTGTTAGTATCTTGTTGTTGTTGCTGTTGCTGTTGGTTGGATGCTGAAGAGGCAGGTCTGTAAGGGAGGGCAGGTTTTCTTTGTGTATTTGTGGGAGTGTTTGGATGTCTTGGTAATCTTGAGGTTGAGGTGGATGTTGGGGTAGAATGGGTAGCAGGTTGAAGTGGTGCAGAACAGGTAGACCTTGGAGAAGGGGAAGTTTGCATGGCAGCAATGAATTGTCTTCTTCTTTGAACTTCTTGCTCTTTGAGTTGTTTATCTCTGTCTGCTGCAGGCAGTGAAGGCAGTGTTCCTGTGCTAGAGCTTCTACCAGTAAATCCAGTAGTACCAGTACTTGACATGCCTGTTGCAGGTGGCCTAGAGTTCTTGTCCAATAGAGATACTGAAGGTACTGCAGATGGAGCTGTCCCAGTAGTAACTGATCTTCTCAATGCCAATGGCTGCTTCAGTGGATGTGAAGGAATAGTCCTACTTGTCCTACTAGTCCTACTAGTCCTACTTGTACTGGTAGTAACCACAGCACGGCCGTTCCGTAAATCCCCGTCTACCTGATCTTCCTGATCCGCCTGATCCAACTCAGCCTGATCAAGTCTGGCTCTTCCAATATCACTAGTACTGGTACATGCATTGGAAGTGTCTTGCTCTTGAACATCTTGATCTTGCTCGAGATCTCCAATGGAACTACTGGTACCTGTACCGCTGCTAGTACTAGTGGTAACGTCGGTACCGTTCGTACTACTAGCACTAGTAGTACAGTCCTTCAACTTGAAACTTGAATCCTCTTGATCCATGCTACTATTAATAATACAAGTAGTATATACAATGTCATGTAGACTCTCTTGATCACACCTCTCTCTCTTTCTTTGGCAGCACACAACTGAAGATGAGTTCGGGTATGGCGGCTATGAAGAAATATGGGAGGGATGTGTTGTGGTGAGATTGGTTACGTCGCGGGTTGCAATGGAACGGTGCAAAGGTTGACAACGAATGACCCTCTGTGGAAATTGAAGGTCACGGTCATATCTATGGGAAGTTCGCTTTTTAATTAAATAATGATCCTTTTGATCACCTCGGGCAGAAGAAGCATTATCATTATGACCTAGTGGCACTTTTCTTCTTAATCACTCGTAATGCGCAAGTGGATGGAGCCGATGGAGGGGAGCTAAGGAAGAGGTCTCCAACCACGAGAGATTTAGCGCCATGGAAGGAGGGGAACCAGAGAAGAAGGCTAAAGTAAACCGACATTTAAAGGGTGATTTTGGGGAAACACAAGCATTAACATACCGGTTGACTCTTCTCTGTCCATCACACAAGACGAACAAAAATCACAAAATTAAATCACTCCAATCGCCAGAGCGGGAATCGTCATTCCAGCAGCCCCCAAGCCCCACGCACAGCCCCGGCACTCGGTACGATGTACGATGTGGCTGGTGAGTGCTCGAGCAATAGCTGGAGAGTGCTCGAGCAATAGCTATGGTAAAGCTATCTGCTTTCTGCTGCAGAGCAAACTGTATGTGAACCTACAATTACAATATCTTATGAATGCTACAGTACAAGAGGCAGCCAGCATCGTTTGCCTGGCCTGGCTTTTTGCTTGGACTGCTCCGCCGGGAGCGAGCCAATTGCGCTGAGACTGATGGGGCGATGGGGCCTGTGGCTGTGTTTTTCCTCAATTGGTTCTAATCCCGCTCCTTTGATAACGATGCATCTACTAGCTAGGCATAGCGGCATAGCAGCTCAACATTGAGTGTGTGCGTTCTCATTGCTTGAACCTGTCCAGATCCAGCCAGATCCATGGCCAGACAGCTAGCTAGCTAGCTAGCTAGCTAGCTAGCTACTTGGGTCCTCGAGTGGCCCGTGCGGTTCCCCTCACTCGATGTTCTGACTGTGCCCCGATGATCAGGGACGCCTGGGCGCCCCACGAAAGCCCTCCACCAAACCGAATGCGGGAAGACGGCTGCTTCTTGAAACTCTTTGTGGCCCGGCGACGGCTTTCATCGTCCATAAAGGGAAACGTTTCCGTCGTCTCTTGTTCGATACATGTACTTGAAGTAATGCTGCTGTTCATCGCTACCGTATGCTCCGAGTATTATTTTGTTGTTGGATCAAAGCTTTGGTTGTTGGCTCGGATTTGTGAGAGCCTCCAGCTTTTGCATTGATTGTTTGATGAGCCATGCAGGATGCATGTAGATCTAGCTGATCGTGGAAGCGCTGCGGGAGTTGCTTGAGCGCTGCTTGCAAGAATCAATCGATTCGCATTGATCTTTGATCTTCTTCGAACCATTGACCACCCCTTCTTCGATGTCCGAGGAGAGTCCGAATGACCAACTGTAATAAATAAACAGAGAAAAGATATTGAAAAAGGCTTAACATTAGCATTCCAAGGCCTCTTCAAAAACAGTCTTCAAGTCGTGGCTTGGGGTGTGGGTCCAGCTGCTTGATGCTTGAGCGTGTTTTATTCCCATTTCCTATGCCAGCAGCTTACCACAGTCCACAGCCGAACCGAATCGCTTGGGTTGGATATGTGCAACCCCAGCTACATGTACAGAGATCGGTGTGAGAGAGTGCCGACTAGATCTAGGCATGGCCGCTGATAAACATAATTCTCCTCTTTATTCATTAGGCTAGCTAGCTAGAGACTGGCTGGCCAGTACACCACCGGACCGTCCCACTTCGTTGCAAATTCGTCCAAATGAGGATGGACACCTCCGCACAAGCCTTAGAACGAGGACTCTACCTGCCCTGACGGCTGTACAGTATCTGATCGTACAGGTGTCAGCAACCAAAACAGGAATAAATACGAAGCATGCAGTAATTTTTATGAAAGTTTGCAAGGATTCCCACACACATCGCAACCATCGCGTGGCCCAGCGAAAGTGCTTAAGGCACCTAAAAGTACCACTCTACTCCCACTCTTCGTCGTCGTCGTCTGAGTCACTCTGTTGGTCGCGGATCGGTGCTGGCTGCGCCATCAACGGTGACGTTTGATCGTTTCCGTCGGCACCAATGAATGCACTGGGATCGTCGCTGAGTAAAGGCTGGGCATCGTGAGGTGCTTCTCGTGCAACCAGGGGAGACGACGCCTCATCTTCGCCGACTTCGTTATCCTGAATGGAATGTGACTCTTCCCGGGATTCGTCGTCATTAGAGTCGCTACCTGGCGCATCCTCGTTCGTTTCTTCCTCCGGAGCCCCTTCCAACGGAGCCATCTCCCCTTCTTGCGCCAGCTTGACAGGCGCCTCCAGCACGCCGTCGTTTTCTGCATTGTCGGCATCCTGATCCCGTTGCTTCTTCACGTACAACCCGGCAACGCCCAGAACACAACAGCCAAAGATGCCAGCCAGGCAACTCAGAAGAACCACCCACCACGCAGCGCCCTTCTCGCCATCGTCTTCTTCCCCTTCCTCTTGAGTCGCCTGAATCATATTTACTGGAATGCTGGTTTCGGAGCCTCCCGCCGACGCAGATTCTCGTTCTATGGGGCCGCCAACAGTAATGGGCGATGATGGCGACGCCGCAGCCAGGCTTTCTTGCAATTTGCCCTGCTCAATGGCATCATCCGTGGCCTGCAGGTAGGTGTTGTAGACAGACTCCTTGTCGTCGTTGTCGTCCACCTTCAAGTCGTACTGACCATACACATTCTGACAGGTAGCATTCTCGGGAATTGTGCCGTCGGCACGACATTCAACATCGCGGATATCCACAATCCGACTGCTTCCGGGGAGCAACACCGCAGCCAAATATCGCGAGCGCAGGCGCAAAAGGCGTGTTTGTTGATTCTGGCCTTCAATTTGTTCCACCAGGTTCGTGATAAAGTCAGTCAGAGCCTGAATGAGAATGGCTCGATTTTCAGGCAGCAGCAAGTCCTCGGCTTTGAGACCTCGAGTGTTGAAGACGTCAAAAGTAGTGTTCACTTGCACGATTGTTGCATTTGCCGGCGTCGCAGGCGTTTGTTGTGGACTTGTTTCGTTCGCGGAGGTGCCATTGGATGCCGGGACTTCGTCTTCACTGGATGCCGGGACTTCGTCTTCACTGGGACAGACATGATCGGTAACGCTGCATTCGATGCTGGGCTGACTAACATCGGGTATTAGATCTGCTAGCTGCAATTCAAAATCTTTTCTTGCCGCGTCTATCATACAGTCAAAGGAATCATCAATCTGTGGAACACAAGAACCAGCGCAGCATTCTCTCATCTGGCAGACCGATGTCTTGGTTTGATTGCAGACACTATCGAAGATGTCTACGAACACATCCACGAGGTCGCCGAGAGAAGGAGGTTCTCCATCGTTGGATTGAGCCGCGTTTCCAATATTTGCGTTGGTAAGCGCAAGGATGTTGTTGCATGCATCCTCGCACTGCGACTCGATGACGCATCGCTCTGCAGCGTTGAACTGGCGCAGGCACCGACCGACGGGATCTGCGGGCGGCGGTGTCGTCGACGAGGGCACTGTTACCGTGATGGCATACATGGTCATGTCAGCCTTCTCCCCATCAAAGGTCGGCCCAGAGAGAGTCCGTTGATGTGTTGTGCTGCCGCCACTGTCGCGCCCTTGCGCAACTACAGCAGTGTACCAATATTGAGGAAGATCCACGTCGTACATCTCCCGGTCGCACGAATCTTGTTGTAGACGAGCCGCTTCCCGCAAGAAGTCATCGTAGTTTGTACCCACCTTGTTTTGGTAGCATCGAAACTCCTGACCGTCAGCAGCAGCAATACACTCTTCGTTGAAGAAAAAGACTTCATTTCTTCTCTGCGGTATCATTCTGCCTGGCAAGTAGGGACGGCAACCAAAGCTAACGGAGTGTAAATCGTCAATCAGGGTGACATAATCACCACAAATCAGATCATCCGGACTATTGTCCATTGAGAAGCCAGCTCCATATCGATACCAGTTCTCACAACTAAAGGGGTGGCAGCTTCCATCGCCTCCACAAAAGTGAAACTCGTCTTGGCAAGGGTTCGTATCGCTCAAGGCAAAAGTATCGTCATTCTTGTGTATGTGCCAATTCCAACATGTCAATTCAACACAGGTTCCCCACTCCTCTGCAAAGAATTCACCACATGGACAGCTATCATCAACGCATTTTCCAGCATTTATTGATGGAGAGGAAGTTACTTGCACTGGTGCAAATGTTGGCGCCTCCTGGTCCACCTTGGAGTAGTTGTAGTCGAGAAGGAGGCAGTCCATGTGGTGGATGACTCCTGTTCTTGCAAGGATGTTTGTTCTATTTGGGCCATACATGAAAGTGCAGTTGGTCAACCCTTCTGGACCATCAGCATTGCTGATGTAGATCCTCACAGGTGACCGCTCAGGATCATAATGCAATGGTTCTCCATCAGGGTCATCAAATACCTGAACATTCCACTTCTTCCCATTGACTGAAGTGATTTGTTGTCCATCCATGTCTGCCAAGTAGTCATCAAACCACAACAACTCAAACATCATGTTCTTCAGCACATCCTCTATCTCGAGTGAAGGAATGATGATATCCCAAGCACTGTTGACAGCAGAAAAGAATGTCACAGGCAACAGATTGTCAATGAAGACGCCCAACTGAACTGTGTCAATGAGTCTTGTGACTGTGGTCATGTCTGGGTTCTGCTGGGTTTGGTCATAGATAGTGTAGAGCACAGAAGGAGGCAAGGGCACTTGCTCAACAAGATGGATGTACCTGCAGAAATAATATCACAGACTGCATGGGTACAGGGATAGAGAAGCAAGCAAGAAAAGGCAGCCGGTCAATCATAGCTATTCGGACTCACCCATCAACACCTTTCATGTCATATGGTTTCAGCAGCCTGGCTCCATCAATGGTCAGCTCCCCTTCGTCGTCCAAAGCAAATGTGGTATGGAAGCCACTCAACATTTTCACTTCCATGGTACCACCAGCATCTTCCAAAAGTTGGTAAAGCTCGTCTGTGGTGTAGGCGGGCTCCATGGTCAAATGCAGGAGAAAGTCCCACAGATGCCGTTTCCATTCAAGTGTAGAAATGCGCACACCAACCTCAATGTTGAATACTCCATAACCATCTTGCAAGGGAGCAAACACGCTGAAGGACCCCTGCTGTGTCCCAATTGACTTGGAGAGGTTGCGCAAATTCCATTCTGATGACCTGTAGTACTGAGCCATATCCTTCAGATTGATGGTAGTGTAATCTGCACAGAACTGCATTAGCATTGCCAGTCCTGGTGGGATCAATGGCTTTGTCCTATTTGTGTGACCCTTGAAAAAGAAAGTAAGAATGCATAAGGAGTTGAGGGAATCCATGATACCAAGAAGCAGATGATGAAGAAAAAACACCAAAACCAAAAGCATAGAATCCCATCCACCACTACCCATTGCTGGCAAAAGCCTGCCTGTCTAACACAGCATCATTGAACCTAAGAAGGCCCTTTGTCATGTCCTTGGTGATCCACATATGAGCAACACCAGCCCTGGGCATAACCAAGAGCTGGAAACCCCGTTCAATATCCTGTTCATACAAGTTGAAATCAATGAGATTGTACATGTATGTCAAGTTTTGAAACTCAGCGTTGTTGGGGTCCTTTAGTTCCTGCACAATGGGATAGAATCCCAAGGCAATGGAATCATTCCCATAGCCTCTGTTCCTGGCGGCAATCCAGCTAGTTCCGGATGGCTCAAACTCCATGAGCGGTTCATCAAACTGAATTCTGTCCAAGATTGGAGAGAGGCCGTCCACCAGCTCATCGTGTTGGTTCACATCCCTCAAAGTGTACTCTCTCCAGTAGTTCTTAATGACGCCATCCATTGTGTGCACCACTCCATTTGAACCAGCCTGGTTCGGTCTCTCCATGGAAACCAGGTTGACTTGAGCAAACGGCTGAGAGATCTGGAGGGTACCATTTAGGGAAACTAGCTCTGTTGTAGCAGCATCAAAGATGTCTGCATCAGTCAGGACCTGGTTTTGCACAATCATCAGCTGAACATTAGTTCGCAGATGGTGAATCCAGCCATCCATTGTTGCATATGTTGAGAAGACAGGATCATTGGCAATGGCCTGGTTGGAGGGTGCAAAGACTGTGAATTCTTTGTCGTTCTCGTTCAGAAGGCTGTCAAGGCCAGACAACTCGAGTGCCACTGCAAAGCCACTGAGCTCTGGATTGGACTGGATTTGCTGCAGAACAGTGTTGCCTCCTCCGTTATTTGCTAGGCTGGGTCTCGGAGTTGGTGCTGGCTCCACTGGCGTGCACCCTTCAAATCCAGCGGCTAATCCATAGCATGCGTTGCTGTATTCACAAGTCTGATCTTCACCACAGATTATTGGGCTTACATACATGGCTGTGGAAAGAACAATTTGAGGAGGCAGAGATCTACAGCCCAAAGATACATTCAGATGTTTGCCAGTTCTTCACTACGACAGATAGTGCCAGATGCGGTTCAGGACATTCAGAGGAACTCGTTGTTGGATTCGAGGTAAGCAACTGAGAAGATGCAAGCGAGGGCGAGGAAGTTACTTGCACTGGTGCAAATGTTGGCGCCTGCTGGTCAACCTTGGAGTAGTTGTAGTCGAGAAGGAGGCAGTCCATGTGGTGGATGACTCCTGTTCTTGCAAGGATGTTTGTTCTATTTGGGCCATACATGAAAGTGCAGTTGGTCAACCCTTCTGGACCATCAGCATTGCTGATGTAGATCCTCACAGGTGACCGCTCAGGATCATAATGCAATGGTTCTCCATCAGGGTCATCAAATACCTGAACATTCCACTTCTTCCCATTGACTGAAGTGATTTGTTGTCCATCCATGTCTGCCAAGTAGTCATCAAACCACAACAACTCAAACATCATGTTCTTCAGCACATCCTCTATCTCGAGTGAAGGAATGATGATATCCCAAGCACTGTTGACAGCAGAAAAGAATGTCATAGGCAACAGATTGTCAATGAAGACGCCCAACTGAACTGTGTCAATGAGTCTTGTGACTGTGGTCATGTCTGGGTTCTGCTGGGTTTGGTCATAGATAGTGTAGAGCACAGAAGGAGGCAAGGGCACTTGCTCAACAAGATGGATGTACCTGCAGAAATAATATCACAGACTGCATGGGTACAGGGATAGAGAAGCAAGCAAGAAAAGGCAGCCGGTCAATCATAGCTATTCGGACTCACCCATCAACACCTTTCATGTCATATGGTTTCAGCAGCCTGGCTCCATCAATGGTCAGCTCCCCTTCGTCGTCCAAAGCAAATGTGGTATGGAAGCCACTCAACATTTTCACTTCCATGGTACCACCAGCATCTTCCAAAAGTTGGTAAAGCTCGTCTGTGGTGTAGGCGGGCTCCATGGTCAAATGCAGGAGAAAGTCCCACAGATGCCGTTTCCATTCAAGTGTAGAAATGCGCACACCAACCTCAATGTTGAATACTCCATAACCATCTTGCAAGGGAGCAAACACGCTGAAGGACCCCTGCTGTGTCCCAATTGACTTGGAGAGGTTGCGCAAATTCCATTCTGATGACCTGTAGTACTGAGCCATATCCTTCAGATTGATGGTAGTGTAATCTGCACAGAACTGCATTAGCATTGCCAGTCCTGGTGGGATCAATGGCTTTGTCACTATTTGTGTGACCCTTGAAAAAGAAAGTAAGAATGCATAAGGAGTTGAGGGAATCCATGATACCAAGAAGCAGATGATGAAGAAAAAACACAAAACCAAAAGCATAGAATCCCATCCACCACTCACCCATTGCTGGCAAAAGCCTGCCTGTCTAACACAGCATCATTGAACCTAAGAAGGCCCTTTGTCATGTCCTTGGTGATCCACATATGAGCAACACCAGCCCTGGGCATAACCAAGAGCTGGAAACCCCGTTCAATATCCTGTTCATACAAGTTGAAATCAATGAGATTGTACATGTATGTCAAGTTTTGAAACTCAGCGTTGTTGGGGTCCTTTAGTTCCTGCACAATGGGATAGAATCCCAAGGCAATGGAATCATTCCCATAGCCTCTGTTCCTGGCGGCAATCCAGCTAGTTCCGGATGGCTCAAACTCCATGAGCGGTTCATCAAACTGAATTCTGTCCAAGATTGGAGAGAGGCCGTCCACCAGCTCATCGTGTTGGTTCACATCCCTCAAAGTGTACTCTCTCCAGTAGTTCTTAATGACGCCATCCATTGTGTGCACCACTCCATTTGAACCAGCCTGGTTCGGTCTCTCCATGGAAACCAGGTTGACTTGAGCAAACGGTTGAGAGATCTGGAGGGTACCATTTAGGGAAACTAGCTCTGTTGTAGCAGCATCAAAGATGTCTGCATCAGTCAGGACCTGGTTTTGCACAATCATCAGCTGAACATTAGTTCGCAGATGGTGAATCCAGCCATCCATTGTTGCATATGTTGAGAAGACAGGATCATTGGCAATGGCCTGGTTGGAGGGTGCAAAGACTGTGAATTCTTTGTCATTCTCGTTCAGAAGGCTGTCAAGGCCAGACAACTCGAGTGCCACTGCAAATTCACTGAGCTCTGGGTCCGACTGAATGACACCCAATACAGAATTTCCTCCGTTGATGCCTTGTGGCCTTTGGGTTGGAGTTGGTTCCACAGGAATGCAACCATAAATTCCAGCTGCAGCTGCAAGACATTCACTGCCGTACTCACAGGGAGAGTTACTGTCACCACAAATCACAGTTTCCCGCCTTGTGGGGACAGCTGTATGCAGACGATTTTGCAAGAGACGCATACAGTTAACGTTTGTGTTGTTGGTCAGTCAACGGACGGCGACAAACCGACGTGGGCACTGGGGCAGTTTATACTTACGGCATTCAACAACAGGTTCCGGGCATCGTGGGGAACTCGCAGTTTCGTCGACTCGGGCGATCAATGCCACGATTTGAGTCTCAAAAAAGATGCCCTGTATCATCCACAAATGTTCCGTAATAAACGCTAAAAAGAAAGAAAGAAGGAACATGTTGAATATTTTGTGACGTGCCGTAGCGCATTGGTAGGGCAATCGTAGAAATCAATTAGAGGCAGACTTACATTGGTAATCCGAATTTTGCAAATGATCAAATACGTCAATTTTGCCCGGAGCCGTTTCCCCGCTTTCGAAATCGACAACAAGATCGAAGTCGAATCCGATTCCGAGACCGGTGTCCCTGTTGTTGAGAGCACTATCAATGTACTGTGCGTTGACGGAAACGAACTGGTCCGCGTATTGGCCACCGAGCAGCACAGACTCATAAAAGAGTTTGCTTTGTTCGAGAAGGCCGTCGATTTCGGCTTGTTCGAGGTCCCTGATTTCGGTGCCCTCGAAAAAGCCCACCTCGAATCGTAGAGCCAACGTGACAACTTTACGATTCTGCAGGACTTCTTGTAGCTCTGGCGACGTTTGCGGTACTTCCCCATTTGGAAGGACCCTACAATTATTGGTTGCGGCATCGCTTGTTTCATTGCAACAGGGATTGGCAATCCAATCGCATTCTTCTGGGAGAACGAGAGGCTCCTCTCCGACCGTCAATAGACATTCCAGTTCTCCCACGGATGGAATATTTTGTCCATTGGGTCCTCTGAGTTCTCCGCCCTCTGGAGCATTTCTCAGTACGTATCGTTCGACTGGAATCTGCGGATCGAGGTCGTTGTCGGGTGCGTCGTAGGTTGTGCCCGCATCCGTTCCCGCGTCCTGCATTAAAAAAGTGAAGGGGAGCATTGCACGTACGGTATGAGTGATTCCTGTACAGTACCACTCTCATAAAAGCTACTTGTAGTACGGTAGCACGGTACGTACCCACGGCTTTGTCTGTATCTTGACATGGTCGTACCACGTCCGGGTGTATTCATCCATGAGCCAAAAGCTGTAAAATCCTGTGAACCAATCCGGACTGGGTGACATGCCCGCCATGAAAGTCATGTAAGGGTACTCATAGGATGCTTCTAAAGGCGGCAAGTGTACGAAATAGCGCTGATTCACTGAGAATGAACCTGCGGGGTACTCAGGCCAGTGAAGCACTTGAGTGGATGCTTGTTCGAATTCTTGAATCAGAGCGTCCGTGGATCCTTCCTGTCATGCAAGCAAGCAATGCAAGCAAGCAAAATAAAAAATGGTAAGATAAAATAGCTGTACATAGGTATGCATAGGTTAGGTAGGTAAGTGTAGAACCCACCTCTGCCAGCTTTTCCACCCCGAGGGTGACGGGATAGCTTGCTTTCCAAGGCTGGTACTGGAGAGTGTGCGTCCACGCAATTGGCCCGGTCCACTTGGCCTCGTTAGGAAAGTTGACGGGTTGCCTCTCGGCTGTCCAGAGATTCCGAAAGGTACAAGAGTACCAAAGTTTCTCACTGGCATCACCTCCTGTTGCAGGCGTGCTTCCCGCATTCTTGATCAACACATCCTCTTCATTCCCAGCGCCAAACACGGACTCTGCCAAAAGACTCAACGTCAACGTCAACGCCACAATCACAGCCACACCTCTTCCTAGTAACAGCATCATCCTTCTATGCTACGGTATACTACGGTATACTATTAAAATAATAGTGCTTCCTATGGTACTAGTGGATAAGCTTTTGTCGATCTCACTGATCTCACGCACTATCATATGCAATTGTTGTTGGATGTACTATGATAGTCTTGCTACCGGTAGCTAGTATGAATGTACGTACCTGGTACCATGATCGAGTTGCTGGGTTATTGAAGAATGATCATCGATGGTCGGTGGGACTAAAAAGCAGTCATCGATCGACTTTGTGACTCTATAGGATGCACGTCTTAGTTTGGTCTTGTGGAATGTCTCGTAAAACCTACTGGACATTTACTTTTTTCACTCCAGTATTGATAAAATGGTCGAAATGTATGTTTTATTTTCCATTTCTGATGGTGAAAGTTGTATTCGTGACTGCCGCACGTAAAATTCCGTCGTTGGTTATCGCGTGTTTTATCGCGGCCCATTTTGGTACATTCCTGGCTGTTCTGTTCGCTAAGTATACACGACTCAAATATTAGCAATTTTGACACTACAGTAACTGCATGACATTGCAGCCTGCTGATTTATTGAAGACAGGTAGCATTGGTTCATCCGAGTTTTAGTAAAGTTTGGGCTGCCACAGCCACATCTTCCATCGCAAAGCAAATCGTTTGAGCTGAGTGCGTACCGTACCAGTCGATAATAAGAGCCGCGATGAAGACGATCACTGGTTCACCTTTGGCTGTTGCTCGAGCGTCTCTCGTGGCGTTGCTCTTCTGCAGTGTGTTTCGGTTTGCCGATGGGTGGAACCTTCTTCCAGCAAACTTACCCGTACACAAACAATCGACAACTGCAAAGTTGGAGAATAGAGGCAATAATTACGAAGACCCCAGTGTGAATCGTCGCAGGGTCATCCTTCACAAAGGTATTCAAGGTTCTGCAGCCGTACTTGCCACTGGCTTAGTACTAGTAGGTGCTCCTTCACCGTGTCAAGCCCAAGAGGAAATTAGTACTGGTAGCAACGAAGACGACCCAGAAGAAGAAAACAGAAAGCGAGAAGAAACCCTGAAACGCCTCCAAGAACGTCGTCAACTCATGCAAGCTAGTCGATCCTCCAACAACCGACAATCCTATTTGGATCTTTCTCGTCAACGTGCAGCTCTGTACAACACAACCTATCAAGGAGTTACCTGTCCTCAAAACAGCATTATTCCATGTATCTAACAAAAAGAATAATAGTAACAGACACCATCCATTGAGTGCATTTGTAATGACAGTAGTCTACTAGCTGGCACATCCTTTGCACCCCCACGATGCATTGCATAGTTTTTGTGAAGAAAACAACCCAAACCCTACAGGTGGTGTCAATTCTTACAAAGAACGACCAGGCTTAATTAATCACTCGAGAAAGCACGTTCAAGTATGTCGCAAAGGTATTGGAGAACCAATCAAATGAAAGTAAAGCAGCAAAAAGAAGCGAAAGCTGTTAAAAGGGCATAAGTCAAAAGAAGACATCACATGTTCTGTGACGAATTCTCATCCGTTGACACCAGAATCCAACGCACCCAGCAACCCTGCAAATTTGTTGTTGGGGTGAGAAAGAGTAATAAGAACGAAAGTGTGAGAGTGAGTTGACGATGTCGACGGCAGCGGTGGGTGGTCCTACCGGCGGTGTGTTGGGTGCTATGGGTGCTACGAGTACAATTGCGAGTTATGAAGATAGTCTTGTGACGAGTCGAGAGGATGAGAGCAACAGGCAACAGCAGCAGCAGCCAGAGAGACAAGACGAAGCGTGTCGCAACCTCTTGAAAGAATTGTTTCCGAAAGGGTTAGTGTTTTGTGACCCATTTGCTCCCGTGGGAGGCAAGCAAGGTCCCATTCTAGATGTGTTTTCAAGTACGGCTAGTTTGGAAGAAGAGGATCATGGGACGGGTACTGACACTGGTACGGGTACACACAACAGCAGTGGCCATGGGGGAGTCCCTAGAAGTGTCAGCATTACCTGCACTGTGCCACCTATGTCAAGTGCTCGTCAGCTGGCAGAGCTACAAGGGCTACATCGCGTAAATGCAGAAACTGAAGAGGAGGTCATGACTGCAAGAGAACCAGAAGAACCCAAGGCTCCAGCTTTTACTACTGGAGTTACTGCTTGTACACGTACTACTACATGTAGCACTAGTAGGTCCAGGTCAGTAAGTGCTTTTGAGAAATACCAAGACAAGACCAAGACAGGCAATCCCATGACGACTGTGCGTTGGCTGCTCGTGATCTTTTTGCTGGTCGTGGTCGGCACGATTTCCTCGTTGGAACAATCAAGTCACCACGAGTCCACGTTTGTTGTCAGTGTAGCCGGGCAAATCCACGATCACTTGGTCGACCAGCACATCATGCCGTCTCATCCGGCACGACGAGATACTGGCAAGCACAAGAAGACTATGCAACAGACCGAGAAGACGTTGCAAGAAGCACGGCTACCCCGTCGTCCAACCCCCTTTCGAAGAGTCCGGACGTTCTTGAAACGGGTGCGTGAGGAAGAAGACAACACGGTCGTCCAGGAAGTGGGTCGGATGGTTGTCAAGTTTGTCAGGAACATCCCCAGGCACACGAAGAACTTGGCGTCGACGGTAAACAGAGAATTGCAAGAAGTAACCGCTGACTTGGCCTAACCAGCCAGAAAAGAAGAACGAGGGATCAATCAACCATTAAAGAGGGTGTACGTACATCAACGGATTACAATGAATTGAGCAAGGGTGTATACATACAAATACATGTACCACTAGTAGTAGTCATAAGATAAAAAGGAAAGTACTACTGGTATCCATTCATTTCTCTGCCGTACCGTACGGTATGGTATGCAGAGCCTGCCAGAAAAACTAAGGGGATTTTTAGCAAGCTCACTCAAATCGACTGATCAAGAAGATCACCAAACTGCTTTTGGCTGCCCCATACCGGTACCAGTGCGGTAGGCATCAGACGGTTGGGAACTGGATGCATCAAGCAGCCTGCTCGCTCGGACTGCTGCATAATAACTAAGCCTGCATGCACACTCTACAGTCGTATCATGCATGGGTCCACCCATCAGTCCATCAAGCAACTGAACCGTCGCTGGCTTCCGTAGCAATCCACCTACTGGACTGCCACTCGGAACCCCCGTGTCGTACCAATCTATCGGTCCATCCATCATTCCACCAGTTCATCCATCCATCAGTGCATCCATCCATCCAACAGACCAGTCCATCCATCTACCAGTCCACCCATCAATACCGACCTCAGAAGCCACTGAAAGATGTCCGTCAATGACAGAGAATAAGTGTGTTATTTTGAATAGGGATGATGTTAGTTGTAAAAAAGCTTTCAAGGTGAGCGAATGTGCCATCAGATGACACAAAATGAGTCAGACCAATTCTTTAAGTGAAAACATCTGGAAATTGCTGAAAACGAGAGAGAAGAACCTGACATCTGTTTTGATCATGAGCCAGAAGAAGGGTTCCGACAAATTGGAGTACGAATTTATATAGTAACGTGCAGAAAGAGTGAGCTCATTTGGTGTTTTGTGGCGCCAGCTTGTCAGTTCGTTTAATGAGTTTAGAGTAGTGTGAGGTTTTAGTAGTGATGTCATTTTGTATTTGTTCCTCTGCTGATGTGTCTGCGGAAAGCTCTAGATGATGTCATGCTTGATTTGTTGACAAGATAGGGAAGATCACCACAAAAACGAAGACACCATCAAACGAAAACTAAAAGCCCAGGTAACCCAGCAGCAGCAACAAGCAACAACCACACCAAGATGAGCCATCAGCAACAGCCTCAACAACAGCAACAACCTCATCAGCAGCATCAGCCTCAGTATCAGCAGCATCAGCAGCAGCAGCATCAGCAGCAAGCTTCCTACCTGCATCAGCTTCAGCAACAGCAGCAGCAGCAAGCGCAACCTCAGGTGATCATTCTTCCCCTTTTCGCTCCTGGAATGAATTTGCCTTCGAACATGTACAATATGAACATGAACACCATGATGGCGCCGCACCCGTTGGCCCCGTTGGCGCCGCACCCGTGGGCTCATCAGATGAGCGGGCATGGGTTGCCCGTGGATCCCAGTACCATCTCTACGATGATGGCAAACGCAAACGCAGCCGCCACGGATCCGCTTGCTCAGGCTCAGGCTAACCTCTCCTTACTCTTTCCTTCGCAGAATGTCACGCTTGCTCATGCTCAGGCTCAGCAGGCTGCTACTCAAGCTACCGGTACTATTCAAGCGACCGGTAAGGTTCAAGCTAAGTCTCTTCAAGCCCAAGCTACAGCTCCAAGTCCAGCGCCACCTGCAGCTCGGCCTCAGATGAGTTCAGGCCATGGCCAGCAAGCTAAGGTTCAAGTTCGAGCAAAGTCTGCGCAGGTTCAGGCTAAGGTTCGAGCTAAGTCAGCACAGGTTCAGGTCAAGAGACCTGCTCGACATTTACACCAAGACTTACATCAGGATCTGGTTCCCTTGGCTCCTGCCCCGGCCAAGATGATCTCACCGATTCTGACTCCTCCTCCTACAAGACAAATGCAAACCAAGGAACCCGCCATGGCCGTCCCGGTGCAGGTTCAGTCCCCCGTGGAGACGGAAGCTGCTGATGCTGCTGATCCGGACCCTCCTGGTGAAGATTCCTCCACTTCCTCCTTGTCATCGGATTCACCTGCCGGGGAAGAGTCCAACTCTTGCACTGAAGACAGCAGTGACACCAACAGCATCAGTGAGTCAAGCTTGGAGAGCCTCGAAACAAACATTCAGTACCTCAGAGAAAAACAAGAGCTTCTCCTACGCTTCTCCACGGAAATGCAGCAAGAAGACGCATACCAGGCATCCGTTGCCAGGCAAGACGTTCTCAAAGAACAGACCGAACGACTCGAACGGGATGCCGCATTTGCAAATAGCAGTGTCGGAAGCATCTCGGATGATGAAGACGACTCCGAAGATCTAGAAGGACTCTCCATTTGGACACGAGCCAAGAAAATACTCAGAAGCCTCAGTCGACACAGAGGAGTCTTGTATCATCCCATGTCACATCACGATCGACCTTCATCCTCTCCAAGCTCCAACAGCACCAAAGGATCTTCCTCCAACAACAACAACAAGAAACGAGTTCGATTCGAGAATGATGATCAACACGAGAAACACCAAGACAAGGATTCACTCACGGAACGACGATCCAAGTACCGAAAGATCATTGAACGAGGAACCGTTCGATTGATGACCGCCAAGGACTTTCAAGCACAACAAGAGGGACTCTTGATTCAGCGTCCCACGCCCCTCTATCCTCCTCCAGTCTCCTCGTGTGCCAACACGGCGCACCACGAACACCAGCCATCAGCAGACGGATATGATGACACAAACATGAAGTCCTTGCACACCATCTTGGCTGATGTTCCTTCGGTGCCGTTCCACACATCCGGGTAAAGAAACAACACAACGAAAGCAATCATGCTTGCTCACAGACACGTCGCTCAACGATCAAGGAAAAGGGGAATAATACATCAGGACAACACGAAACTTTCTTCTGCACAACACTGCATCCCTTCAACGTACTGTACTGTACTTGCATTCACGCATACATACACACATACATCATCATCATCAGATTCTATTCACGGACATACATCATTTGGCTCTGGGGTTTTATTACTTTGCTTGTTCAACTAACTAACTGCATTCCATGCTTTGAAGTAACTTGTATCATTCTCCATAGTAACCTATAACCTATATTTTATTAAATGAATGCAAATGTTACTGTACATGTTGCTTGCTGTTATAGATTGCCACAGTCTTTCTTGCTTTCCCTTCTTGTTGTCGCATTGCTAGCTGGCTACCAGCTAGATTTGGAGTCACAGCAAGCTGTTAGGACTTGGATGGCTGGAACCTGCAAGGCAATAAAGAAATGGGGCAATCTTGGTTGTCGAATGCCAAGGCTATGACTGGAAAAACCAGCCAACTAGATTTCAAGAGCCTAAAACGAATGTGGCAAGAAATTGATACGGCCTACCGGTATCCTCTCAGGTTTGAGAAACTCAAGTACTTGATGCCGGCAGCACCAGGAATGTGGTATCCGCCATGATCAAGCCATTCCTCCCAGCTGGAAGGACAAGAGGTCATTCCAACCTGCTCTGAACCTCCTGCACCAAGCGTTAACCTTTCCATTATTGTGCCAGGCAGATCTACGCAGCCAAGCAGTATCGAAGTGTACAGCCCTGCTCCAGCTGCCTGGAACTGGGCGCCTCAAATTGCTTATTAGCTGCAAGGAACTACACAATCATTTCAACATGCAAAGAGACAAGCGCACCCGATACGGCAGTTTGCAGCCCTACAACCCTACGAAAACAGCGCCATTGGTCTCCACCCTGTCAAAGGGGCCACCTTTTTAGCACACAAGTTACTACGAACTGCTCACCTCAAGTACCTCGTCAATCCTCAAACTGGGATCTATTCACAGTGGCTGACCCGCCTCGAGCCTGTGCCTCGGTATCAAGCGTTGGCTCGAGCCACTTTACGAAATCTTGCTCCTGTTTTGGGTCGATTACGAGCTTGATGGTGTACTCAAAACTTTGCTGCGGCGTTTCAATTTCGCGGTATCTCTTGCAAGGAATATCGTCATTCGCCTCGTTATTCGGTGACCTGCTCCGTTTCTGGCCTACGTCCTGGGAGGTCATCCAGGCTGGTAGAGTCCTTGAAACTCCACGCCCCCTGCCCGATGCTGCCATTGTCTCCGAAGGGGGGTGAGCAGCTGCTGCATTGTTGAATGAAATATCGCATTTTTGTGTCCGGTCGCTACCTGTATTGAACGCTCCGCCTGAATTCTGCTCCAGAATCGTAGACAGAATGCTCTTTGCTTCGGCTTGTGCAGGATGGTTGGGTGCGCTTTCCAGCAAGCATTCTTGTGCTTGCGCTGTTGCCTCTTCGCTGTCCTTCGATTCCACAATGGCTGCCTGTGGACCTCCTGAAGAAGTCATCCACGCCGGCATGGTTCTGCTTCTGCCTCTTCCTCGGCCCATCTCATTGCCAGCGTTCACCATCGCTGAACCAACAAACGGATCATCGCATGTATTCGATGGGACTCGCTTCGTCTGAGACGGTTGCCGATTGTCAACTGCTGGACCCTCGTCAGAAACGGCTCCTGGCACGTCGGAGGATGCCAAAGGCTGCTTTTCTTTGTCACCATGACCTGTGCCAACAGCAACGTTCGCTGTCATTTCAGCAGCAGGAAGCGGTCCGTTGCCCGCAGTCATCCATGCAGGCAGCGTTCTGCCTCGACCTCGGCCTCGCCCCGAGTCCGGTCCCTTTTCGGCTTCTACCGAGCCAACTGCAGCTCCAACGAAAGGAACGGTAGCACTGGATTCTCTCGCATCTGTGTTCGCCTCTTTTTCCATACAACGAAGACGTTCCCTTGCGCTCCCAAGAACACAATCGCCTTGCTCAGGATCAGCTTGAAAGATCTTCTCTGCCAACAAGAGTGATATCCGCAACTTGTTGGTGTCCCCTCGTGATTCAGCTTCCTTCAGCTCTTTAAGAGCCCTCTCCTGCTCCTTCAGTTGCTTTGATTCGTGTTCCTCTTCAAGCCGTTGCAACTTGTCCCTCGCACTACCTAGTATTAAGTCTCCCCCGTCAGGATCGTTGTCGCATACCTCTTCAGCAAGAATAAGAGCATCTCGAAGAACCTTTAAATCATTCGTTGTCTCAACCAGGTGGAGTTTCTCAAGGGCGGTTCTTCTCTTTGTAAGCCTTCTCCAGGCCTGCGTAACCTCAAAATCTTCAAAGTATCGCTTGACAAATTTCGTGAACGTTTTGTCGTTTTCCAGGTGTGAAAGAAGGCGCGCAGCTGCCCTCCATGGCTTTGATTGGACGAAAGCGCTTCCTGCGCGAGCCCCTACATGCTGTGCTATCAAATCCTCCAGTTCTAACAGGTAATCATCTGCATCTCCACAAACAAGAATACACCTCGATTTAGTGATCTTTGGTGCTCGGCCAAAGACAGCGTACAGTGGAGTCGAGGACGGCGACTGCATTCCTGGCCCTTGAAATTCTCGCGACAGTGACTCGTGCCTTATCATCAAGGGTGGCTCATACGTTGAACTCAAGAAGCTGTTGCCATCGTTCATTCTGTCTTCCTGGGATGCGGCTCCGCCGGAGCTGTGCTCCATCACTAGCGACTTGAGCAGCGCGCACACGAGTTGGAGCCGAGATGAAGCATTTGCGACAACTCGACCGGGTCCTTTGGCTCGAGTCTTCGCTGTGAATCTCTTGTCAGACAATCTCCAGATACCAAAGTGTTCGATGATCTGTTTGTCAATTTCTGCGAGCAAACTCGCATTGGGGCAATCCCTTTCGTTTTCGACATGATCGAGGACTCCTAATAGCTGGACTTTCATCTCCGGCGCAAGTAGAGCACTCTTTATTCTGTTGTCATCGATAACCGGCTGAACAGGTCCTCCCGACAGTAATACCCAACGCCTGGGAAGTGCTTTAGATCCTGTACCTGGTCCGCTACGAACCCAAACTTTGATCCCGCCGTTCTTATCTTTTGGCAGCTCTCTCGGCGATCCAACGCACCACTTCATAGCAAACGAGAATGAAGCTCTCAACAAAGAATATCGATTTGGAATCACCGGCTCTGCAGCAAAACAATAACGTATGAATGCCCCGCAGGCCTGTACTAGATGCTGCGTCTGAACATCTTGCGCTTCGGGAACTCTCGCAATCTTCTGGAGTGTGAGTGATACGTCGGGTAGCGAGAAAAAAGGGTTGTGGCGGGAATGATTAAAGTCGCACATGAAGTCAGAGTCAACCAGAGAGGTGAGAGTCAAGTACTTGACTTCGTCGTTTCGACTGGCGTGAGCCTTTGGTGAGTCCGGCACTCGAACACAACGGTTCCATTGGACAATCCAGTTGCCTTCATGTGAGCCGTCAATGACTCGACGTACAGGAATGCAATACAAAGTTTGGCACAGTGAACGCAGCGTACTCAGGTCAGAAGAGCTTAAACCATCCCGTAGGTGTGCACGCGCGATTGATGACCAAAGAGATATCATCTTCGTTGCGAGAGACATAACCCGTTCTCTGTCGATACTGGATGAAGACAACAAAACCCCCGCTTCTAATGCAGATGTGCGCAGTTCCGAAACTGGAGGTGGAGGTGCAATCTTTCCGAACGTCAAGGCCTGCACCAGAGTACTTGTATGGAGTTTGTTCTTGAGGGACGGTTCGAGCTGCACAACTGGCATGTCCGGCTTAGAACTGTCAGCTTCTAGCAATGCTTCCTCCGGCCGCAGCAATACAAGGCCCCCTTCAGGGTCCGATGGCAAAGAGCATGGTAGCCATTTCAAAGTCTTCAGTTGCGTAACTAGCCGAGATTCTGATATGTCCACGGCCTTGGCACCGGGTTGCCCAGGAGGCAAGAAGAACAATCTTCGACGTATTGGAACAGCTGTATCACGAGGGATTCGGGCAGAGCTATTGTTCCCTTGTGTTCCCTTCGAGGGGGGGGCGTCGCCACTGTTCGCAGTTGTTGTTGTTGCTGCTTGCCCGGCCAAACACATAGATGCAGCTGGAACCGTCTTCCCTGTGACGCTCAAAGCATTCTCAACAGGTATCGCCAGCAACAATGAAATGAACCCAGTGGCACAATCCGGAGTCATCGTCTCCGCAATTCTTTCCCATTCGGGCGCCAGTTCAGAGTCTACAAGGCTGCACTTCCTTCGATTCATCAAAACGCCAAGCCCGTAGGGCAGGAAAATGTCGCATTTGGTTGCCTTGTTCCGAAGCTGCGGCAGCTTTAGCAGCTTGGGTAGGATTTCATCGTTCAGTATCTTGCTTTCCTTCTCGATATCAATTATGGCTGAGATTGTCACCGCAAGCCCCTTCTGAACCCCAGCCGAGATCAGGAGATTCGTAAGACACTTTCGTTGCATATTCGAGGCACAAATGCTTTCGTATTTCGCCGAGATGAAGTCAAGTCTTGTTCCAGCGAATTGCTCGAGAGAAGCCCCTGGTCCGGACTCATCGAATAGCTTCCCAATGTAGGCACTCGATGAGGGAACAAGTTTCGACCGACCAGTCATGTCAACGAGGACGAAAGGAAGGAGAAGGTGATTGTTACTCTCAAGCGCAAATTTGGCAATCTCCAAGACAGAAGCAATTTGTTCCGCCGACAACGCACGCAGCGTCGAGTATGTTCGAAGCAGGCGCCCCACGGCAGTGGCCATGCTGATAACTTGATTGGGATTCTCCGACCTCACTCGTTTCAAGAAGGCAGCAATCCCCACTGACACTTCGTCTACAAGCAACCCCAACAATGCGACCTCGTCCGGCTGTCCACCGGATTCAATGGTACAGATGGCCCGTTCCAACTGAGGATGCAACGGTTGCACGAGCCTTTTTGACTGGTTTAGTCGTCGCTTCTTTTGGAACCGGGCTCCTCTGCTGGTATTTGACAGCTTCTCCTTTGGCTCGTTCTCGATGAAATGAGGTCTCAGCAGTTGCACTAAGTCAGGAGGGGCTGATGCAACGTCTTCTGCAGGTATGACAATTTGATCAATTGTCGCGAGTGTTCCATGGGCATTCAGGAAGATTGGCCAAGCCTTAGAGTTTGTTGGGAGGCTGGGCCCAGGAATGTCTGTGATCTTGTCAACGGCAGTTTCTTTTGGGTTGGCAGTTGTGGCCCTATTGGCAGCAGGAGCACCCACGTCAGGACTTTTTTCGTCGATTGACTCTATTCCAATGGCGGCCATGATTCGTAGCAGCGTTGCAATTGCTGCCGTGGTCACGCCAGATTTGGAGAGTTGCAACTCATCGCCGAGATGCCTTCTTCTTTTCGTAATCAATGTGGTATCTGGTTGGTCCACGATATGTCGCAAAATCGGATGGTAAGCACTCTCTTTTCCAAAGGCATCGGTACGAACCGGTCGCTTGCCTAACCAACCTCGGAGGAAATCAGGTCTCAGCAACTTGAGAAACGCTGGAGGCAGCCAAACGCTTTTGGAACCCTCGTAGTACTCAGTAGCAGCAATTGCAGCAACGTTTGCAGATCGTTGTTGGCTTGACGCATCCTCTTGGCTTGCCGCGTCACCCATAGAAGCACGAGTGCCAGCGGTCCCTACCATGGCAACCGGTATCGTAGGATCGTTGTACAAAACTTGCTGCAGCGGCTCCAGCGAGATCGTCTGATTCAATAGTTGCGTCGTCAAAACTGTATTGTTCTGGCGGTTGTTCTGGCTGTTTGAAAGCGAAGTAGGCATGGGCCACAACTTGGTAATCCCGGTGTAATCGGAAATCCCGGTGTAAGCAGCCCAATGCATGACAATGCCCAGAACAGCTGGCAATTTGATAATTAAATCCAAATTCCACGCATTTTCACTGAAAGTTTGAACTTGCTGACGGTCAATGCTTAATAAGAAGGAACCTTGTAGATGAATGGGTAGTGGTAACTTGATTTTTGTTGGCAAGACCGAATGAACCACCCCAGAAAAGTCGGTCGCGGGCAGCCAGCAATTCTCTCCTTCTATTGTCATGTGTTTGAGGAGAGGAACGAAGCCAACAACTTGCTCTCTCCCGGTGTGTTTTCGCTTGGTTGTTCGATGATAAGACTCCTGTGCCTCTCGACTGGGCGTATACTCATGGCTGACGAACAGCCACTGCTGTATTCTTTTGGGTGGATCTGCGTTGCCATTTCTCCTGTTGATTTCTACTGTGACGACTTCGGACATGTCGTTTTCATTGTAGCGATGTAGTTGGGTGCGTCTGACTTGATGTACAGTACCATTCCAGTCCAGGTTCCATGTGTCGTTGTCATGATTGTCCGTAGCCCCTTTCTGCGGTTGCTGCTGCTGCTGTTTTAGGAGAGCTGCTCTTCCCAGCAATGGCGGTGCTGTCTTGGGCAATACGGCCAAGTCTTTGAGTATTGCCTGAAATCCTTCTCGTGGTTTTTGTAGCACAAACTGGCATCCACGAGTTGGTTCGTTTTCTTGTCCATCTTTGGTTGTGATGTTGTAGATTGGTGTTTGCCAGATTGGCAACATGACCCATCCGTATCCTCCTCCTCCTCCATGCTGGTTGTTCTTTTGCTTCGGTTCTTGATACGAAAAGGCGTATGTCCCATCGTCAATAGAGACGTGTGCATATCTCCGATAGCAAGCTTTAAAGCCAACTCCCATAAAGCCGACTGTTCGTTTGCCTTGGCGTGATTTCGTTGACAGCCCCACCGACGATAATCCTAGGACATCAAGTGGCGTAAAGGATCTTCCATTGTGTGTCATGGTGAGACTTTGGTTGGACTGATTGGCGTGGAACTGTACCGAAGTGGCTCCATCGTCGACGGCGTTTTGTAGTAGTTCAAATATGTACAGGTTTGATTGAGAGAATTGTTTTTCGAGGACACTGAGGAATCCCCTGACGCTTGGTTCTAGAATCTGTTGTGCGTAGTAGTTTCGAATGGATGTTGTCACCCACCTTGCACAGTCAGGGTTGTGTATTGGTGTGATGGAGTTGATATCAAGTGTACATGGTGATGAAGATTGTACTACTGGTATCTCTTGTGTAACAGTCAAGACATGCCATTGTAGAGTGTTTTTGGAGGGAGAATCTCTTACCAAGATGAGGATGCTTTTGCAGTTGGATTGAAAGTATGGTTTGACGTGTATGGGTATTCTGTGAATGATTTCAGTTCTGCTGAGGAATGATTCACAGGCCAAGCCCAGGATCCCAGAGTCATCCACCAGGATAGCGAGTTCTTTGTGCACAGAGAGAGCCACACAGGAAGGAGAGAGACTCTTTTTGGCATATGGTTCTGCTGCTAAACGAAGAGGAAGTGTCACTTCTTCTTCTGCGTCATTGCAACTGTGTGCCTGCATTTGTACATGTATGTAAGGACAATTTTAAAAGCTGGTTGCAATGGTGGGCCTTGGTTGCTCCAATGGCTTGACTTGGTTGGTTTCACTGGACCTGAATCAATGGTTTTAACTTGACTTGATCAGCACCTGCATAAGTAAATATCCAACTTGCAAGTGTCTTCTGGTCTACTTACTAGCTAAAGATAGCTACCAGTAGCACCGGTGCAAACTGGTACCTACCGGTACTGCAGTCAGTGCAGCGGCAGTCTTGCGGAGAGGTATCCAGCAACTTCAAAGCTCTGGTCTCCCGTAGAGCTGTACAGAAATTCAGTACTACCTTCCCAATGCAAGAAGGAGCCTTCAATACTCACTGCAAACTAATCTGATGTGCTGTACCGTGGTAGGCTACCGTTGGGTACTATATACAGCGGCGTGGAACTGGCAACGGTATCTCTGGTAGAGACCGTACCGCAGAGGGGCAGACAACTGAAGCTGGCTGGAAGTACGCTTCCACAACCTGAATACTAGCTAGATAGTAGCAAGGCAACGAACGAACAAATCGGCTGTCAAAGCAACTGCAAATCTACAATGGAGGCCAAGGGCATGCAACATATGCTGCAGCTTTGCACGAAAACTCGATTTGATTTTGCCGTTGCTTTTTCCCGTGGCGTTGAAGGTGATGTCATGTGTCGGGAGCGAGCGAAGATCGCTATGTGCTAAGATAAGGAGAGGGATACAGTTTTCCGCCCGGTATCTCCGACACTTTTTTGCGGGAGACGCCACAGATGAGTCACTCGACCATGTTGACCTACACGTACTACTAGAGTACCTGTTACGGTAGCTAGCCGAACGAGATGCCGTAACTTGAAATGCAACGAATGCAGCGACTGGAGCATCCTGGCATTGGGTTGGTCGGCTGCGGTAGATATAGGCTGCAAAAGAATCCTTGGAGTAGACTACTTGTCCACGAGCAAATCGACTGTCACTCTCACTGGCTGAATAGAGTGGGATCCAATGTCATGCTGCCAACTGCACCCCCCTACAGAGTACTGTACCTGACTTCATTGATCTTGGAATCTAAGGCAAACACAATCATCGGCAAGAAAAACATATATAAAGTAAGTTACTAGTACTAGCAATTATTGGAGTTCTTCAAAGCAATCTGAACAACTAGACTATGTAAGGCAAAGAAAGGCAATCAAACTGAAGCATGAACGACATGGAAGTTGGAGCTAGGCAGCACCAGCGAGCTTTGAGAAGGTGCTCAAAATGGCAAGGTTGAAGAGGATCTCACCAACGATTGCCAAGTCCAACACAATGGCACCACATTGGTCCATCCTCTGCTGACTGTTGGCAGCATGCAAGAGAAGATCCCTCTTTGCTTTCAAGGCATCCATCAATTGGTGGATGTGGTTCTGTGGAGTTTGGCATGCACCAAACATGTGCCAAGCGATCTGAGCCTGATTGTTCAGTGCCAGACCGCCCACAACAGCCATGGCATTGTAGTTTTCCACTTGTCCTCCTCCTCCTCCTCCCATCACGTCCATACACAAGCGGTAAAAATGCTGAGCTTGGAATAACTTGCTCTTGTTGTTGGATAACATTCCTGTCAAGTGAAAAGCCAAGGCAAGATTGAAAAGAGCCACTGTGCTAATCAAGGAAACAGAGTAGTGATCCACAATTGCACCGGTATGCACGTGCTCAATGGTGAAAGCATGGTTGAATGTGTAGAAACACTGATCGTGAAGCTTTGGCATGGAGGCGATGTGGACTTGCTTGAAAACGACTTGCTGAGAAAACGGCACGGAATCACCATTGCCAACATCTGTAAGTTCTGAGAGACGAATCACTGAGTGCACGGTGCGATAGAAGCATTTCATAGCCTGCTGATTACCACCACCACGGGCACTTGCGCCTGCTAGGTGTTTCACTCCTTCATTGTTCCAAAACAAAGCTTCCTGCAAGGTCCCAGTCGCATCACTGGTGCTATTGTTGCTGCTGCTGGTGCTGCCAACACGGATTGAAGCACTCATTCTGCTGTTGTTTTTGGATGTTGTGAAGGGATTGCTGGAAGCTAAGAGTGCGGAAATGGCTAAGCTATCAAGTAGCAAGCGGTAGACTAGCTAACTAGCGGTAGCTACTCGACAGCTGGCTAGGAAATGGCTCCCAGCCAGCTTGCCATTATTTTAAAAAGCTAGACTATCGTAGCAACGGCGGACGGTGGTACAGTCGTAGTGCTTCGTGGCTTTATTTACGCCTCTTTTAAAGAAACCAGAAGCCTCCAGGAGTAAGGTTCAAGAGAGTGTTAAGTACAGGCTATACTACATACTCACACTACTTGCACAAGTACGGTCAGCTACTAGCTAGAATAGAGTAGAGTAGATACTCGGAAACAGCATACAGTACATACATAGTCTACTCTGAGTATTCTAAAAGTTCACGTACATGTACCAGTACAACCAATAATAATTAATGCAGCTTCGGGCCCATTGGGAACATCAGAATCTGTCATCCCAAATTGTGTTCTCGTTCTGCACTGGACAATATTTGTGTGCTTACGTGCTTACTACTTATTATGCATACCGGTGCTAACTAGCGAGTACTCGGAGTACGGAGCACTTAACAGCGGCCAATGCCAATGACCGTTGCGTGGTTACAATGTTACAATGTCCTGACTCGTAGCGGTACGGCACTGAAACATACATGAACAAAAGAGCATCAGTGCTAATCTGTTGATACATGTGAGTAAGTGAAAAGAGAACCAAGCGATAATCAAGGTAAAAAATGAAGTACTGTGATGTACTCAAGCCAGCTCTCTTATTCATACCTTTTGCGCTTACCAGTGACCAATGGCCAATGTCCAATGCTGATGATCGTTGCGTGTTTACAATGTCAGTGTTACATGTACTGTACTTGTACGGTACTGTAACATGAACAAAAGAGCAAAATAGTTCAGGTGAACCCGAAGGCCAAGCAAAGCGGAACACTGTCTTAATTAACAGCCAGGACCAATTGATCCAGATTGAACAGTGTTCCTTGCTTCGAACTTCCAAGACTGGCACCAGACACCAGACAGTTGGCTTAAGACAGCTGTTCAGTCCGGTTAAGTAGAGGTGACGTCGTTTTCAGGCAGTTGTGGTACTCCTCACAGCTCTCCTGGCCAGCGGGCGAAAGGTAACTGCGAACTTGTGACGTCATGACAATATTCTGTGTTCTGTCATGGCATGGAGGTCTCGCTCAGTTTCCGGAACGAATTCTCGTCCTTTCAAGTTTCAAGAAAGTAAAAAGATAGCCACCAAAAGCAATGTACTATCTAGCTAGATAGCTCCTCAAAAGAAGACAGGGGAGAGCCAGTTCATGGAAGACTATAGTTACTCTGGAGTAGCTAGTAGCTAGTGTACTATGCCGGGGCTTCTAGCTAGTAGGTACTGCTGGATGCATTTCATGAGGTTGAACATTTCCTGTCAAGGTTTGGTCCTGCATTCCTTGAAAGGCCAACCAATGGTTGCCTGCCTTCGAGAAATGAGCACTCTTTTGAACTGACTTGCTTTCTGAGTTGGTCTGCTTAGTTGTGTAGAGCTTGACCTTTCCTACCTGGAGCAAGCTAGTACCGGTATAGAGAACCTAAGCTAGGCTGCTCCGGCAACCTTTAAAGTCTTGTAGAGCACAATATTTAGCATGATTTCACCAAAAATGGTGGGGTCCAATGCTATCCTGCCAACGCATTGCTGTTCCTCAGTTCCAATGCACAACAGAACATCTACCTTTGCTTGCAAGGCATCCATCAATTGGTGGATGTTGTTGTTTGGATTCTGGCATGTACCAAACAAGTGCCAAGCAATCTGAGCCTGATTGTTCAGGGCAAGACATTCCAGAACGGCCAAAGCATGGTAGTTGTATGTTTGTCCTTCTCTCACCATGTCAATACAAAATTGATAGAACTTTTCAGCTTGGAGCAACTGGCTTTTGTCGAAAAACGATCTCACGAAAAACGATCTCACTCCCTTCAAGTGAGTTGCCACGGCCATATTGAAAAGAGCCAACGTGCTCATCAAGCAAACAGGATAGTCTTCCAGAAGCCAAGAATGAGGAACATCTGGACTGTCCAGTTCAACCGAAAATACGTGTCCAAAGATATAGAAGGGTGCCTGATCCTGTTCCATTGAAAATCCCTGAATAGGAAATGGCAAGCACTTGATGTGGCGAGCAGGTGAAAACAAAGGAGTTTGAAAAGTGCCATTCAAGTAGTTGTCAACAGATGACTGCGGGATGCGCTTCAGTGAGCGACAAAAGCAGTTCACGGCATTGGCCAGGGCGGCATCATTCATTGATTCTGCCCTGGCCCCCCTAGCACTGAGAAGATGTTGAACGCCTTGATTGTTGCAACTGACGGCTTCCAGCATCAGTTGCTCTCGACCGCTTCTGCCGGTGGTAGCCCCGTTTTCTCTGGACGTCATCTACAGCTTAGCTTGTCCTGCTGGGGTCTGAAGAGGGGAAGCGCTTCGAGTTGTTTTTGATCACATGAAATTAGAACTGACGGAGCATGAAACTAAAGGTGTGCGATGACTGGCGTTTCCCGGCCACTATCTATAGCTAGCTAGCTAGCTAGCAACCTTTTAAATTTAGAAAAGAAACTTTTCAGCAAGTTGCGAAGGCGAAAGGATAGAGCGATTTTCTTCCGTTTTGGAATCTTGTGTTGTTCTCCATCTTACATCAGCATTCTTGCGAAGGGAAGGTAAAGAGTTCTTCTTCCGTTGAGAGGAATCTTGTGTTGCTCTCCATCAGATCCCCATCATACTCAGCATTTTTGAAAGGGTGGTTTTTCCGCTACGGTATGGTTCGTTGCGGTATTGTTGCTCAAGGTCGTCCTTCGTGTCATCAAGTCATTACAGCTAGCACTTCCGTTGTGGGTGCCGGTGCGAGCGGAAACGATTTTTTTTCGCGGAAGTGGAAACCAATACATGTGTCGCCGGTGGGAAGCTAACCGCTGCCGGCACAGTACAACGTTATCGTGTAGCTGGTGTTCCAGTGCAGCTCCAAGTGTGGATCTGGTGGCAATTCTATAGAATGTAGCGCCGCTTCACCTCCGATGAATGAATGCGACCTCGGCTTTGGAATGCGGGGTGCCACTGCTCTCCCAGGATCCCAAGCATGCATCCTCCTGAAGCAACAAGGGCCGTCGTTCTTAGCTAAAACAAGCAAGCCCACACATCCCCCCCTGGCAGAATCGTTCCTCTCCCGGTGTGTGAACAACCCACACCGTTCCCCTTGCAGCTGAGGAGGAGAGCTCCTAGCACACTTGCTGATTTCAACTCTGCAGCCAGCTCCTCCTGCTGTGGGACCACACGAATGCAGCACGCCACACTCCTGGACTCTCCCTGCACCGCCACACGGAAGTCTTTGTCTTTCAGTGCTATTAATAGGTGCTAGCTTTCTTGATTCTTGTAACCAAAGACGTTAGTATTGCATCGTGTGATTCCTTCAAGTCACGTATTACGTCCGCCGAGCATGTTGATTTGGAACTCTCAGCCAGCCAGAAGTGGCTGATCATTGGATCGATCCCAGCCAACATAGCAAGGCTGGACCGCAGCCAGTATTACCGGTGCACTAGCTAGCTAGCTAGCTAGCTAGCTAGCTAGCTAGCTGCTGGTCTCCGCGAGCTCTTCGGATCCAAAGTCGGTCGGTGCGAAGCAGACCAAAAAGTGCTTGAACACCGGTGGGTGCCCCACACAGAAGGAAGCATAGAGCCCTCGGAGCAGCAATAACTGCAAAGCTGCCTGGGATGGACCTGTGTGTTTGCTTTATTTGGAGTTTCAGTTTATAATATCTAAGCGCGCCCAGAAAGAAGATTGGCTGTCTGAGATCGAGAAAGAACCATGATGGCACACAAGGCCACGGATGCATCCCTGACGGAGCGATGGGATGCTGGCTCATCATCATGCATGTTGCATGGAAACAGCCAGTCACTTTTCTAGCCGAGGAGCCGGAACGAGGAACCGGTGACAGTGCAAAGTTGGATGACACTTGGACTTGCTTGACTGCAGCTATATTATAACCATTGATTGACCGGTAGCTGCTTCTTGACTCAGACTCGACTCCTGGTGTTTTGGAAGTGGCTGGCCGGTGCCAAGGTGCCCCTCAGCAGCCATCCAACCGATTCGATTCGATTCGATTCGATTCTCGACAAAAGTCGACGAGACTGTGAAATTTGAATGCCTAGCTACGGGTAGCACAGTGGGCCCTGTTCCTGCACAACGTAAGACTACTGGCTAGCTAGTAGCCAAAATATTCATGCTGATGAGTTTCGTTGTTACCAATGAATGAACCATGAAATTTAATGTAGTGTTTTTGTAAATTAACGACTATTTGGTTGTAGTAGTAGTAGTTGAACGGCATGTTGAGTTTGGTTTTACATGCTCATGTTGTTGTTGGGAGACGCAACGGGTGATTGGATGGGGCTGTTTCCACGAGGAGGCGTTTTGAGTCCAGTCTCTTCGTTTTCATGTCCGAGCCGCCTCCACAATCGTGCATAAAAGACCTTGCTCTTCTTGTCGTTACCACCAGCCGCTTGTTGCTGTTGGTACAACTGTACGAGTTCCTGTTGTGTTGCAGGAGGAACCAAAGTGCATCGTCGAAGATGATCGTAGAGGTCCTGCACCTTTGTCTTGAGGTTTCGTTTGCGGGCCGGAAAGACGCGTGCGAGTCCACTTCGCGAAGCAGCACAACAATGTTTGCATGCCAATCCGGGCAATCCTACCGTCAAACAACTGCGATTTCCAATCTTTTCGGAAGCGGCCAAATGGACCAATCGAGCTTGACTGACAACGGCATGCACGAATTCACTGGCGACAGGTTGATCATTGGACGTGACCAAGAGATTGTCTTGACATGCATCCAGATCGGCCTTGAGTTCAGGACTCTTTCCAAACGCCAGCAGTTCCGGAGATGAGTTGGCTTTTTGAATAGTCTCTTGTGTCATTTGAATACCGGCACTGGAAGTATCAACCATTCCCAGTTTTTGCGCAGCATAGATCCAGTATCTCTTGCTGTCACTGGCGGACTGTGCCGACTGTCCCTTGAGTTTGGCAAACTGAGCAGCGACATCGGCAGGCATGGATTGGCACTGTCCACTCAAGTGTTCTGCGTGAATCAACAAAAGGGAAGGCATAAGTTAGTATAAGTGAAGCGCATACGAACACGTCGATAGCAAGTGCAACTTACCCCTGAGCATCATGGTAAAGCTCTGATAGATTTGTCGCACCGAGGACGGGAACGCGGAAGAGCGACTGGCTCGTTCCGTGGGATGCAAGTGTGCACAGAATCGACATCGAACTCCGATTTGACAATCGGCAATCTTCTTGGATGCGTTTCGGTTGTCCGCTGTAGCAGGAGACGCGACAAAGACTTCTAGGATATCCGACCGCAGAAAGCACTGAAACTCGGACAACCAATTGGCATCTTCGTCAATGGCAAGAGCCACGTGAGGTCGATCTTCCCAGTGATTGGCTTTACCGTTGGGATCGGGAGTGGGCAAGTGTGCCTTCTTGATGGGAATGGAAGCAAAGGGACGAGTGGGTTTGTCATTGTTGTGAGCTTTGGAAGCGGGAGCGCAAAAGAGTCCGCCGACCAAGGAGGAGTGTTGGTTAGCAGTAGTGTTAGTGTTGGTAGTGCTTGGAGAGATGGTGCGGTCGTTGGTGTTGTTCTTGATGGGAATGCTGGGCATGCCACTGGCAAACGCTGAGAGCTGTTCGAGAGACGACGAGGACTCTCCCAGTGCCTCTGTCTCTGTGGGAGAGTGGCAGTCCCTGTGGATGCTGCCTTCGGGTTCTTCTTGTTTGTTCACGTTCATGTTAGGGTTAGAGTTCCCATTTTGGTTTAGAGCCGGCAAAGTTGGAATATCGTGGAGGTTTGCCTGAGCCCTCCAGGATAGAGGATGGCCGTTCATGCTGTTGGTGGGGCTTACGCTGTTCATGTTCATATTCATATTGTGCATGGCATTCATGTTCATGTTCATGGGATTCATGTTCATGTTCATGGAGGGATAGTAAGGATTCTGGTGTAGGAATCGAGACTGCAGTGGCATTGGTACATTGAGTCCGTACAAGTCCATCATGGTGGGACGGAACAACGCGGCTTCTTGCGCCGCAGCAGCTGCTTGAGCTTGCGCTAGGCGAAGGCGCTTGGCGTAGTGAAGTGCGGACAGTTGATCGTAGTTCATTCCACCACTGCCACTGCCGTTATTACTAGCACCAGTACTACTACTAGCGCCATTGCCATTGCCAGATCCACCTTGCATTCCACCGAGAGGAGGAGAGCCGGCGCCGCTCATCATGTGTCCATTCATGCTCATAGCGTTACTCCTAGTACTCATAGTACTGTTGTTGTTGTTGTTGTTGTTCAGCTCTTCTTCCAGAGGAGAGGCGGAGCGTTTGCGGGACACGGGAAGGTTCATCATTGTCATGTTATGTTATTACTACTGAGTAGCTAGTAGTAAGAGTTGGTGTGCTTTTGTGTGCTTTGGTTTTGCTTTTTGTGAGCTTGTATTGTCTTACGGCTTTAAGCTATTCCCACTGGTAATCGCTGCTACGGTAAGTACTCCTTGCCTACTTGATCTTTCTTTATCATACCGAAACCATTTTACCATTCATGGAGCATTCAAACATTCAAGCTTCCAGGCTGGCCCTGCACTGCCAACTGCTAAGCCAAAGTTTACCGTCGCCAAGCAATCTTTGCACCACTTTCAAGCAGTAAAAACTACTTGGAAAAGCTTTGAGTACTGTACAAAGCACACTATTTCCCTAAATCTGCTGTACCAGTCCACTCTGTGCAAACTTCAGACACCACACTCCATAAATGAGGGGCCGGCCATCAAGCAATCTAACAGCTATCAACCAAATGAGTACAAAAACACGTTGGTCGTACTATAATACTAGCTAGTAGTAGTCGGCACAGCATCCCACAGCGATCCCACATCCCACTACAGGTAGAAATTGCTTTCAGCTAGATTTTGTACCATCGGCGATAGCGGGAAAAGGTGGCTGTGCAGGATTGGGGCACAACACTGTAAAAAGCACAGCTACCTGACCCAAGGAGGGAAACAATACACTTAACATAGCCGAACATGGTAGAACTCGACAGTGTTTTTAAACGATCGACAGTATCAGCCCCTTTATACAAAGGGTAGTGGGTCATACTTTATCTACAACACCTTTAAATCATAGCTCAGCTTGTGTCTGATCGTCACGGTAAGTTCTACTAAAAAAGGGACATATGGATTGGCTCTCAAGGGGACCGGTGTAAGAGCTGTGTAAGTCAATTGCTCACTCTTACCGGTACATGTACGGCCACTTTCAATGCAGGATTTTTGCGCCTCGTCCACGCGAATCCAAGGTCACTTTATTGTACTGTAGTTTCTACGGGTTACGGATAGGGAAAGGTTCAGATGGAGCACAGACCTTCTGCAAACGAGAATTCATGCAAAGTACTAGCTACCTGGTAGGTGGTACCTGGTGACTGGTACATGTAAGATACACCCTCGACTCAAGCCTCCACAGCTCCAGTTTTTAACTCCGAACCGGTGGGATGCTTTCATCCTTTCACTGCTTCCAAGTCTTTCTTCATTGATTTGATTGCCCACAACACAGAGCCCTTGTCTCTCGTCTGGCGAAAGCAAGACTTGCTTAGTAGCCGGCTAGCTAGCTAGCGCTGGCACTGCTTGGCAGCCTACTGAAGCAAGCATTAAATAAATACTGAACCATTGAGTGGAACGCAGTACGACTGTAGTCTACATGTGGGCTTCGCTCCTGGTCCTGATTACAACTCACAACACTACTACTTGAACAGCTAGTCTACATGAACGCGGCTAAATTGCTTGAAAAGGACAGTCTCAGCTGTGACTGACTCACGGACAAGCAACCAAGCAGTCTGGAAAAACTTACATGTCTGCCTGATTGAATCATTCGATTTGATTCGATTGATGATCATTCGCGGCAGCCAAACAAAATTTATTTACATGTATCACCACGCCTTTTCTACTTCACCGACGCCTTGATCAGGCAACCCGGGGATACATGCAAAGACAACCACACCGGTTCCTGCCAACAAACAACATGGACACAACGCAATAGTCTACCAGCAGCTGCACGTGACAATTTGCTGCTACAAAGGCCAAGCCTGGCTGCATGCATAGTTCAAAATAGGTACGTTGCCGGTCGTTTGTTCTACGTGTGTATGTGTAGCTCGCTCGACGTTCCGTTCACTAGCTAGCTAGTCTACCAAACTACTAGCAACGCGCGCTTCCCTTGAAACGATTGGATCTCCTACCGGTAGCAGGTACTGGTATGTCTTGTGCGATGAAGTAAGCACCAGTGAAAGGCACTTTACGAGCTCCAGTACAGATGATAGTCTAGAATACAGGCTGCGGGCAAACTTGCTTGCGTGCCAGCCATAATCCGATCGTTCTTTCCCCCCTACTTCCTTGCCATACGTGTACCTTGTCTTTTATCACATCCTTCTTCCCTTCGTTCACAGTCTTCGATGAACGAGGACAGCATTGGATCCCATATCCGTCGCTTGAACGTACATGTACTAGCTACTAGCTAGACTGGTAATGATGCTTGCTGAGTTGATTATTGGGTCGGCGTCAAGCCCAGCAAATTTTGCGCGTGGATCGTTCGAATGGATGTGTGATTCGATTCGATTCGATTCGATTCAATCTTCTTCGTATGACGCGCGCGCAGGCCTCGAAGAAATGAACCAAGGCAGCACCAAAGAGTCGGGTGCGGGTTCGTTGATAACAGACAATCGTGCGGCCCAATGATTGCTCACAGCCGTGAGCTACCTGTATATGTAGCTTCACAGTCAGGAAATCTAGACTAATAAGATTGATTCGACTGTTCTCGCGTGTCCATAAAATTGTGTTGGTAACGCGGATGCTTGCTGCTGCCTCCAAGCCTCCAATGGAGGTCTATGCATACGTCTAAAAAGTATGTGTTTCATTGGGTTTGTAGTGTTGCGACAGTATTATTATCTTGCAATTCATTTTGTCTGTGGGGCAAGAGGAAGTAAAGTATTAATGCGTACAATCATAAAACAGGGACGACCTGGCAATCTATGGCTACTTCTGGACAATCACGTCAAGCGAAACAAAAGGGTAGGCGCGAGCACAAGCCACTACTAGAAGTACCGTATCAAATACCGGTAGGAAAGGGAGCCTTTGGGGAGTTCTTACTGCATGATTATTTTTAGTGTTGTTTCTGATTGTCGATTAATTGTGTGTTTTTTTTCGTTCGTTTCTTTGTTTCCCCAAGCACAACACAATACCATCCAAATTCCATTCCAACTCGATATCATGTTTTACTCTTTCTTTTCTTCGGCAGTCGCCATGAAATCGGTAACGTACTTTTTGCGAGAAGGGTGTTCATCACACTCGGGACGATTGAACGGAGTCCAAACGGGCTGTCCCTTGAAGAGCCTCATGGCATGACAGAGTTTTTCGCAATCGCAGGTGAAACGATGGTAGATTCCCTCTGGAAGAGTCATGAGATCTCCCTTTTTGACGTGAATACGGATCCATTCGTCTTGTGTATTGCGGACATCAAAGTATCCACTTCCTCCCAAAATGTAGCGAATTTCCTCGGCGTCGTGAATGTGTTCTAAAAAATAAAAATAATAAAATAAATAGTGAGAAACAATAAAATAAAAATAAATAAAATACAAGAAATGGCAAAAATAAAATAAATACCTTCAAAGAACGCCTTGATTTTGTCATCGAATCCAGGCAAGTGATCGGGATGAACCGTGATGATATCGGCGTAAGAGTATCCACGGTCGTCCCTGAGCGCCTTTAGCTTGGGGTCCTGTGCGTCCTTGGGATCCCAGGGCACCTCCTTGACGGGATAGCTAAACTTCTCGGCGTCCATTTTCCAGTAGCTAATGCCGAGCTTGCGCAACGCAGCCACATCAACCGGCACATTGGGAGACTGCTTGTTGGTCGCACACTGATCCGACACTTCTGTAGGCAACATCCACGCTTCGGGCCAATCTTTGTCGGCGGCTTCAGGGACACTCATCTTGGCTTTCTTGTTACTACTACTACTACTAGTAGTGGCTTCTTCTTCTTCTTTCTTTTCTACTGTTACTTCTTTACTCTCTTCTGAGCTCATTGCTGGCTTTCGTTTTTATGAGACTTTAGAATCCACTTCGACGATACTCTTGTAAAGCACACACAAACCAGGGCCGTTTTGAATGGAACCACTTTTTGTTTGAAGCAGCATTGGCGCTGCCAAGCTCGAGGCCTTCTCAACGGCCGGCCTCGCTCCCAAAAAGATCCAACAAAGATACTCCGCAGAGAGCACCTTAAATCTGCTTCAACGTCCCCTTAACTCCGCCAGGCTAATCCTACTTCTACTATTAATTAATAGTAGTTTACATTCAACTTCTACGCTCACTCGCTCCCAAACCGCGTGGAGGGAGGCTCGTACAACCGCAACACGCACACAATGCAGCAGCCTGGGTGGCAAAGGTTGTGATGCTGTGATCCTCCATGTAAATTTTGGGCTTTGGGTGGAAACAGGGGCAGGTCCTGGAATGGAAGAATCCTGCCTGTTGGTTTGCACGTACCGGTAAAGCAACTAAAGACTTTGGTGCAGCTGCAGATCCACTTGCCACGGCCAGCAATTGCTGTGGTACTACCTTAGCTAGTACCAGGTACCAGCAACAGAATTGACACCAGTCCTGTTAATACTGAACAAGAGCTGCAAGATGGCCTGCTGGATCAAAGCATTTCGTTTCTGGTATTGTGGTTCAGTTAGTTAAGATGTTAAGATTCTCACTACAGATGATCATAACCCACCATTAGTGGACAGAACTGTTCTCTCGCGCTGGCTGGCTTTGCTCATCTATCTAGATTGCTTGGCTCCTACATTTTGGGTCCGCAGACTTCAGACTTGCTTGACTGTAGTGTAACGTGTTTTTGCTCGTTGCGGTACATCTGAGACCCTGCCCGAGAGAAATCCTGGTTGCTACGGGTAGCTACGGTACCGTAGGTACATGACATTGTGGTGCGGCTCAGGTGCTTTTCATTGGACTTGACCAGTCGTGGAACTCAGTTTGGTCCTGTGGGAGCCCGTTATGGGCCGGCTGTTTGTTCGAGGCAAATACTAGCATCCACGTCCCACAACAAGCTAACTTCTCTTCCCACAATCTAACTTTCTACAACTCTTTCTACCGACCTATTGTTCGCAACAGCAACAGTAACCACCATCATTTTCTACTCGCCTCCTCGATTGATCCCATCGCCACACTTTTAAACAAAGCCAAATTTTACAAAAATGAAAGTTCAGCTCTTACTGTCGTGGTCCTTGCTTCTTGGCTCCTCCCACGCCCAAGAGTCGTTCAATCGAGAGGTCGAACGTCGTGTCTTTGAACGAGTGGATGGATTCATGAATGGACCAGCTACGGTCAACAACTTGCTAGAAGGCTTCCGACAAAACGGAGCCATACACCCGGAGCTCAATGTCAGCGACCGGGATGTCTACGCGGCCATTGCCTACAGTCTCCGAAACGAATTCAACTTTGACTGGATCTACTACAGTACCGAGGATGGGGCCTTTATGGGGTACGTACCATTGCTAATTGTCGTGATCTGCAAGCTTAGCTTCCTAGCTACCGGTAGTAGGGCACCACTGATCATCCTCCTGTCTCTTTGCAAACAGATACAACAGCGACGTCACCGGTATCTACCGGGAGCCCAAAAATGCCGGCTACCGCAAGGACGATCCAGAGATGAAAATGTACTACAATACTTGTGTCGACCAGTTCAGCGGAGAAATGGAAAACTGCACTCTCAAACCTGGACTCGAGTACATTCAATGTGTAGATGGCTGTGAACTCGAATTGTGTGAATCAAAAACCGCGAGCGGCAATGGCACGCAACAACCATGCGCGGAGCAAGACACAGAGTGCCAAAAAGAACAAATCTGGTGCCCTCGATACGAGATTCTGACCGCCACCGAGGAAGACACACCCGACAAGGGATTCGTCCCATGGACCTTCCATTGCCACACAGAAAACGGAGACTTTTCGCAGCAGCCACAAGCAATCCTCAAAACCGATGGGACCTTCGGGAACTGTGTCTACGCAGATGATCAGACTTTGGTAGACCGGGATATTTCCGGTGACTTTGCTGCATGCGGAGACGCGGAATGCAATATCTTTGTCGGGGGATATCGCTCTTTCAATTACGATCCGAGGTTTCGGCCATGGTACACTGTTACCAAACAGCTCCAAAAGCCAAACTGGTCTCCACCGTATCCGTTCTTTGACAATCTGGATCTTGGCATTACATATTCCCTCCCATTCTACACTCGAGACGAACAAAACCGAAAGGCCTTTCGAGGTATGTTTTCCGTGGACTACAAGTTTGAAGGCATCAACGAGTTTCTGGTCAGCTCGTACGGAGCTGGCGCCAACGGGTTTGCCAACGGAACCAACGCCTACGTTGTGATTTATGAAACTGCGGCTCCCCACTACATAATCGCATCATCCACAGGGAGACCGGCTTCCAGTCTCGTTTTGGAAGCCGACCAAGAGACTCCTTGTCCTAAAGAGCTCGCGTCAGGAGAAAACTCGGGATGTGTCGTCAAACGGGTGGCAATGGAAAATCTGACTGGCCAACCGGACGACGACATTCTGAGAAGCTCCTACTTGCAGCAGGTAGCGGAGGGACATCCTGGCGACTTGGTCAGTGCAACTCTTTCCGGCCCAACAGGCACGCAAGCCTTTGTCTCTCAATCCACCATCTACTCGAGGGAAGACTCGGAAGGTTTGGAGTGGAATATCCTGGTTATCTTCCCTGTTGAGAGGTCCACAACAGATTCGGTGACCAAGGAGGAACCTCTCTTCGGAATCGTATGCGTCATTGCTTCCCTCGGCTTCCTGTTGTGTCTGATCATGTTGATTTCCTTCTACTGGAAACGAAAGGAACGATCCGTGATTTTAACCGATTGGAGATTCACGTGTGCGTTCCTTCTGGGATGTGCTCTCCTGAACTTGTCAAGCTTTGCATTGCTTGGGCCAAACACGGAGGAACTTTGTGTACTCCGGAGATGGTCCTGGCATTTCCTCTTTGCTGTGGCCTTGAGCCCTTTGTTCGTCAAGACGTACAGGCTTCACCGATTGGTTGGCACACAAAACCAGAATCCATCGATCATTTCCAATCCACAGGCTGTGGCCATGACGCTCCCCATCGTCTTGATCCAGGCTGTCATTTTGACAGTATTCACCATTGTGGATCCTCCAACCCCAGAAGACATTATCGAGTTGGATGAAGGGGTCGTCTCTCATCGAGTGGAATGCACAACACAAAACAATGCGTTCACGATCACCGTCTTGTCATATGAAAGTGGTTTGGTCCTTGTCGGATGCATCTTGGCCTTTGTCACGAGGAATATGGACTCTGGATTCGGTCAGGCCAAAGAGCTCCTGTTTTGCGTGTACAACATCGCTCTGATTGGAGTCGTTATCTGCATTATCACATTTACAATGGATATTGATGTTCTGGGCACCAATGTTCTCTTTGCTATTGGTACGTTCTGTGGTACTGTTTTCAGTTCTGCCGTGTTTGTGCTCCCACGGCTTTTCCAAGAGGCACAACGGCAGCCAGCTCTCAAGAGGGCTCGTGGGAGTCCGCAGGGTGCCCCAACAAAGTCGAACAAGCCAAAACTGCGCAGTGTCAACTTTAGCGAAGATGTAGGAATCATCGCACCCTACAGCCACGATGAAGAACCCGGACGAACTGAAACTGGATGGTCTGTCATTGGACTAGACGAGGACAATGGTGGCGGCACGGCTGGTCTAAAAAGGGCCAGCAGTGTCATTCATGACGAACATGAAGTTTGGACTATGGCCGATTCCGAAGCTGACTTTCAGCCTCCCTCCAACGGAGAGACGACAGAGACAATCTCGGATACCACCACTACCAGCCCCCCGGAACAATCCACCACACCCTCAAGTTTTGCCCCTTCCTCCGGTGCCAGTATCATGAACTGCTAACTTCGGCGTGCGAATAGAAACTGCGGGGGCTAACGAACAGTTACTGAGATTGCCGACTCGGGCCCTATGTTTGCTTTTTAAACTGTGACTATAGAGACAAACTTTATATAAATAACTATCATATCTTCGAGCGTCTGTCCCGCATTCCATTCAATTCATAGACACATACCGGTACCATTCAATGGATGGCTATAAGAGGAAGATGATGTCCTCCAGAGTTGGTGTCCCGTCTTGGTGCTGTCTGGCGCAATGATCATGACGGATGTGGCTCGGTGTGGGCATTGAAGGTTGCTGGCCCATAAAACCAGCAGTAGTTTGATGATCGTACCCAGCAACCCCAGAGGCCAGGGTATTGGAACAGCGATTGAGGTACTCGTGCCAGGCGTGATCGCCCTCTTGCGGTGGGGATGCAATGTCAGCATACTGGTAGCTACCCATTGTTGGCAGATGTGTTGGCTGCGAGAAAGTTGATGTAAGCGCTGGAAATCGAATGATGGTATCGTTTAGTTGCGTTGGAGTCATATTATTGAGACCACGTGACATTGCAAAGTATGATGCCTTGGATGACGACGAGTCGTCAGTTGTCAATGTGGACGTTTCGGATGCCGACGAAGACATGACACTGCTGTTCCCACTGGCAACAGTTGTGGTCGTGCATGTATTGATGGTACATGTAGCCGAGACTCTGTTGGAGCTTGCATCTGGGGCAGTGAATCTCCCCTCTACTAGTAGTTGCTGGGTGTAGGAAGGGGCAAATGGAGTGACCGTGTTGGACGTCTCGAAAGGCTGCCCAGTCACTACTGGTGACGCTGCTTGTGGTTCCCATGAGCGGAACGCAAGGTCGTTGGAGATTTCTTGGTTTTGCAGTGGTGCGATCCAGCGGCCGAGTTCCGCCTTTTGTTCCAGAGCTCGTTTGGACAGGTTCATGGGCAGAAAGCGGAGTGGCAACGCATCTTGTGTTGCCTGTTTTGGCGCTGCCAGTGCCATACGGAGTCTTCCAGGGACCTTTAGCGGTCCCGCTGATGCTGCCTTCCTACTAGCAGTCGTACCAGTTGTCTGAAGGAATGCTTTCGCCTTGATACGCTCGGAGGAGGAAGACGACTTTGTTATGTTGGGACAGCTCTTGATGGTGGTTTCAAGTACTTGTACTTGTACTTGTAGTGGCTTCATGGCATAAAAGTCGGGCTCTGTCTCTACACAAGTGCGCATTTTGCAGAATGTTCCCTTGACCCTGACTCTGTCAAGTCTATGAATGAGATCACTTCTTCCTCTGAGGAACAGTTCATGGTAGTAAGCGTTGCAATCCTTGCCCTGGGTGATGCGCACAAAGCCGTACAGACTGAGCTGTCGCTGGAAGGATGCTAGCTTGCTCTGGGAGAAGAATCTGCAAAGTCATATATGAATGAATGAATGAATGCACTGAAGTTAGCATGGTCTTAGTAAAGCAACGTTTTGTGTGATGTGTTTCACTAGCTACGATGTACCGGTAGTCTAGCTAGCTCGTTAGTTAGTTAGCACCGGTACCTGGTACCTGGTAGTACTTACCTGTGCATGACCTGCTTGACAAAGAGCTTTGGGTTTCTGACCACGAAGCATCTGCCATGAGGTTGCCAACCAACGATTTCTGCAAAGCCAGCTCCATCGGCTTGACTGAGCATTTCGTAGAGCTTCAAGGGAAACTGCCGAGTAGCTCCTCGCTTGGCAGGCATCAGTGGATCCTTCTTACCATTGTTACCATTGTTACCGGTAGTGCCGGCACCACTACCAGCTTCAGGTAGAACATCAACGGGATCTTCGCTGTGATCGTGGTACTTGTGCACAAAGACACCTGAACCTGCACCCTTGTTACCGGTACCGGTATGGTGGAATGGAGGCAACGCCATTGTGGTGGTGCTGATGGCTGAAGAACTGGTACTATTAATAGTACTAGTATTGGCAGCAACAAAGCGGTTCATGGTTATCAGTTTGGTTTTGGTTTGCTTTTGCTTTTGCTTTTAGTTTTGGTTTTGCTTTTCGGTCGGTCAAATTTTGTGTGTGTGTGTGTCAGAGTTGATTGGGCGTTGTTCCAAGTGCACCAAGCAGCCACTGTGGATTTTGTAGCTATTTTGTGTGGTTGATGGCTGCACAAGTAAGTAAGTTCTCAAGTGCCGACGGAAGAAGCTGTTATAGTGTCGAAAAGTCTTTTAGCTCAGAAACACAGGAAGTGAACTCTTTTCTTATTCCTTATTCACTTGGCACTTATACCTCGCCCATCGAAAGGATTTCTACTCTAATCCACGTATTCTGCAGTAGACACGCAGCGTTCTTTGTCGAGTGACCTTAAATATGTCTACCAGTACAGTATTTCCAATCGACTCAGTCGATGTAGTCCACATGTGAGACAGCTGTAGAAGCTGCTGTGGACTAAGACTATTGGATTATCCAAGAACTATTCAGACTATTCAGTCATTCAGTCCTTCGCAACCTCTAAATCAGAGGGAAAGCACCCAATAAAAACCTACTCTTTCCAGTGAGAAAGTTCCCCAAATCTTCCAAGAAGCCAATCTCGAAGATTCAATCTTCCCTCCTCTGCTGCCAAAATGACTGAACGAGCACCTCATCAGCACTCCTCGCTGCTTGCTGCAGGCTTGCTGCTTCCTGAAGAAGCAACCTAATGATCGATGTAAGAGATAGATAGACTACTGCAGATGCTAACCCGCCAACACGCTGCTTCCTCGCAGACGGGAGAGGCACCAGCTGCCTTTTAGAAACCACTTGTCTTGGCAAAAGTAAACAGTCATTAGCTACACAGACACGCGTTCATCGAGGAGAAAAGGCAAGCAAGAAGGCCAAGGACTTTTAGGTCTCCGTCCGCAAAGTACAGCTGTGCAACGGGCAACTAGCTAGATAGCTACAAGACCGCAAGCTGCTTCATGCAAGACTGGATTGCAGATCGCTGCGAAGTTCTGACAGTCCGGCAGCAGCCACCGGCACTTTACATGTAGGTAAGGGCTTCTTATTGGGTTTGTAGTTAGTGGAGGAGCGGCAGTTAGGCCGCTCTCTACCCAAGCGACTAAAGTAGCGACTAAGCCATATTTCGTAGTTTAGTCGATAGTTTAGTCTCTGAGGGTGGTGTCTACCCAAGCGACTAAACGTCCCACGGACTAAAGGCTTTAGTCATTATGTTCGCTCACCGACTAACGGGAGGCTGGTTAGTCGGTGAGCGAACATAACGACTAAAGCTTCTTTAAGAACTCTTTAAGAATCAATCTTCAATCAGCCTCATTGCACAGCCTCAACAACAGAGGCATCTACTTGCCCAACAAGCCAAGCTGTAACTCAACCGTTTTAGTCACTCTTTATAGTCACTGTACCGGTAGCCCTTTGCACCTCTGTGGTGGGCACCTCTGTGGTAGCTAGGCCGTTATTATTATGTCGTCCTCATCGGATTCCGACTCTTCCAGGGAGCCTTGGACATCGTCATGGGAATGGCAGATACCGCTGTAATGTTGGCCACGGATGATTACGATGGCACACCACAGCCCATGGTTGACCACCGTCTTTTGCCAAGGAAACCTCGAAGCAATACAACCATGCCAGAGCTTTCCATTGTATTCTAGACGACTATCTTGGACCGGTCCCTACATTTGATTTCAAGGAATTTGAGGATATCTACCGCATCAGCCGTCCTCGTTACCAGAGATTGAGAGAAGATGTCATGAATTCGGGTCATGAGTTCTACAGCGGGTCCACTGATGCTTTCGACCGGAAGGTATCATGTTTGGACGCACGTCTATTGATGCCGTTGAAATGTTTGGCATACGGTGTTCCCGCTCAACCATTCCGTGACTATTTCCAAATGTCGCAGACCTTCGCAAGGATTGCCGCAGTAACTTTGATGACATCCTGCTCATTTGTATCAAGACGAGTATCTTGTTTGCCGACTGCCACTGATTTACGAAATATTTCCAATCTTCACTTGGCGGCCCACGGTGTTCCTGGAATGCTTGGAAGTCTTGACTGTATGCACAATCGATGGAAGCAGTGCCCAATCGAATGGCAAGGAGCATTCCAAGGAGCGAAAAAAGGTCCCTACCCTGGTTCTGGAGCAATGTGCGATTACAATTTATTCTTCTGGCATGCTTCGTTCGGCTATGCCGGAACACTCAATGACATAACAATTTTCGACATGTCGCCTCTGCTGGAAAACATGATCAGCGGGAAGCTTACCGATCTCGAGACTATTGGTGGCGTCGTCCCTTTTGACATTGGCGATGAAGAATTTCCACAGATGTTTATTTTGGTTGACGGTATATACCCACAATACTCCGTTTTGTCAAGACTTTACCGAGCCAATTTTGGATTGGAGAAACAATATTCCGCTTGGCAGGAGGCGGCTAGGAAGGACATCGAGCGGGCATACGGTGTGATTCAGGCCAAATTCCAATTTATGGAACATTGCTTCCTGGTTGCTCGAAGCACCGAGTTGGAAAGAGCCAGTTGAATTTTGTCGTATTTTTGCCAGTGGGTCGGGTATGCAAAGAACCCATTGGATCACGAGTATTGTTGGCTTTCGGCTTGCTTTCGTCAACACCGATTGGCTCAGCATTCAACTCATCCATTCTGCGATCAGCTTCTGTCTCGGTGATATGGGGATCAAAGACGGGCCACTCGGTCAAGTGGGGAATGCAATTGCGATGATTGAAAGCTTCATTGTTCTCCTCATTGTATAGCTCCACGGCAAAATCAATATAGTCCTCCTCTGAATTGAATCCAGTACGGTGCTCGGCATGGGCCCGACGGTAACAAGCCATGAATTTTCGGCAGCGTCCCGCAAGTAAATTCCAACGGCGACGGAGCTGGTCAGCGACTCGCGTTGTATAGATAGTGTCACCGTCTTCATCAGGTTCAGCCTCTTGGGAGAGCAGTTTGTTGTATTTTGGAGCAACTCGATTCTTCCAGAAATCTCCTCTCTTCATACCGGTGCCCTTCATGCTCTGGGTGGCACTGATGAAGGCACGGCACAATAGTTGATCCTCAAAATCATCAAAATTCGTACCACGCTTGCGCTTGGACTTGCCCTCGTCATCAGCGACAGCGGTGGTCTTCTTGACTTTCTTAGTATTGTTGTTGCCGGCTTTGCCGCCTTTGCCGCCTTTGCCGCCTTTGCCGCCTTTGCCGCCTTTGCCGCCTTTGCCGCCTTTTCCAGAACGAGGTCTCTTCCTGGCGGTGGCAGCCTTGGTGGTAACCTTGGTCTTCTGCCGAGGAGATCTCCTCAATGGTTCACTGATTTTATCCATAAGCTTCTCTTTAAGGTCTACAGTGGCGATACTGTCCTCATCATCATCATCAGAGTCTTCCTCTTGTTCTTCCTCTCCTTCTTTCAGCGATACCTCCTCTTCCTCTTCTTCCTCGCCAACAAAGGACTCCTCGGCCTCTTCACTAGCCTTCTTCTTGGTGTTGGCCATGGTCTCAGTGAATAATAACAATAAAGAACAAGAGGCTAGCTAGCGAAATGAACAAGAGGCTAGCTAGCGAAATTATGATGAGTTTCGCTAGCTGGCTAGCGAAATGAACCAACGAAATCCAAAACGTTGGTTAGTCGAACGTTGAGTCGATGGTGGTAGATAACGTTTTTCTTAAATTTTTGACTAAAATATCGACTAAACTGGATAGTTCGAGATTTAGTCCGTGGAGGGTAGACACCTCCTTGACTAAAGGTTACGGACTAAATCTGCGACTAAACAAGGTGCTAAAGTACTCCTTTAGTCCCTACTTTAGTCGCTTGGGTAGAGAGCGGCCTTAGCAATGGGTAAATGAGCCGGTTCTTTCAGGTACCAGTGTGACCAGGAGGTTGGGAAGGCTTAGGTTTAGGTTTGCGTGTTGGACCTCGTTTTGATTCGATTCTGATGTGGGTCATGGGGTTTTGGGGTTGGTCCATTTAGAGTGTAGAGATATCATACATCTCGCTCCCTGGTGTCGGCCTGGGTAGTGATGCCCGGATGTCAGAATGGGACCACAATCTTCAGTCTTCCCTGGAGGAGATGCAACAAGGATAGGTCCAGGCTTTGGTCCTCCTCGGGTGGGAACAGTATTCTATAGATGGACCTGGAGTTGGGGCTGGTGTATAGTGCAGTTTCAGACGTCGTTCATCTTGCACGGGATCATGAGGAACGAGCCATGAGTTCTTCTCTAAAGTTAGTCTACTATTTGCCTGGCAGTGTCGTTTCGGCAGTTTCTGCCTTCCCAATCAAAGCAAGAGCTGCAGTTTGAACCGAATCGAATCGAATCACCAGAACTGGCATCTGGCTAGGCAATACTTGTCTAGGCAATGGAGGTGCGTACCGGTACGGTAGCCACATGCAGACACATGTCTTTGCGAGGTGGTTCCTGTCCGGCGTTATCGGAACTAGAATCGTCGGCTCGAGCGAGAGCTGTCAGCCGCCGCAACCAAACGTTCCAGCTTTCTCTTTGTACTATTTCCATTGGTCTTGGTGTGGCTCCTGGACGACGAGTGGAGCAATCAATGGATGCAGGAGCCAGGTACTCTGCAAGCTGCCATGAGCCATGAGCCATGAGCTTGGCAAGTCTGGGAGTGTCGCTGAAGCATGCCTTGGCTGGCGGAGCAGAAAGTGACTTTGTCATGTTTCTTGAGAGCACAGTACTAGACTAAAATACTAGTACGTCAAGATGGCATAAGTTCCCAGTTGGGCGAGAGTTGGAAGAAGATCACTTCCCAAAAGAGTGGAGCCGAGCGAGTTGAGAGAAGGTCCGGGAACAGCAATGATGCGAGCAGCTTGAGTCCCGGACTTGAGACTTACTCGTGATTGAGGTCCTTTAGGTGAACCATGAAGACGATCCCGAGCAGCTTGATTAGTTTCTCTTTGTATCATTATTACATGCAATAAAGCAGGATCAGGGTACTAGTATGATTTTTATTAAGTGGACAGGATTGATTGATTGATTAATAATTCAAGAGAACGACAAGGAAAAAGAGGTTTCAAAGAAACCAACGGGACTGCTGGAGCAGTTTCTCTGGAACTACAACGAACTCACCTTGAGCAAGTTGTAATTGGCCCAATCCAGAACCCATTCAGGGTCTGACAGATCAATCACCCGCTGCAGCTTCTTGCCAAACTTCATGGTTGGTCGACGACTGAGACTCTTGCTGCTGCTGTGTGCATGTTTTTGGTGCCGTGGTTCTTTGGTTCTGTGGTGTTTGCACTGCTGAATGCGAAAAGATCCTTTTATCCTTATAGCTAGCTAGATCATTCAATAAAATTAGTCTAATTGAATGATTGAATCTTCAATCGAATCTTCAAGAGATAGGTGGAGACAATAATAGACAAAAAGGAATCGAATCTTCTGATTCTTCATCCACGGAAGCGAAGCACATGTCCGAAAAGACCAGACTGCAGTACTGCAGTGTCAGCGAGGGTTTTCAGTACCATACTACTAGCTAGTAACGTGCTACTACTGGAGTAGTAACTAGTATCTCTTAGCATATCTTTTGAGTACCAGTATTCAGTACTGTACCCCGACCGGTTGCCACGTTGCCACCGAACCGTACGCATGCATGGAATAATTCAGGTTCCGGGAAGGTCCCGCAAATATTGAAATAGTGTGTTTAATGGTGATGAATGGTGATGAATTCATCACCTATTTGTTGAATGGTGATTAATGGTGATGAAAATGATGAATTCGTGATGACTGGTAATGAAATTTAGTACTGTTTCACTATAGAGATGATGAATGGTGATTAAAATGATGAAACCGTGATGAAATATGATGAATGGTGATGAAATCATCACCAATGTGTTGAATGGTGATGAATGGTGATGAACATGTTTAATTAGTGATGAATTCAATTCCAGATTTTCATGTTTCCCAGGACCTTCCAGGTGGTTTTGGGTTACTCGTAGTGAATAACAAGGTATCAATAGCTACTGGTAGCTACTACTGAAGCTAGATCTAGCTAGCTGGCTAGCTAGTACCGGCAAGGAAAAACGGGCCACATCAGTGAGACGTGAGGGTACGCTGGCGAGCCAGACAGGGGCAGAAAGAACAGATACGACTGTACATCGTCAAGACGAAAGACAAAACTGGCTAGTTTTTGACCACGAGAGAGCATCGAAACAACGCAACAGAGCGGATCTGCCTCTTTTTGCTTCGCTTGGTGCCGATTTGCTGGTTGCGCAATCTGACGTTGCAGAATGAAGAGGACTCTCCTCAGCAAGGCAGTGTTGGAAACTGTATTTCTTTAACCAGGACTATTGAGGAACTTTGCTAAGAGCTGAATGTTCAAAACCGATCACAACGTCAGATAGAACATCTGTTTGACACCGGTGCGGCACCGAAAGAAAGGTGTTCCCCAGACCCCAGAGAAGCTAAGGTGTTATGGGAAGAGTCAAAGAACTTTTTTCGTAGTGGTAGTTAACGAAAAAGCTTCTCCGTGTCCTTTCGCATGGTTCCTTTCTAAAAGCGGGGGAAAATAGATTTCTAGATTTGTAACTAAGTGGTACTGTACTTGCGTTTCACGGAACAAGGATGTTTAAATGTGTGAAGAGTGAAGTGAGATCTGGTGTTTCTTGAGAAACTCCGCATGGTGATCACACAACTTTGTGTCACTCGAACCAATCCCTTCACAAACGGTTAGCTAGCTAGATATCTGACAACAGCTCTCCATCAGACGTAAATTATACCAATCTGGTAGATCTACTGTAGCTATCTGACGACACCATCTCTAGCTATTGAGCAGACCAAGTAAGTGAGTGGACTATGAATTCTATGAATGGCAGTGGCAGTGGTACTACTATTAATAGTGATTCTGGTATGAACCTACAGTTGGCAGCAGTTGCTCTACAAATGCAGCAGCAGCAGGATCACCAGGCTCAAGCCCAGTTCCAGCAAGCTCAAGCTCAAGCTCAAGCCCAAGCCCAGGCTCGGGTGGTCCAGCAAGCCACCAATGAGGAGCAGGTGCAGCAACTCCTTCAGAACATTCGTACGGGTACCCTGGAAGGACTCATTGATCAAATCCGTAAAATCAAGCAGCAGCAGCAGCAGCAGCAGCAGCAAGAAGAGCAGGCACAAAATGCATTGATCCAGCAGGCTATCCTGCAGCTCTTGTCCAGCAATAACGGTACCAGTACCACTGCTACAGCTGCACCTGTTCGACAGGTACGGGTACATCAAGACCAGCCTGGAATGAATATGGAAACCCTTTTGGTTGCTTTACGCGCAAGCAGGCATGCATCATTCATTCCAGGACCTGCCCCAGTCCCTGCACTGCCAAGTGTATCGCCACCCTCTGTTACCCAGCCTCCTGTTTTTTCCACAGTGTCAGTGTCAGCCCCAGCTCCACTTCAAGGTCAAGGTCCTCGTCTTGCTCCTTCAGCGGCTCCTGCAGAGGCTCCCGTTGCAGTTCAAGGCCAAGTTCCTTCTCTGGCTCAAGATCCAGTCCCTCAAGTGCAACCAGTTCCAGCAGAATATGATGCAAGCCAAGTGGCAGCCATAGCCAGCGCCAGCGACACCAAACAGGGCAACAAATCCAAGGGTCGCCATGTCGAGTTCCCACGCAAATTCTATGACATGTTAATGGACATGGGAGAAAGAGGAGAAGGCCACATCGCTTGTTTCGCTTCAGATGGCAAGGCATTCAAGGTTCATGATAGGGATCGCCTTGAGGATGTTCTGCCAAGGTACTTCAAGACTATGCACACACATTCCGGCTTGCAGAGACAACTCAACCTGTATGACTTTGTACGCACCATCAATGGACCACAAAAGGATCACTACAGCCATGAGCTCTTTGTCAAGGGACACCCTGACTTGTGTCATAATATGAAAAGAACCAAGAAGAAAGGAAAGGCTGCTCACTCACGACGCAGAAGGGTCCAAGAGTGAGGCCATCTTCTTCCTAAGCAAGCCAAGGAACCCTCAATTTGGAAGCAGCAATGAAAGTATCATCATGTCAACAGCTGTGCAATGCATACTACTATATACTCATCATGAGAAAAGTGCAATTGTTCGAGGATGTATGGTCTCAAAGATCCTCCACGACGTACTTGAACTCCCTGGAGGAAACAGGACAACACATCACTGCAAGCTTCACCGGTCCGCATTGAAAACGGATCTCATATGGGCGCGTATAACCATGCCTCGTTGTTTGTAAGGGGACAAGCCGTTGATGTGGAGGCCATCGAGAGCTTCCGAGGCGCCATCTTAGGTTACCGGATGTAGGATACGTACGTACAATCAAAACTATAACGAACAATGGTACCATACAATCAAAACAATAGAATGCTTGTGCAATAGTGGGCCACTCTCCGTCAAACCACGATTTCTAGCTTCTCTTACAAAGCAGGTGTTATTGTACAGCTAGTAGGTATTGTATGTCACATCCAATGCACATCCAGTAAGGCGCAGCAGGATGCATTGATCCCAACAAGTAGTCGGGGCATCATGATCCTTCGATTCCATGACCCAAGACTGATGGCCAGTCGTAGCGGCACAACTCAGCCTCGTGGCTGGCCTAGACGACTCCCCGCGGAAGAAACATGGCTTTTGACTGTACAGCAACTGTTGGATGTGTGCTTTTTGCATCGAAAATTTCTCGCACCACGGCTGAGATTCTTAGAATGTCATTCAATCAATCGGATCGAATGATCACAAATCAAATCGAACCTCTGTCAGCCCAACTACGTACCAGATACGATGTACATGTACATCGGATGTGCTCGTGTCTTTTCCGCTCTGCTAGCTACATGCGTACGTACCGTAGGTGTACTGTTCGTGCATACTGTATGGGCCCAAAGCCAACCCATCACTCATGGTCACTAAAAGGGAATGAGCTACGGTACTAGTAGTTTTGGGAGAAAGAACTACCGGTAGCTAGCCGTGGTGCACCGTCAAGACGGAAGACACCACGAGATCGAGAAGCTTCGAAGCGGCATCGAAACGTCGTGCGGCATCTCCAAAACATCTTTTAGGAGCGTACTCGGTAGTTGGAGTAAAGGTAGGATAAAATTATCATTTACTTCGAATATTTGAATAGAAAATTTTGTTTACCTCAACTTACTAATTTAAAGTTCCGTACATTGCAGGATTACAACTCCTCAGCTAGGAGTAGAATGCAATTTGGTTTGGTTGGCAGGTTCATCTCTTTATTAATTGTTTTAAAAGAACTACCGGTACTGAGTAGTGATGAGGACCATTGCTAAGAGCTGAATGTCCAAAACGGAAGACAGCGTCAAAATCTGTTTGGCAAAGGTATTATTGCCAAAAGAAAAAGTGTTCCCCAGAGAAGAGTACGCTGTAAGGTACTTATGAGTCAAAGAACCTTTTTACGAATGACAAGGTTGGTACCGGTATCTTAATAAAAATAGTTGACGACAAATGATTATCCGTGTCCTGTCGCCTACCGGTAGGCGATAGGACTGAAGTGAGAAGCGGCAAAATAGACAACTTGCGTTTGAGTCAACGAGAATGGGTACACTAGTACTGTACGTATACCGGTCGTGAGCTCGTGAACTTTGGTGTTTGTTTGGGGAGTGGAGAATGACTGTCGAGTGAGTGTTGAGGAACTCCGCAGCTTTGTGGTGGTGATCAACGCAATTGTCTCTCTCGAACCAAACCCTTCACAATCATCGACTGGCCCTGGCAATCCACGGAGAATAGATATAGCAATATAGCTATCTGAAGACAGCCCTCTAGATCTGTACTGGAGCAGACCAAGCAAGTGGACTATGAATTCTATGAATGGCAGTAGCAGTGGTGCTTCTATTAATAGTGGTTCTGGTACGAGCCTACAGTTGGCAGCAGTTGCTCTACTGTTGCAGCAGCAGCAGCAGCAGCAGCAGCAGGGCCACCAGGCTCAAGCCCAGGCCCAGCAAGCACAGGCTCAGGCTCGGGTGGTCCAGCAATCCGCCAATGAGGAGCAGTTGCAGCAAATCCTTCAGACCATTCGTACGGGTGCCCTGGAAGGACTCGTTGATCAAATCCGTCAATTCAAGCAGCAGCAGCAGCAGCAGCAGCAGCAAGAAGAGCAGGCACGAAATGCATTGATCCAGCAGGCTATCCTGCAGCTCTTGTCCAGCAATAACGGTACCAGTACCACTGCCGCACCTGTTCGACAGGTACAGGTACCGGTACCGGAACATCAAGACCAGCCTGGAACGAATATGGAAACCCTTTTGCATACATCATTCATTCCAGGACCTGCCCCAATCCCTGCACTGCCAAGTGTATCACCACCCTCTGTTACCCAGCCTCCTGTTTTTTCCACAGTGTCAGCGCCAGCCCCAGCTCCACTTCAAGGTCAAGGTCCTCGTTTTGCTCTAGTTCCAGCTCCTGCACAGGCTCCCGTTACAGTTCAAGGCCAGGTTCCTTCTCCGGCCCAAGATCCAGCCCCTCAAGTGTTTCCAGGACGACAGGATGCAAACCAAGTGGCAGCCATCGCCAGCAGCAGCACCACCACCACCAATCAAGGCAACACTTCCAAGGGTCGCCATGTCGAGTTCCCACGCAGATTCTATGACATGCTCATGGACCTAGAAGAAAGAGGAAAAGAGCATATTGCCTGTTTCGCTCCAGATGGCAAGGCATTCAAAGTTCATGATAGGGATCACCTTGAGGATGTTCTGCCAAGGTACTTTAAGACTATGCACACCCATTCCAGCTTGCAGAGACAGCTCAACCTGTATGACTTTGTCCGCACCATCAATGGACCACAAAAGGGTCACTACAGCCATGAGCTCTTTGTCAAGGGACACCCTGACTTGTGTGATAATATGAAAAGAACCAAGAAAAAAGGAAAGGCTGCTCACACGCGACGCAAAAGGGTCCAAGAGTGAGTCCATCTAGCTAGTCTAAGCAAGCGAACCAGTGCTCTTCGGGTTGAACGTTGTCGGCAACCCATACGTATTCATGTGCAGATTCAATTTGGAAGCAGCAATGATTATTTATATCATATCATCATGTGGAAAGATTCACACCATACACACCAGGTCCTATATAAGAAAATACAGTTTTATTATGACGCACAATGTTCCATGGCTAGCACAACAGAGAGATAAGGATAGATTGCACTCGTTCGAAGATGATGTTCCGCCGGTTGGGTATCAAACTCAACCAGCAATAGAGCACTTCTCTATCTATCTAGCTAGCTGGCACCTCGTTCTTCTGTGTCCCAAACCGCCCACAAACCTGCAGGATCTATTGCACGCACCTCGGCTGCCTGGCAAAGGGATGAAGTGTGCATCTATCTAACGCCTATCATTGAAGAAAACGGCCCAAGTGTACTGATGAACAATGAAATTATTACCAAACTAGATCGGAGAGCCCCCACGGCCCTTCCGCATGACCCGATACATGTAGGCGTGAATCGCAAACAATGATCTACGGATCGTCATTGTGTGTGTAAACTCGTACAGTATCATGAATGAATGTTGAACGGAGAGCTCCCACCAAACAATGGCTCCTCGGTTGCAACGAAACGTCTTGACATGCAAAGATATCCATAACCAGTCGAAGAGAACGAACTTGAACATGTAGGAAGAAAGGCAAGGAAACTTGTGATTCGATTCGATTCCAGTTGATACCAAACCACCGAGCGTCCAGTGCGTGTCGTGTCCGTTATTAGCCCACCGTATACAGCTGAGAGGGATCCACCCCGGCAAAGATTTGTTGTTGTTGTTCCTGCTGTTCTTGCTGTTGTTCCTTGGTGGCCATGTTGTTGTTGTTATTGAAGGTGGCGCCATTGCTGTTACTGTTATCTCCTGTTGCAGCGGTGCTTGCGTACTGCTGATATCCTCCTGGCGCCATCATTACGCCTGGTGGTCCCGCAATGGGCAACAGTCCACTAATCGAGAATGCCGATGCCGAACCGGAAGACCCCGACAAAGACGACGATGCCATTGGCGCTCTGCTGTTGTTTAGTAGAATCGTTGGCAATGCCGTCAAGGTAGCTGCTGCGGCCGTCACGGCGGCAGGCGATGACGGGCAATACGTGCTGTTTGGGCCGCCCAGAACAGGAGGAGCAGTTGCTGGAACGGCAGTTCCCGTTTGCGGCATGGCTTGCATGGTTTGCGGCGGCAGGATGCCGGGCATTGCGGGCTGCACGAATGTCGTATCGGCATCGGGGTTCATTGGCTTTTCAACCAACGTGACGCAGAGATAGTGCTGGTGTCGTTGCACTTCATGCTGCGCATCGTTGCTCTTGGAGTTCGATGCGTGGACAATGGAAATGGCGAGTCCCAAATGGCCGTTTCCTTGTACGCTTCCCCGGAGAACCACGGGCTTTGATGCTTGTGAAAAAGAGCGGCCGTTGTTGCTGCTGCTGCCAGCCGGGTCAATGGACTGTAGCATTTGACTGATTTGATCGAATGCAAATTGAAGATTGCTTCGGCTGGTGTTGGTCTGCTGCTGCGTCGGCGAAGTGCCACCACTGCTGTCGAGTAGATGAAAGATGGACAGTTCTCGGAGCTGTTCCTTGGAACACTCCAGTATTTTTCGAAAGACTTGATTGCAATCTAGGAACGTTCCTCCGAGAGTGGCGAGAGCGATTCCGACGGGGCAGTGATCCCATAGGACGGGGTAGTCTTTTTGTTGGACCATGTTGAGCGGATCAAATACGGCCGTGGGTGGTGGTGCCGGTGCCGGATTGGGTGCCGGCAGTGCGACACTGATGGCGACGGGTAGTCCGTTACGTTGTGCGGCGTACTGCAATGCCTGCGCTGCCGGTAGTCCTAGACTTCCCTGGCTTATGGTTTGTACTTGTCTATGTAGTGCTTGATTGTCTTGATGTTGTTGGTTTTGTTGTGCCTTCATGTTGACAATGTACTGATGAGCAATGGAAAGTATGGATCCTTTGGTCCCTTTTGGAACGACGACTCCTGCTTCAGTGAGTAATTGCTTGAGTACGTTGAACTGGTCCGTGATTTTTCCACTTCGTTGCTTTTCTCTGGCATTTCGTTCCAATCGCTGTAGTGCTGGATCTTGACGTTTCTCGTTGTCCGTGTTGGTGTCCGTGTTGCTGTTTTGGTTTTGGTTGTTGCTTGTGGCTTGGGCAATGTCGTTGGCTGTCTGCGCCGTCTGCTGTGATGTCTGTGGTTCCGTACCTGCACTAGTATTGTTTGAGCGACAGTCTGGAGTAGGAGCAGGAGCAGGAGGACTGGTTTGTGCTTGAGTAAGTGTTTGGGTATCTGATTTGTTTGCAGATGGTGATCCTGTGCTGTCCTCATACATGAAGCCTTCATCATCTGACTGGTATCCTGCCCTCTTGTTGGTGGAACTGCTAGTACCGGTATCAGTGTTGGAAGATGATGACTTGTCAATTTGCTGTGTCTGCTGTTGGCTCTGTGTTTGGTGCTGATGCTGATGCTGATGCTGTGTGTTTTGGTTGTGTTGCTTCTGCTTGTCCTTGTTTTTATTCTTGTGTTTGCTTCTGTGCTTCTTTCTCTTTGGGCTGACATTGCTCCTGAAAGCAGTATGAGTATGTGCTGGTGTTTGTGTGGGCATGGTACTGTCAGCGTTAGTAGATATAATCTTTCTCTTTTTGTAGGGACCGTTGGAATTGGACGATTCGTCACTTTGTTCTTGTTGATCTTGCTGATCTTGTTGTTCCTGATCTTGTTGCTCTTGCTCTTGCTGATCCTGATCTTCCTGATCTTGTCCACTAGAGTTGGTAGGAGACGAAGGAGTGGAATTGCTACCTCCCCTCTCCCCACTACGCATCCGCATACGTCTCATCGTATCGAACCAAATTTCCCCCAAATTTCCGTTTTCGCTTCCACTGCCGCTGCTAGTTCCACCTCTACCATTCTCATTGTCATTGTCATTTCCATTCTCATTTCCATTATCATTCTCATTATCATTCTCATTTCCACTCCCACCACTACTGCTACTGTTGCCACTGTTGCTACCACTCCCGCTGCAATTGCTGGGAGTGGCAATCAGCCTCTCCTCTCCCATTTCTTCTCTATCTTCTCCTCCTGTAGACATTCTCTCTTATCTCTCCTTATCTCTCCTTATCAGAGCTGTCTTAGTAAAGGCTTAACCCTTCCACCAGGTCAACTGCTACCGGTAGATAGATGGAACGACTGAATGGGGTACTGTATCTCCCTCCACTCTTAGCTTGTCTTGGCTTATCTTATAGGTAGCTTAATAAGGTAGTGGGTATCTATATGGGTAGCTATGGGTATACTAGCTAGCTAGTATGGGTATGGGTATATGGATAGCAATGGAGTGGATCACTAGTAGATACCGTCAGTAATATGCAGGCTGTTGTTGCTGTTGGGCAGAGGTGGACTTGGATGTGACCTTGGCTGTCTGATTTGCTGCTGCTGCTGCTCAGTTTCGTTGTTACTATTCAGTGCGCTAGCTATTTGCTAGAAGGCTGCAGCTGTCCACATTTGTTTGCTCCACGTATTTTCACTACCAGCTCTACACTCCTCAAATACGCACTCTGACCTGGGTAACTTCGTCCTCTGTCGTTGACCCATGTCACCCAATAAAAGCAGACAACTTCAGCTATGCTTTAAATAATAATGGCTACGTCAGACCCAAAGGGCAATTACAACAGTCAACTTGCTTCTTTGTTCACGGAAGATTCCAATCCCAAGCGTGGACATGCTCTTCCCAAAAAGTAGTTATCAAACATCAAAACCATACCAGCGATCGGAAGACACTCCATATGACGTCGAGATTCCGCACCAGATGGCAACACATCGAAGCGAAGCCAGTGTCAACCACATGTGCACGTGCAAACGCAGGGCCTTTCCTGTTCCATGATAAAATAGCAGGGCTGTTGGCAGCTGGCCTTGAATCTCTTCACTAAAGCAAAAGCTATGCCTTGCCATCATCCATATAGGAACTATCGAATTACACACCTGGATGCTGGTTGGATTGTATCGTTTGGCCTCATGCTCAGTCAAGCCTTTTGCCATTTACTAATATGCATAGCTACTAGTACAGCCAGCTGCATGTAATGTATGTTTAGACTAGATCTACCTAAAATGCATGAGCGGCGGCTCCAAACATGGCACCAGCGGCAGTCACTGCCATCCCCTTCAATCCTCGACTCGATCCATGCAGACCTTCGTCCCCCACCAACACTTCGCAATCGTCCGTAGGAGGAAGATTCAAACCCGCCAAAATCTTGCTCATCACTCCAATCTCGTGATTCTGACGATTCACGATACCATACAACAGCGATTGCATGATACAGTACGGATCCTCCTCATTCGTCAAATCGTCACATGGTAAAAAGCCAGCCTTTAACAATGCCTTGGCCATGTTCACGGCGTTCTGATGATGCGGAATCATTTGATGCACAAACAAGGCCAATTCCGTCTTGGACGAAACCTTGGTCGTCATGCCTGAAACCAAGAGGGGAAAAACCAAAAATGCGCGTATTAGAAACAGACAAAACAAGCGATGGAAAGTACTACAATGTCATGTACTGGGCGCAGTTCTAACTAGCTAATGATCGATGCCATGCACTCACCAAGTATCATGTGGCAATCCTACGGTAGCATATCAAATAAACAAAACGGGCAGGTTGGTGAGGGAATACACAAGTTGGTTGGATGATGCAAAGGAGATGCACAGCCAAGCACGTACCATGGCGTCGATGCAGGAAGCAAAGTCTCTCATGCGTTCATCGACATCGCAAACGAATCGATCGGGGCATTGAGGATGCGGTAGTTGGAACTGGAAAAAGACACAACGAAACAAACAAAGTAAGCAAGTGAGTCAGTAAGTAAGTAAGCAAAAGAGAAGCATTCTGAAGAGGATCGATGGTTGTACTGCAGCCTTGTACTCACCGCATCCAAACCGTAGGTTCCACACATGGCATCGAACTGTCCCGGTGTTTCCATTTCAAAGTACATGGGTGGATCGTCCTGTTCATTGACAGGAACCCCGTTCTTGAGTAGCTTCATTCGTCCGGCCATGAACTGATGGATTCGACAGTAATAGAAAATATCCTTTCCAGTGTACGATTCATCGTCGAACTTGAGTTGGATGGAAAAAGTTCCGAATCCGGTCCAAGTGGCCATGGACTTGAAGAAAAAGTCTTCGTATAGTTCGAGTCCAATGTCGTGTTCGTTGCTTGTGATGGGTGCAACTTCTTTAATGTTGCTGTACGTTCCCAGATACCCATCATTCAAAAAGTACATGGGAGCAGGGCAGGTCATGTTGGTGGCACAAGTGTCTGCTGGACCATTGGCAGAAGCAGCACTAGTAGTGGTAGTTTGCTGATTTGGCAAATTACTAATGATGGAGTCCCCACCGTCATTGCCCTTGGTACGTGGATCTAGGAGTTCTGCTCCCACGTGATGAGCATCTGGAAAGTAGCTAAAATCAATGGGATGCCAGTAATTGCTTTTGTGCTTTTGGATAAAGGTGTAGACTTGTCCAAATTCCAGGCCAATGGTTGGATTGACCCAGTCTTCCCCGCATTCTTCAAACACATAGTAGCCTGGTGCAAGTGAAAATAAAATGACAAGAATAAGGTTGGGGTTAGACCTGAAGCAACAGCAACAGCGAACGACGTCTCCACCATGCCAACAACGGCTTGTATTAGGTAGCTATGGTAGCTAGTAGCTACCTAGAGACAGCTGGCTAGCTAGTTGTACAATGATGATGAGCACCACTCCACCCATCAACCTAGACTAGTCACTACTAGCTAGCTAGATACTTCAAGCTAGATACTGCTTTCGCTTACCTCTCTCAGACGCGTGGATGTCTACCTTGGCTGTGTAGGTGTTGGTAGGCGAAACGCAAATCTCGCCGTTGCGTCGCAATTCGGCGGAAACACTCGAAAGGCCAGACAGCAGCAATGCCACATGTACTACTAGTAGACGTTGTGTAACAGGCATCATCGTGGATGAAGAGGATGATGATGATGATGCCAACAGTTTCATGGTGCTCAACAAAAAAGAAAAATAAATGGAACAACAAAAACAGGAACACAAAAACCAACAGCAAGAATAAAGAAATGGTGATGTACCAGCTGCTACTAGCTAGCTAGCCAGTACTGTACATGTGTTCCGTTACTAGTACTCTAGCTAGCAAGCCAAACAAACAGCCAAAATCTCGGAGAAACAGAGAAAAGCCTCTATCAGGAGTCATTTCAACCTTTAAAAAGACTGTCTTCCGCACTGGTTTGTCTCGGTGGGAAGCCGCATGAGAACAACAACATTGTTCTAGGTGACGCGACTCAGTCACTCAGTCTCTCAATTCATGTAGAGACAAGTTAGTTGATTACATCTGTGTAGAGGGTTGCTTGTGCTTGCCGTTTGAATGTTGGAGATGCTGCTTCAGTAACTTTGGTAGAAGCCCACTCTCAAAACACTGTCACTTCCTGCCAATCTCTGGCAGTTGGCTGCCAGCTACTTCTGGAGTACGTACGGTAGAGATGACAGTGCTCATCAGTCACTCACAGATGGTTTTGTGAAGAATGGTACCAGGAACCAGGTACCCAATGCTTTAGCTGCTGCTTCGAAAAATCACTTCCTGCCAATCTACATGTATCTGACTCCAGGCTAGCTAGCTAGTAGCCAGCTAGAGATGGCAGCATCCTCGTCTATCACTGATCGTTTTGTGTAGAAGGATACCAAAAGCTTTACTCGAAGTGGAGCTTTTCCACTGACTCTCTGGCTATTATAGTGTACCGTTGCAGCTTCGTCTTCACAAGCACTGCTCATCTATTTCATCATTTCATTCTTGATCATTTCACACTTCATTCAGTGCAGAGTTTCTTGTGAATTGCGAAGTGGCTTCTTATCAGACAGCTGTTTCGAGGTGTTCTGCACAAGCCAAAAGAACAATGACTGGAGAAAGTACCGTGGACATGGAGCTGTATGCCAGAAACCAGAGCCGAACTTTACCACCTTCTTTGGCAGCTTCTCTGGCAAGGAATAGACGCCAAGACGTCCATTGTCCATTTGACAGATCCTTTCCATGGAAACAGTACATGTACTACGTACCGCTACTGCTTGTGAGGCCTCCCTTCCCCTTCTCTGCAGATTGAATGAATCGAATCATTAAATTTGCCATTCTAATGACTTTCCTATAATTAGTCCGGCCACACATCACTACTGCGATTTTTTAAATAGTCAGTGGTTGCTTTCTGCCAGCGGTACAGTCGTACAGTTCTGTACCATAATTCAATTGACATTAATTTTCTTTAATAACGCCCAATCCCAGATTGCAAAAAGAGCTGCAAAGTCACTTGGAAACTCTTGAGTCTTGGATTGACGACAGTAATACAGACAACAGTACCATTGACAAGTTAAGGTACGCATGTACGGCTTTCTTACGACCGCAGAGAAGCAAAAAAGTGGTTGTGTAAATGAATCCGAATGATCAAACTGTTGCTGCTTCGTTGGGCAGCTTCTGGTTGCGTTACCGGCACTACGCAGCTCGCCTTGGCTACTAGCTAGCTAGCCAGTGGCCAGCATGCAAGAGCAGTTCGTTTTGGGCAAGGATATGCAGATTAATTTTGTCGTCTGAGGCGCAGTGCTTTCTCGCTCCTCGCTTAGCTAAATCTAAAATAAATGTTGCCAGCTAGCTAGAAACCACGTCAGAGTAAACTTTACTGCAACAGCTGCAACAGTACTAATAGAGTTTCCTTATCGATTGTTGCTCTTTTGCCTTATCAACTGCCATGGTGCTCCAGTGCTCCAGAGTACTAGCTAGTACAGATCGTGCGCTGAGCATTAATTATCATTCCTTCTCAGTACGACTATAGCTGGAAAATTGTGACGACTTTGGCGTGTCGGCTGGTACGTAACGCGATGAGGAGGAGAGTAGAGGATACGGTCGTACCTACGTACCTGCGCTGTACCGGTAGGAGAGCCCCTGAAACGCACGCGGTTGTATTATACGTATAACATTTTCACTATGTATTCTACAGATCATACGTATTACACATATAACCTTTTTAATATGTATTAGACAAGTTATACGTACAACACAGATAACACAAGTGGAAAAATATTATACGTATTACATGTATTATGTGTTGTACGTGTTTTACGTATAATACATAGTGACGAATTTTTGCTAAGTTTTTTTGCCAGGTGTTTTGCTAGGTGTTTGGGAGAGAGGAAGATGCACTGTTGCAGGCCATAATACCTGACAGCTTATCAAGTAAAATGGACTCTTACCTATCTGAACTCTCCCATGTTGCTAGATACAATATCAATGATGAAGAATGGACTCCTGCTTCAATCATTGTGAATGTAGCAACCTCACTAACTGATGATACACCAAAGGAGATAAACATTATGGATACTCTGGGGTTCGATAATTATCGAATGGAGAAATCGACGGTGTATTGGCTACCTTCGATGTATCATTCTTGTGATTGGGCGCATATTAAAGAAGTTTTGATGCCATACTTTGTACTTTCTTGCAAGACTGCTGGATTCCGTATCAAAAACAAGGGATCAAAAACAAGGGATTCGATAAGAGGTGGAATCACATTACCATATGTTGTCCAAGGAGTCGGTTTTACAAACAAAGGTCCCAAAAGGAGAGCAACAAAACCACCCAGACTCAGCTTCCTGTTGAGGGGGAGGGTGTCAAATGTCCATTCTCTTTCAATGTTCTATATAGCCAGGAACACAGACGATGGTAATCTACCCAAGTTCAGACAGGCAACAAGCTTCATCGTGGCCATGTACAACTGGAAGAGGCACAAGTGAAAGTGTTAAGTACTCATCTTGCACAGAAGCCGTTACAACTAGCGGAACAATGCTAAAG